AGGGGTGGATGAACAGGGGTCTTCCCTGTACTTTAATATAACCTCGGGGCCTGTTGTGGCCCCGGCTTAACTGTCAGCGTAAAGTATAAGTGTGGCGGTGGAGGGGGAAAGACACAATTTTCTTTCTCACTGCATGCTTACTACTGCAGCTTGGTAGGTGGTTTCAGCTGAGCGATACCCAGAATAGTTCATAGTAGGCAGTCGAGTACAGAGCTGAGCCACACGTGGCTCAGTCGGTCTATGCGTTTGCATTTGCATTTGCATTTACATTCTGCAGATTCCTACTGTATCGTGTGGATTATCTAGTGTATTTTGTAGTCTGCATCTCGCACTTCACACCCCCTGAAATTTTGGTTTTTTTTAATCATTTACATTTTCATGGTTCTCCGTATAGAGGCAGGGAAGAATAGGGGGGCTTATCGCCACTCTTTTCGGCATTTGCGAAGCGGCGGCGCCGGCGTTGGGGGCGATGTGCTACGGGTTTGTTCCAGGCCTCGGGCGCTTTGTGTTCCTTTCTTGTAGTCGCCTTCCATGATCTTCGTATTCCGGGGTAAATCCGGTTTTTCAGTGTTGAGCACGGCGGCATTTTTCCAACTTTGAAGGGAAAAAATAAACCCCATACTATCCCAAGATCTTTTATCATCATCCCGCGTTCAAAAATTTCCATCATCACCTAGGAACTACGGTGTTTACTGTAGAGGTACGACGGACGCTAAATAATCAATTTTACTCCACCCGCAGCCACGACAGTATACTAGTCTACGCCCTAGCCAACCGGTAGCCCGAGTGCACATCGCGTTGGCAATATGACAGTCATCCGCAAAAAGCAAATTGACGCCGGGTCAGGACGGGAGAGTGCCAGCGAGCGAACGGTCGGCGGGCTGACTGGACGGTTGAGGATTTGTCGTATCGTAGTTGGTGGAGAAGGGGCTAGTGGGGGTCATGCAAACAAAGACTCCGAAAAGCCCACCCCTTGCGACGTGCGTGGGATAATGGCGTGTGGGCTCCGGGCGTTAAGCCGTTGGCTGTTGTTGTTACGGATGCTGGTTCGGGTGGGGGTGTTGGTAGATCTTGGCCTCGATATTGAGACTGATTATGGAGATATGTAGTAGTCCTCCATTTCATTAGGATTGTCGTAGAGAGCTAGTTTACATAGTTACGTAGGCACTAATAGTTATTGGCAGTGACAAATACCTCTTAAAAGTACCTTGGCCAGGGTTCGAAACGCCCGTTTTAGTCTATTGCCTATGCGACAACCTAAATCTCATCAGAACCGATCTGGACGAAAATGTCATCGGGCAAAGGTACTCTCATTAGTGAATTGAACCAGGCGATTTAGTTACGAGATCGATGCTTTGTGTTGATTGCTGCAATTTCCAGACGTGGTGGGTTTGCATTAGTGGGCAACCACGGATGTACGCCAATGCCCGATTCCCGATTCCCGGCATCAAAAGACAAGACTACAATAAAGAATGGAATAGACTAACTCATAGATAGCGCTCCGCTAGAACAGCAGGGCAGCCAAAGTAGTAATAGGTACCACCATCACAAGAATAAGACAGAAGGCAATCGAAAATCGGTCATACACGGCGCAGGTACGAGTCCACTCACCACTCAGTCGGGTTTTGTTTGCGCATGACTCGGCTGCACTGTACATCCCCATCTCCGCGGACGGTAGAGAGACCGGGTTGCCTTTTTTATATGCCACCATCCTGCTATCTATGAATCAGAATGAGTACTACATCATAAGAGATGTTTCACCAACAAGGTGTCGGAATCGTAGATACCCAATCTAATACCTCATCGGCAGCAGCCCGACCCGACTAGAAGGGTCAACTGGCCCCCAAACCACCCGTCCGGGAGATGCACGCGTTGACAGTAGCTTGGGTAGATGGTGCCCTTCCCCTGGGCCTCGCTTCAACGCCCAGAATGATTAGGCCATTAGATCACTAATTAGATTAATTTTTAGCCCAGGTAACCCGATGGGACCCAAGACCGAGGATGGCTAGCGGTCGCTCATCACCGGGATTGCAACCCCGTCACTCTGGGACTTTGAGTTCGGCTTGGTGTTCCTTTTTAACTCAAAGACAGAGGGAAAGGGGTAAAAGACCGTGACTTCAGTCCACATGAATCACGGTACTTAGGCACTATGCTACCTACTATCTTGCTAATGAAGATACCGAATCCAATGTTCCTCCTCGTACTCCGTCTAGACCAACACTGAGACCGATTGGGGGCGGGTGCCAAAGTACAGCGGCTAACCAGCGTGGGTAGAGATAATCGAGGGCCCTGGTTGGCGAGGCAGCCTCTGAAAGAGCGTTTGAAATGGGTGATCATTAATGATGACGAGTTGATTCCAGTTGATGGAGTCCGTATTCAGTGGCGCTCAGGATAGAATGCAAAGCGATTGGTTAGGACTTTCGAAATGGAGCGCAGCGAGTATAGTATATACTAGTCTATCTCCGTACCTATTTTCAACAATATCACTCCCATCATCATTCGTAAATACATCATCTAAAAGGTACGTACCTTCATCACTGCGAGTCTCGATTTGTGCTAGAGTCGTCCTTTTGGTTCCTCGTGATCTCTACACTGCAGTCATTTCGTATTCCCTCCGTATATTTCTGCGGGCCAGACCGGTTGCTCGAGGTCCATTTGGGTGCTTTTGTTCAATTCCAATTTCCTGTCTGGCCTTCAATGCCCCATTCAAGAGAGTAGTCGATGTTCGCCTAAAACGACCATTGATTTGGCCACAATACGAGGGTCTGATCTCAGGGGCGAGGTTCTTCTATGCACAGTAGTAGCTGAAAAGCATGGCCTAGAAGTGTGAACAAGCATGGCATATCCTGGCCGGAGATGGCGAACGATCCCACGACCGTTCCTGTCAAGTCAACCGCCAATTACCCGGGCCCAGACCGGGTGGGAGGGGAGGGTCCGTTCCCGACCCGATCGACATGGAGGGGGGAGGGGAGGGTTTCCCAAGCCATGACAGACATCGGCCCGTCGCCCAGATGGTGAGTCTCCAATGGCGGCGCTGGGACTGCTAACGCCCGTTTGACCGATGAATGAGATGTGTATTACTCAATCACTATCCAACCCTCTTTCATTACCCATTACCCACAAAGACTAAAAATCAAAATCACCGCCGGCAAGCCCTATCAGCGAGTCATCCGTGGTGATACCAGGATCCAGGATGTTGGGCCCTAGTCATTTGGCACAATTGATAGGTTCGTGAAAACCACCGCCCCTCTAGGCCCTAGTGAAGCCTCCGGGTGCCCTCGCTTATTGGAGGCGGCCCATGCAAAACTAGCGCCGGGGCACATCACCCTCAGATCCGGCGATCGCGAGAGCACGGCCCCTATCCAGTCTGCCTAGCTCGTCCACAATTTTGTTTCCTTTTGAACGCGAATGGAAGGTCACGTCAGCTTTATCGTGGGGAGCTCTTTCCCACTTACCCCTACTTCCCACTAACTCTTGCTCTCGATTCATCTTGCCCCAGAGGGAGGCGGCGATCGGGATCGTACAGGCTTTGATAGGTAGTCCGTACGCCGGATTCCGTAGCTGATACGAATCTGCAAGTACATTTCCCACGCTACGGAACCTCCGAGAAGCTGAGGGTGATCGGCGCACCGTACCTTTAGGAATAGCACCCACACGGCGTATGGGCGTGGGCCCCGTCGACGCAAGGTAGGGCCTGTGCGAGTGCTTTTGAACACGAACGCTGCGTACAGATCAGGAGGGGACCGGGTCTGGTTGGAAGAGAGGCGCGGTGTGTGCCTGGCAGATGCCAACGGGCGTTTATGACTCGATGGTGTGACCAGGGTTTCGTACGAAGTAGACAAGTACTGCAAAGAGGGACTGATGGAGCGGCGAGCTTTTTAGTACTACTATGTACTCCGTACTACCCGTACAGAATGCAAACAAAGAAACGTTCCTTGGTTCGACGGGGATCCCGCGCGCTTCATCCCGCCCTTGTCACAACCCGTCAGGGCTGTCAGATAGGAAGGTGGGATGAACTCGTCGGAACTTTGAGCGTAATCACTAGGTCATAGGCTATCGAACTATAGGCTGTTGACATTCGAGGCGGGAGAGAACAAAACGGTTACAAACATCAGAGTGGTTGCCTCGCCTTCTAGAGTTGCTAATGACGATCGTAAGATCCGATCAGAATCCTCGATTGGGATAAATGACAAAGCGGGTTCCCGGCCTCTCGCTCAGTGCTACTATACTCCGTTATGCCAGCAAGTACATAGGAATTCTCCGTACTTTGTACCAAATGCAATTCTCCATGGTGGAGAAGGACTACACCAAGCAGAAGAGGGGCGGTCGATCGACAATCGACAGCGCCACGCTGTTTTGGGGGGGAGACCGAGGAACGGGCGAAACGCTAAGCGGGACTGTCAAATAGTGAATTTGGAGGAAAATAAATAAGAAAATCAAAGCAGAAGTACGCCTGTACTTATAGACGATCTAAGAAAATAAAGGAGAAAATTAGACAGATTCGGGAGCATCCCAAATGTCATAGCGATCTACAAATAGTAAGTCGAACTCGACAGGGATTTGGATCGAATCGGGAACTGGACTTTGTGCATTAGCTCTTTTAGCTTTGGTTTAGTCCAGTTTTAGTTGGCTATTCGGGCTATTGGGTTAGTGCTTCTCGGCCTGGTTGGCATCCTTCATACCTGCATCTCCCACTGCGCCAATCTTGCTGCGTCCTGCATCCGCCGCAGTGCGATCAAAATTAAATTGACAAAAATCAATTAATTAAATCAAATCCAAGATAATTCCATATTTACTGTTTCTAGTCCCAACCCCCAAAAATAAATGTCACAAAAAAAATTAATTCCCAAACTCTTAGCTTCTGCCGGGGATCCCCCGGCTTTCTGAATGACCCTCGACCCCCAAGGATGATCCTAGCTTTCTGTGGCACAGTTTGCCATATGCTCGCTGGTCACCTCCCACTCAGTTACTTAGGTACTTTCGCAAGAGAGAGAAGAAAAAAAAAAAAAAAAAAAGAGAATATTAGTTTAAAACAATTTTGAAGAAATCGCAAATCGATCCCCCAAGATCTGCCCCCCTCTCTCCATTGCTCTGGACCCGCGCGCAACTTGAAATATCCCACTCCTCCTCCCTCAAGCCGCCCAGACTCCCTTTTAACTCTACGCTTCTTTGACTTTCTTTGCTTCTTCTTTTGAGGGGAAGAAGAAACATTAATTTAAAGCTCCCGTCCTCCTCCCTCTTGAAGAAGATCAATTTTGGTTTCCAACTTGCCTCGACCCACCCTCCACCTAGCTGTCTTTACTAGGTTCCGGGCTTTATACTTGCTTAGGGTTTTATTATCCCACCGGACAAGATATTGCGTATACAACCAGGCCATCCCCGGCCCGTGTCACCACCCCAATCAAACCGCAGCTACCCGGTTCATATCTGAGATCTTCCAGAACACATTGAAGATTGACATCGATATCTTTCCATTGGTTGCCAATATCATTCGAGTCCGATTTATTGGCATTGCTTTTGAGCTAGCCACTTACCCAGTCAACTCCCATATCTTTTTCCCTGTTCTGGCTGTTAAAATCGGTGAGTGACACTCTGCCTGAAATCTCCCAATTGCGGTCCGGTTGGCAATAAGCTTGACTTGGAGCCGTTCGCGGGTTGGCAGCCGTCCATGAGACAGCCACCCGTCGGGGGAGCCGGGTGAGGCGGCAACCGTTGGACATTGACCGGGTTACTTCGCAAACTGGGCTAGATATCGGCCGCGTTTTCATTACATTGTTCTTTCTTGAATGTTTTCGACTAATGTTGATTTGAACTACACAGACTTTCTCTCAATCGCTGGCTTCAGTCTATATAAAGGACGGTTCCGTGTTGCGAGCTTCGGTGACGAAACGGACATAGTTCTGTTCCCTTGATATTCGATATATAATCTCAACTGTGAATAAACGCCCTGATATCTCCGAAAATAACGTCGGCCCTTCACGCATTTCCGTACGATCAAACCAGATCACGGCGCTGCATTCACCACGGCACGATGGTCTACAGTAAGCCCAATATGTCTACAGGCGCCATGAAGCGTTCAGCTTCGGCCCTTCACGAAGGAGCACCTGGGTGGGATGTTGCTCCTGTATGTTTTTATCCAAGTCATTCATACACTCAATGAATCTAACCAAAATCCAGCCTATGATGACCCCAGCGCGCCCCGCATCCTTCCGCATGCCCTACGCGCACTATGCTCTGATCTATCTGGACAACGAGGGCAAGCTCAAGGTCGACGAGTCTGCCTCTATCAAAGAGCAAAATTCCACCATCTTCACTCCAGAGGTTCGCCAAAACTTCCTTGAGATCCTCGGGGAACGTATTGGCCTCCACCAGCCTCTTCGCCGTAAGTTGCACTTGAGCTCTGAAGTGCCTGGACCGAGCTATTGACTAACAAGGCATACAGGTACATTGGATGCTTCTCCTCGCCGTGTTCGCCGCCGCCGTATTAATGCTCCAGGCTCTGATGACCGTCTCGCAGACCTTGGTTCGGATAGCGATGACTGCTCCCCCAACGGCTCCAACGAAATGATTCCCCTGCGCATCGGAGACACTCCTAAGGTTTTGGCTTACTACGAAGGCGCTCTGAAGCACTTCCAGCAACTCAACTGCCGAATGGTCGCAAAAGCCTTCATCAAGTTCATCGAGCCCCGCAAGCAGGTTCGCCATCCGTACAATGGTGGCAAGCCCCCAGCAGGCTCTCCGCCCGGTACTACTGGCGACCCCGAAAAGACCAAGCCCTTGTGGTGGCCCCCGGGCGTCATGCACAAGGAGCCCGACCATCTGCGCAAAGAGTGTACGTCTTTCTTCTTGTTCTTACTTGCAAGAGGTTCACTAACATTTTAATCAGACCGCATTGAGCTCCTGCTTCACATCATTCGCAAACTTGGCGAATATGGCATCACGGCCGATAAGCTGAAGGAGGTCGCTGGCGACACCAAGCGCAGTCTTAAGCATGCTTCGCATGTGGACATCATTTACGAGATCCTACGCGTGCGCAAGATGGAGGAGCGATTTGAGCGTGGAGAAGTTGGTATGATTGTAACCGAATATCCCAATGCAAACACGACATCCTAACGAGTTATACAGACGCAAGCATGGTTGTCTATGTGATGAACCGAGGCCCTAGCCCCAAGGGTGACGATGAAGAGGACTCCAACGACACTACCACTGTTTCTGCCCCCCCTGTCGAAGCTCCTGAGCACATTGAAGAAGGCCTTCTTACCCCAACATCCTCGATCGAGCACGTTACCGCTACATTGACAACCCCGATCGACCCATTGTCTATGGCACCAACCAGGTCTCTTCCACCGAGCTTCTCCCTCTCGCAACCTCTCAGCTTCGACGGCCCCCGACAAGATCGTCATTATTACGGCACACCTCCTCAATACTCAGACTCATTCTCCCAGCCGATGCTGAACACCCCGGTGACCGCCGAGATGATCAGCCCCCACGACGTCTCGGTCTTCGACTACTCAACCTCCCACGCCTTCCCGGCGCCAACGACAGACCAGAAGTTCGATGCCTGGGCACCTACCTTCCGTCAGACTCTGTTCAGTCCGGTCGACTACAACTCCCCGGCCGGGACACACGGTCTGCCCCAGCCCCCTATGCACTACCACATGTCCATGGCATCACCAGCGCAGCTTCATGATATGTCTCATCCTCACGCCCACTCACCATTGGACCCGATGAGCCAGCGCACCTTGCCCTTCCGTACTGGCTCACTGGGTCACCCGCATGAGCTGCCTCTCTCCCACTAAGCCTAGGTTCTTGATGGACGGGCAGGACCCAATTGGAGGCGACCCCGAGCAATGCCACGACTGAAGGAAGTGCACGGGATTTAATGAATTCTACGACTAAATGGCTTTGATTACCATACCATATGAAAGCACTTGATACTTGATACAAAGGGCGGGCTTGTTCTGGAGTTTTGTTTCACTGTTTATTATTTTTTGAGTCGACTTTTGTTTTCTTAATCGTTTCTACTTTCTTGTCTCTTGTGAATACAAAAATTGGTCGGTGTCATCAGAAGGAAGAACCGCGCAGATATGGGGGGGGGGGGGGGGGGGGGGGGGGGGGGTGTTGGCTGTTGAGTCATTTTGTTCTTTGAAAATACTTCCATTGGCTTTGGATTTGTGATTGCGACTTGTGTGGTGTTGGATTTTGATTGACTTTGATTTTTACCTATCTTCCGGTTTTTCTGGGCTAACATTCGTTTTATCCTTACCTTTTCTGAGTCTTTCGCTAATACTTTTGCAATTACTTGTTTACGGAGATTTGTCATATATGTGGATGGCCTTTTTGTGATCGTTTCTCCCCGGCATTCATCATGTTTTGGGGCTGTTGATAAACAACCTTGTTTTGGAAGATTTTGATACCATATGAAATACTCCATGAAAATATTCTCCGAAAATCTCCTCGTCAGAGTGAATCAAAATTGTAGATTAGCAATAAAGCGACCGGTCTTGTTGCCTGAAATGTAGACAAGCAACTGACAGTTGATGCGGCTGCCTGAGGCGGCGTGTGGGCTACCGCCAGTTACCGCCATCACCTGACTCAGGCGCGCGGCTGATTCAAGTGGACCCTCTGCCGTTCGGAGTCCTTTGAGCTCCCGCAGTGCTTTATCTCGAGTCCTCTTTGTCAACTCCGTCGCGCCGTACGTCTCCCACTGTCAGCTTTTCAGTCTTGCTAGATCGGTCTAGCACGAACTGACCTGGATGCAGGCCGAGCGAGGATAGGATGGCAAGCCCGTTCAATCCGTTTGTTGGCCGCGGCCAGAGTGCGGGAGAGGCAAGCACCTCTGGACGAGGCCGCGGGTCCACACGCGAGTCAATAAGAGGGGGCACCGATCGTGGTAATAAAGGGGTTCCACGCGGACGAGGAAGAGGAGGAGGTCGTGGCCGGGCAATCGCTGGTGCCTCAGCGCCTCGTGGTCGCGGTGCGGGCGCTGCTGCGAGAGGCGCGTCTCGTGCAGCAAGCTCAACCTCAACTTCCTCGACGACCACCAACGTCGCCAACTCGCCATTCGCACAGCTGACCCAACCGAACCAACCCAATCAATTGGCCGCTCCACAAAACGTTTCCGGCAAACAACAAGCCCGGAGCAAGTCCCCCATGGCACCTGGCGCAGGCATGAGGGGCGGTGCCGCCGCTCGGAACAACACCTTCAGCCCTGGCGCAGCTCAACACACTTCTCGACAATCTCCTTCGGTCAATGGTCATGGGACTTCCGGAAAGCTCACATCCGCCGACCAAACCGCAATGTCGGGCTCTTACCCAGATCGCTACGAGCAGGTCAGCCAATCCTCATTTCTCCATCTTCGATTGCGAGCTGCGAAAGTTGAGACCGAACGGACTCTAATTTACCTTTGTAGCTGAAACTTGATCGCGCGAAACAAAGACAACGAGCTATCAGGGATGGACAGATGGCAGATCCGAATCAGCCCACGTCGCTCAAAAAGGCCATTAGGCCCGTGGGCACTTGCGAGAGCATGTGCCCCGAATTTGAGCGGGTGGAACGTATTGTCCAGAAGATGGTTGATCGCAGCGAGAAAGTATGATGTGCCTGTTATTTCTCCAACTGAATTTCTTTGCTGACTTTTGACGTCCTTCTGTAGTTTCTCGATCCGACGACAAATACCATGGAGAACGTGGAAGCTAAGATGCTGAAACGCTTTCGACGTTCGGCAGCGGGCTACGATGAGCAACTACCTTCTGATATTCGGACACCGAAGGCACTCCTGCAAGCGACAAATTACCTGATCCGGCATGTGGTGGGTGGGAATGAGCCCCTGGGCATCGTACACAAATTTGTTTGGGACCGCACACGCTCCATTCGCAACGATTTCTCGGTCCAGCAAGTCACCCACGAAGCAGATGTCAAAGTTGCTGTGATGTGCCTGGAGAGAATCGCTCGCTTCCACATTCTTTCGCTACATCTACTTTCTAGCCCTGCGAACGAGGAACAGTTTGATCGCCACCAGGAACGTGAACAGCTCAACAACACCATGCTGTCTCTGATGTACTACTACGATGACAACCGCGGACGTATGTTGTTCCCGAATGAGGAAGAGTTTCGTGCTTATTACATCCTGTTCTCCATTCACGACCAACGACCTGATCTGGAAGCCCGTGTTCAAAAGTGGCCAGCAGCACTACTCAATTCCCCTCGCGTCCAGGTAGCGCTGGATATGTATGCAGCGGCGTGTAACGCATGGGAATACCAGGGCACGCTAGATTCTCGACGACCGAATGCCATTGCGCAGGGCTTCTACACTCGCTTCTTCCACATCATCGACTCGCCCAGCGTATCATACCTGATGGCCTGCGTGGCTGAAATCTACTTCAACCATGTTCGACAGACGACGATCCGTGCTATTTGGAAGGCCTACTGCCGAGCTCCGGCATCGCAGCAGCACAAGAACGAGGAGTGGACGGTGGAACAGTTGACCAAGGTGCTGTATCTTGACGACGACGAACAGACCATCAAGTTCTGTGAAGAGCAGGACCTCCAATTTGCTGAGAATGCCAATGGTCAAATGTATCTCAACTGGGGTGCTCGTCCTGTTGACTCTGTCGGTAAGATATTACAACCTGAACCCTGCGCTGAGATGTGCTATCGGCACCTTTTTGTCCCATCTATTATCCCGTTTGTCCCGTCTAACCCCTTCCCCCTTAGGTTTTTCACCTTCTTCCGAGCATGCCTTCTCGGATACATACGTTGAGTCAAAGCGTGCTGGCCGAAACTTGGTGGCTGTCATTCTCGGAATGACCATTCGAGAGGCTGCGGCCATGGGCATGATCGATGAGTCTTCAGTGCCTGAGCGCATGGATGAAACCCCTTCAGAAGTTCCTGGGGCCATGGGCATGATCGATGAGTCTTCAGTGCCTGGGAGCATGGAAGAATCCCCTTCAGAAGTTCCTACACCCGTTGAAAACACTCTCTTCGTGAGTGACAAGGACAACACGACTCCTGCTCCTACAGTGGAAATCGTCCCTACGTCTCTGGACAGTGCTTTTCCAACCTCCGCTTCGCCCGCGAAGAATGTATTCAACCCTTTCCAGCAAACCTCACAAACGCCCTCGCCATTTGGGAATCACCCTCAATCGATCCAGCCTACCGCTGAGGCTGCACCCCCACAGCCTGCAAATCCCTTCTCTGCCATGTTCTCTGGCACTCCAGTCAATAAAGCGGCAGAAACGGTACCGGCAAACCCGTTCGCTGCTAAGCCTTCACCCTCGCCTTCTCCATTCGCCTTTTCGACGCCGGCCGAAACAACTCGGGCAGAGAGTGCCTTTACGGGTCCTTCTACGGCTTTCTCGGGGCCTGGGGCGACAGAAGCCGCTAATGAGGGCACGCCCCCTGCATCGTCTCCATTTAGTTTCCCCAAACCGGCTGAAACAGCTGAGAAAGCCGATGCACCTGTAACCACCTCTCCATTTGCATTTCCCAAGCCAACTGAGACGGCTGAGGAATCTGGCGCTACCGCAAACACTTCCCCCTTTGCTTTCCCCAAGCCGAATGGACCGATTGAGAAACTTACCGCTCCTCCAACGAACTCTCCATTCGCTTTCCCCAAGACGGCCGGGACAATAGAGAAGGAGATCACACCAGCAGCATCGCTTAACCCATTTGCTGCCTCCTTGTCTGCTTTTGTGCCCCCAAAACCGTTGGGACTACCGGAGGAAGTGACTGCTCCTGAAAAAGCCCTCTTCCCTACAACAAAGGCCAACTTAGCTACATTGAAACCATCGGAGGTGTCGACTGCCGAGGAGACCTCCGTGCCCGTGTCACAACCTGGCGAAATTCTATCCACAGCACCGAGTGTAACTCCAAAGCTTTTTGGTCCCTCGCCCGAGCCCTCTGCATTCTCTGCATTTCAAAACAAGAAGCCTCTGTTCCCCTCTTCGAGCCCCATCGCGAGTACGAATGCCGTCGCCGAGCCTTCTTCAAATCAAGAAAAGGAGTTTGGGTTCCCGCAAATCCAGCTAGATTTATTCGCCAAGCCCACGAAGCCCAAGCAAGGTGAAGCTACCTTGCCAAAACTACCATTGACAGACGGTCCTGCGAAGAGTCCGGAACCGATAGAGCCCGCTTTATCTGTTTCGCAGCTTGACCAATCGACCACCTCGCTCAGCTCAACTCAGACCTCTGTTGACTCCGATAATCTTCAATGGCGTCCCCCACAGACAGAAGAGGAGGAACGTGCCCTTTTCAAGCGAATCATGAGGCGCGCCGAGGAAAAAGCGCAACGCAAGGAGGAGAAGCGAAAGCGAAAGCGGGTCCAAGAAGAACAAGCATTGTCGGATTCATTGCGCGAAGAACGACTGAAAGCATCAAAGCTATCAACATCCGAAGAGTCATTACCACCCGCAAAGAGATTCTCACTCGCGGAGTCGTCCATCAAAGCTCTACCAACACTCCCTTGTCTAGAAAGAGCCAGGGCTCTTCTGGAGAAAAGGCCGGCTTCCGCTGAGCCGGATACCGAGGTCACAAGGAAACGTCAACGTGAGATCGACGAGGATGAAATGCTCCTCAATTCTGCTCGCATCGTTGCCGAACAGCTACGCACCGGGCCCAAGATCTTCGACGACATGTCACCGCAAAGCCTGGCTGAGTACAACGCGTACCACGCATACTGGGAAGAACGGGGCAAGCGCAGCCGCTCCTACAGCAACAGCATCAGTCCTTCTATCACACCCTACGCACAGAGCGCATCGCCACCACAGTTCCCACGCCATCCTTACGAGGTTGCGTACGCACCCGATACGCCTCAGGGTCTGGGACGTACGATGTCTCGCACTGAGTACCGCATTCGGATGACCGGCGGACATGGATTGGCGTACAAGCCTTTGGATTTCTCGCGGTTGAAAAGTCACAAGCATCTAGACAAAGAAAAGGACAAGGGCAAGAGCCGTTTTGCGATGAGTGGATAAGAGGGGTTAACCTGCATACTTTATGTCATTAGCATAGTTTGAGGCGGGCGTTTCTGGATGAATCAGTTTGATTCTTTTTCTGTTTATGGTGGCTACGAATGGATCTATTCGAGTCACAACACATTGCACGGTGTTCGGGCGGTTCGACAGTCATACCCGATTTTTTCTGATTAGCCTGATATTTGATATTGTTTCCATGAAGACAAATCAACTCTATTCTTATTTTATATTTTTTTTATGCATACTGAAATAGTAACTTGAGCGTTTACTGGTAGGGATCGACTTGAAGTTCGTGGTTGGGTTTAGCCTGTGGGAAATTAGGATCCTCAGGCACCAACTTCCTCTTCATCAAGCGCACGTCCTCGTCTGACTTTACATGTCCCCCCATTCTTAAGCTACTCCCCACGTACTGAATTGAGAACTTCAATCGTGTTCGGTCCAAGCTTTGAGCGTCGAGAAGTCTATCTAGTGCATCCAAGAATTTCGAGTCGACAATTTTCACGCCATTCTGGAAACCACAGCGGCCACTGTCCGGCTCGGGCTTAGGACAGTATTCTTTCGGGCAAGCACCGGGTTCAAAACCTTACCCAATGCGAATAACTCCAATTGCTATCACTCACGATTGAATCCAATCCAACAACAAACTTCCTGTTTGTCGAGGGGCTTTTCAAGCTCGGGTCTGCTAGGGATGAGGATCGCCACATTGCAATTTGCCCCAAAGCTGGGTGATGTTACGGGGAACATCAAAAGAGCTAATGATTTGCTGAAACGGGGCAAGCATATCTCCCTTGATGGACAGAGTCATGGGATAGGGATTGGAATAGAGTATCTACGTCCTGATATACTGGTATTGCCGGAGTTGGCTTTGACGGGTACGTTTTGAGCGGAACCGATGAGGGCATGATTTCCTGCGCATTCTCATACATTTGCTTTCCCTTTGTTCAACTCGTCCTAGAAGTTTACAACTTTCTGACGTTCATCTTCAGGATACAACTTTCCCTCCAAAGAAGCCATCAAACCATATCTAGAGCCTGCCGGATCAGGTCCCAGCGCTGCATGGGCGCGGGATACAGCCAAGCGCCTGCGTTGCAAAGTCTGCATCGGCTACCCAGAGATTGAGCACAGTACCGATGAGACAGAAAGTCCCAAGTACTATAACTCGCTTCTCGTGGTTGATGAGCTGGGTACGGTAATCCACAACTATCGCAAGAGCTTCCTGTACTATACAGATGAGACCTGGGCCACGGAAGGCAGTGTAGATCTGGGCTTCCGCAAGTTGGCATTCACGCCACGCACCGAGCCTGAGACCAAGTCCGGGTCCGCGACCAAGTCTATGGCAGACCTGTCCCAGCATGAGGTACCTACCGCATTTGGTATCTGCATGGACATAAACCCTTATAAATTCGAAGCACCCTACACAGCCTACGAATTCGCCAACCGCGTGTTAGACTCGGGCTCACAGCTGGTCATCTTATCGATGGCCTGGCTGACACTAATGGGGAAAGAGGACATTACTGCCCTGAACGGAAAGCCTGATATGGACACGTTCAGCTACTGGCTAAACCGGTTTATGCCCCTCCTGGAAAAGAAGATGCGGCACGCGGGGGATATCGATAGCCACACCGAACGCCACGGCGCATCGACCGATGCGGCGACCAAGAGGACCGTGATTATTTTTGCCAATCGCGCCGGGGAGGAGCCGGCGGCAGATGATACCAAGCCACCGGCGCGGTATGCGGGGACGAGTGCCGTCATTGCTGTGACGCAGCGGGCTCGTCTAGGTTCTGGATCGGGATCGGGGTCGGAGTCAGGGTCACGGGTTTTGGATGGGATCGACGGTGGAGAGAAGGGCGAGGGTGAGAAAGAAGGTACTATGGAGACGAAGATCGCCTGCTGGGATCTACTGGGCGCGGGGGAGGAAGGGATTTGTTTTGCGGATACTACGGCAGACCCGAAAATGGTGTTTGGGTTACGGAAGAGAGGGGGTGGAGAGGAGAGTTCTGGAGAGGACTCTGAAGCATCGGGATGAAATGTGAGACATCCTGAGGCGGATCGCAGGGTAAATATGAAGGATTGCGTCAGGACTTCAAGAGAGGAGGTTGCCTTCTTTGCCTATGACGGCGTCCGCCGCGTTTCAGGTGTATGATTAGAGAAGAGCATTGATACCTAGAAAGAATAGCTCTTTATGCTTCATGCGTTACCAACAACCACGGATCTATACTTCAATGTAGCCAAAAGATCTCTATCACGAGTCATGTATGTAGGTATATGGTTATACTCGTCTATCCACATACATTATCTCCGGATTCACCCGTTGCTCTCCTACTCGCCAGACCCAGGATGATCTCATGGGAGATCGACTTCTGCAGCAACCGCCGGACACACCTTATTTCATCGCTGATCTCATGACCGGGCGATCTACTACCTGGGCAGATTCGACAAGGTGACATGGGTTGACGGAGCCCGGAGTATTAGCAGTAGTGGTAGAGTAAGAAGGACGGGCGGGTGCAACCCTCGCGCAGCAGGAGGATTTTGAATGATGGAGGGTAGTGGAAGAGGGGGGAAGGATGTCAAAATTCTACAGTAGTGTGGTCAAGATCCACATGTGATCTCCTGCTGGAGATGGAGTAGCAATACTAGTTATGCATTAAATTCGAAGATCAGGTCTAGACGGTGCAGAGCGGAAGATGGCATGCATCCCCGTGTTGCATGATGACGAAATATCGAGTAATGTGGACAAGTATTAAGCTCACAGGAGAGGATTAGCATTGTATTTGTCGGCCCAGAAGGACGAATATCAAGAACAAGTATGGATTATCGAGGATGGCGAAGGTTGAGCAAGTATGAGACTCACCAGTCCACCAGTCCATCCGCAAGTCAATCAAGCCGATCGGTGGCCCGTGCGGGGCTGGGCTGGGTGACCAGCACGTGATTTTGAGACAGCCGTCCAATCAGAGGGGAGAGTCGCAGTGTGTGCGAGGGGCACGGGATCCCAGCACCTGACTGGAGAGCAGGTGAAAGTACGGGGGCGATAAGGATGGATTTAGAAATGTCCTGAATGTAGGGCAGTGGGCTCGTTTCTCGAAAATATTAACAATGGGCACCGAAGACATTTTCCATCATTTATACCTATCATACTCTCTGAATTCATGCATGCCAGTATCCTTGCTGACATAAGTTGGAAGCCTCCGGTCAGGTGATCCCACTCGTTGGTTCTGCACTGTTGGTCTTCGTGGTCTCCCCCATTCTCCTCGCGCCGCACCTCCTCCTCTCTCCACGTGAGCAGTCCCTCTCGACCCGGTCGCTCAACATCCCTCAAGAACATCCCTTTTTCCATGTAAAATCGCCTGGTTTTGTTTCATGGTCGAACGGATCTGATCTGCGGCAATCTCCACGCTCCAGTTTCTTTTCCCCTTCATTTTGGGGTTCCATTTCGGTTTTCGAGTGTCGACATCGCGAACAACGTGACTTCCGGTCTGTTATTGTCCGTGGCAGGTGACTTCCTGTCAGGTGATAGATAGGATCATCCCAAGGTAACAACTTCCCATCGGCCCCTGCTATCCCCTGCCCCGCTGCATGGCTTCACGATGTGCGCGTTTCTCATCGCGAGCGCTGCCCTTTCGGCCGCTCTACCCTGATGCCATTGCGCCCCCCTCTTTGCCGACCAGGCGATCACCCTCCCAAGTGCGTGTCGACGGTCGCCCGCAGCCATGACGCGCCTGTGAAGTCGTCGCGACGTCGTCGCCAGGACGGTCCTTGAAAACCTCAAACGTTCGGAATGAAGCTTGATCGCGTCGCCGTCGCTGCCTAGGAGGCCTGCGCCCACGATGCACCCAGCTGGGTCCTGTCTCCTCCGTGAGGGGGGAAGGCACCCGCTCCCCGGGCGCGTCGGCTTCGCGCGTTTTCTCTGTTTACCCCGAGGCAGATAGTCGATCCTACCGAGGGAGGGTGCGACCTGTCTTTCATGCACTAACCTTGCTACTCACACACTTGTCCATCTTACAATACGCACTGCTACTTAAGACTTTCTTTTTTGGAATCGCCTTCGATGACTAACCTTCTCGCCGCTGCTCAGGTCTCCGTACTCTAGGCTATGTCCGATCCCACTATGAACAGCCCAGACGGTGCAGGCGGCAAACGTAAGCGCGAGGGCTCTGATGACCTTGGCCACGACGCACAGCGTCTGAATCGCTCGTCACACGGCAGCAACGGCAGCATGCCGGACAACCAGCATAATTTCGGCCATTCAATTGGCTATGACCATGGCCTCGGTAACGCAGGGTCCGAGTTAAACATTGACCAACAAATTCTCCAGCACGTTGGCCAGAATGGACTGTCTGATGACAATGCTCTCACAGCCAATGCTAAAGCTGCACTGGCTGCACATGCCCCTCAGCACAAGTATCCCCCTCCCCCGGATGCTGCCGCCTTCGATGCGAACAACCTTACACAGGGGTTGAACTTTGGTGATGATATGGGCCAGGGACCTATTCCCGGTCCCCATAACCACAACTCTACTGCTGCTGCGGTGTATGCTGCTCGTGAAGCGCAAAGTATGAACCAGAAGCCCACTGTCGGTTCTCCTGAGTGGCACCAGATCCGCAAAAACAACCACAAAGAGGGTACGTGTCTTTTTCAGAACGAATTCTCCTGTCTCTTCTGTTTACTGACCCCCCTTTCTAGTTGAGCGACGTCGACGTGAGGCTATCAACGAGGGAATCAACCAGATCGCCCGCCTCGTACCGAACTGCGATAAGAACAAGGGCGCCATTCTTCAACGCGCCATTGAATACATTTGTCAGCTTCAAGAAGAGAAGAAGAACATCGACGAGCGGTTCGAGCAACACAGTCTCACCGCCAATCATGCCATCAACGAGATCAGCGCTTCCAACCAAAAGTTGAAGCAAGAAATCAGCCGGCGCAATGCCATCGCCTCCAAGTGGCTCCAGCGCTGCCGCGATGCCGGCCTAGAGTTCGATGACTACGAGGAGGCTAAAGAACTCGAGACCCTTGATGGGATGGAGTAAGGGATCAACTCGGCCAGCTGGTTTTAGGCTTCTCGTTCGCATGTGATGTGCCACGATTGTCTCGTCCTATTTCTGTTTTTTTCGGTGGTTAAGATTTTGAACATACCCTCATTTCCCGTTCCTCGATCTGATTTTTCTGGGATCAGATTTCCAAATTTTTTCCAACTTCTTGATTTTTCTTTCAGAGAGCGGACATTGCCGTGGTGGCTTCCGCGCTGTTACATCCCCTATTTTGACTTGATAAAGCTCATTCGACTACCGTCTATCGTTGCTGGTACGCCTCTGCGGTTTTCTCGCAAGAGGGTCGTCTGCGTTGTTGCTTTGACTTGGAGTGGCGCACTTCCTCTTTTTTTGATTGACTCTTGCCTTCCTGCCCCCCTCTTCTCTGGCCTGTATGTTACCGCGCTTTTGTATTACGTTATTCTTTCATCGTTAATGGATGGATCGGCGAAATTTAGGGATTGGTTTTGGGTTTTTATGGATGCCACAATGCTGCCAGTATAATGCAAGATTCTCTTTATATTTATTTTCCTACTCGACCTATGTATAGTTGTCAAAGTGCGAACGCGTTTGCCTGTCAGTAGATCATGAAGGGAAGTCCACTCCGTTTGGCCTACCTGGGCGATGTTCCTGTCAGAGTTGTTTTGTTGTCAAAATGCCATACAGAGTGGGAACCAATCAGATCAAATGTGAATTGTCCTACCAGTAACCTGAATGTTGATAGGTGACTTGCCCTTCTTGCGCAGGATAAGAGACCTCGGCAATCAAGGGCGACGAGAGGAAGAAGAACAGGGCCTCGTTCAGAAAGCTTGGAGAGCAAATGCCTTTATAAGTAATCGAATGTCGACATCATTATATTGGGGCGGGAACGTACATTCCTAGGGTGTGGCTGCTCCTCCAGGTACGGTCTCTTGTATTAATATGTTTTCTTAGCATCCAGATATACCTGAGCAGGGAAGCACGACCCTAGGCATAGAATTGACTGTTTTCTGCTGAGAGAGTTTTAATTCGAACTACGGCACTCTCTCTTCTGTACTCTCATCATCTCTTCGACACGTCACCTTGATGAACCTAAACTAAATAGACTTTCGATTCTCTATAGTACTAGTACTCCCTCAATCCCCTTGTATACAACAACGAACATCAATTTCACAGGTTCGAAGAAGCAGTAATCTCCGAACCAGAAGAACATCCAACACTGTTCACAACAACGGTAGTTCCTGACTGGCCAGTAACACGAACATCAACAGTGTCAACACCGAATCCAGAAGACTGCTCAAAGTAGTTGTAAGAAGTGCGGGTGGTGCTCTGCCAAGTGCTACCGCCGTCGGTGCTCACCTCGAGCTTGGTGACGGGCTCGTTGGCATTGACAACCTGCATGGAGAACCAGTACTGGGAAGTACCCTCCTTGTTCTTCAGCTTCAGGGGGCCGGAGAGGTCGCAGGCGGTGTACTCCCAGGTGATATCGATCACGCCCGCAGAGATATCGGAGAGCTCGGCGAAGGCGTCTTGGAAGAGGTCGAGGTGGCTGGCGGCGCACTCGGGGCATTGGTCGACGATCTAAAAGAGTGGTGAGTATGCCTGGACGGAATGCAATTTAGGCGGCTTTCCCGTATCCTGACTTACCATAGCCTTAATGGTGTTACCATTAGGTCCAGTAACTGCAACGCAGGCACCGCACTCGGCAGCATTGTCCCAGGCAGCGCCAGAGAAGGCAGTGCCGAAAAGGCCGCTGGGCAGAGTGTAGCCGGAGTAAGAGCAGGTTCCACCAGCGACGTTGCCACCATAGAAGGTAGCCTCTCCGGAGGTGGAGCCCGAGGATGAAGAAGTAGAAGACTTGGTGGAAGTGCTAGCAGAAGAAGTAGAAGAGGTGGCAGTAGCAGCAGCTTCGGTGGTGGAAGTAGAGGAGGCAGACGAAGTAGTCTCCTGGCTGGTGGTAGAAGAAGTAGCAACCGCAGCAACGGCGTTCTCGGTGGACAGTTCTGCGACGACTGCGACAGTACTCTGCGTGGTCATGGCGACTGGAGCCTCGCTAGTTGGCACGGGAGTGGAAGAGGTAGTTGAAGAAGAGGTCGAAGCGGCTTCGTCGCCAACGGCAGTAGTGGTCTCGACAGGAGCAGGAGTCTCCATAACGGCCACAGGAGAGGAAGTAGAGGTGACTTCCGGAGCAGCCGCGTAGGTGGAAGTCAGATACACAGTGCTATAGCTAGTATAGACGGACACGGTGTAGCCCTTGGGGCACTGGTTGTGCTCATGACGGCCGCCCAAGTGCTTGGCAGAGACAGTAGCGGTGGCGCCGAAGAGGACGGCACCGAGGGAAAGAAGACGCTGGTACTTCATTGTGTGGAATTGAAATTCAGAAGTCCGGCTGAAAGAAGTATATCAACGGTGGAATGAAAATCGCGGGGACGCCTGTCGTAGATACGGCAATTGAATGAACGATCGGAAGCACGGTTTTATTAGCCAAAGATCGAAGGCACAAGAATACCGGCTAGAAAGAATGGACGTCTGGATATCAAATCCCAGACTTGGAATGAATGGCAAGCTGTCGCAGACAGGTGAGCGTGAGAAAGGAAGAGAGTAACGAACAAGAGAAAAAAAGGGTCCAGAATGGGCTCATCTGGTCATCATAAATCATGGTTGAAACGGCTGCAATAATAAGCCCACCAATCTAGAACCGTTTCGAGGGGTCACATCATTTACACTCGGAGGGACGAAAAGAAATGAAATCGAGACACTTGAAACGCGCGTGGATCCATCGCGCCTTGTCTGATGCTCGGAAGAAGCCGAAAAAGGTGCGATCCGTGCCTGACAGGGTTTAGTTCGTTTTAGTTTATTGCGGTGGGGATGCAGCTCGGAGAAATTGATTAAGTGGAAATGAAGCTAAGACAGGACGACTAGCATCCTAGATGGTCAACTTGGGGCCAAAATGATTCGTCGGATTCAGAGGGAACCACTTTCTAGGTGAACAAAATAGTGGCAAAGATGGCAAAAGGGTTTCCAACGGTCGGCGAGCAAGTATAAAATCAACTATCGTGCATCCCACATGATCTCGTTCAGGCGTAGCAACGCATCGGCACTGGCCTTCTTCGCTGCCATAAAGTCCTCTCGACTCTCGGCACCCCGGGGTCCACGCGAGATCTCCGAGAAGCACAGGTCCACGAGGACTCGGAGCTCATCGTAGGTGAACGGTTCGCCGTTGCCAGCGGCCAGAGCTTTATCACCCTGAGCTGCAAACGCTTCCTTCTCCTCTTTAGCGTAATCCAGGGCCTTCTCCGCCCCCTCTAGGAACCAGTCCAAGAACTTGGCACTTCTCGGCAGCGCCACCACCTCCTGAGATGCAGTCTCGCTCCCTTCCGTCGCAGCGGGGTCAATAATGATGTTCTTCAAATTCTGTTGTAGAACAAGCACATCTAGCTGGAGACGAAGAGCGCCGTTCTCGTTCATTGCACCGATGTAGCGTGTGCATGCCACAAACACCCGATCAATGAATCGTGCCAGACCAGATGCAATGAACCAGTGCTCGGCAGAACCCAAGTAGGTGGATATATTGGTGTCAAACCCGATCAGATCACCATTCAACTGGAGAATCGAGGGGGATGCGGCGGTCGGTGGATTCAAAATAATATGCCACCAGTTCTCGGTCGAACCGGGTGACGGAGTTAATGGAACAGAGTTCCTCACAGTCGGCGGGTTGGGCCCCGACATGGTCTTCGTGAGCATGTGAATGATGCCGCACCGAATATCGACATGCAGTGTTAAGAGAGCGTTAGAGCCAAGTCCATGAAGTGACTCGAGAGTCTGGTCGAATGCTGCAGCCGTTTCATGGTTCAGCGGCAGGTATACAGGCGTGTTGATGCTGTCACGTTTGGGTTTCATAGCTCCAAATAGAGTCCATCGGCGAGATGGGCGACCATTTGCGGTCAACACAGATGTGTCTTCCCCCGGTGATGAGTCGACGATCTGTCTGATCTTCGCAAGGTGGCTTCCAAGCCATTGCTATAGGTTGATCGTTAGCAATTGATCTGATTGCTTTAACGATGGAAATCTGTACTCACCAGACTGTTGTACAAGAGCGATAGCGCAACAACGGTCTTTGGATCCGATATAATATCATAGGGTTCCAGGGGAACCTGATCAGTCCGTTTGAGAAGAAGGTCGATTTCCTGTCGTTATTAGAAATATTTCTTTCATGACTTCATCATACTATAGAGGTCTCACAGTATCAATAAGTGTTTGCTTCTTCGCGCCAGCCCCCTTCCAAAGCTCTTCAACCACGTCATGAATGTCACCAGACTCGGCAAAACCAGCAGCAGCTTTCAACCGCACCTCGCCACCATGATTCCGTGCGGAAACCTTGGTGACCATGGCTAATATGATGGATAAGGTTGGGAGCTCAAAATGATTCGCGGTTCGACGGTAACTTACCCTTGTACCAACCACAACACTTATCGTAGTAAGTCACGATCTGGTCAATCAGGAGCTGGGTAAACGCCTGATCGTGCGGAATGCTCGATAACATCTTGCTGAATTCTCGAATAATGGACATAAACTTGACCGTACCCTGAGTTGACAGTCTGGTTAGAAACTTGGTAGTGCTTTCTCTGAACGACGGTCTTACCTTAAAGATAGGCCGCGGTGAGACCTTTGTCCATTGCGGGTCTTCAGTAAACGCGTCGGCCGCGATAAAGCTGAGTGTGCACAAGTCGGTCACAGTCTCGTCCAGCTGGGGAAGGAAGACGTTCACCATGAAGTCATCGAGGAAAAACGTCAGGGTGCTCATGGAGATATCCGAGTCGACAGGCACGATGTCCTTAAGACGCTGGATGAACGAGAGCGATGGCGGAAGAAGAAGTCTCATATTAAAGACACTAGGCTCAAGCAAGATCTTATGACCGGTACCTGAATTGCCTGGCCGCGAAGGTGAAACATCATTTGCAGAAATCTTTTGTCGTGTCTTGGATACAAGACCTGGAACAGATAATTGAAGAATTTCATCCAACTCATCTTGTTCGGCCTTCATCTCTGAGCTTTGTTCGATGTCGGATAGCTTGAACAATTTCTTGTTCCTATCCCGGTTACCCGCAGTGAGGTGCCGTCGGGCATCCGCCTCATCGCCTCTAGACCTGAAAGATGTCTCTCCATCCGTTGCAAGATAATCATGGAGCAGTGATCGAATCTCGCTTTGTAGAAGCTTCCACAATTCCTTGAATCCACCGGAGAGGGCATTAGTTTTAGCGGCACCCTCACGTCCCAGGATTGCCGCGATCACATCATGGACAACCCTGTGGCCCTCTGCAATAGATTCGAACTTTGCAAACAAAGCCAGAAGATATTCGGTCAGGACATGGCCACGCTCCTCAATATTTTCCGTTGGTAGATTGGATTTGAGCGAGTTATCATGCGATGAAAAGGTCCGAGTCGGAGTGGGATAGCGAGCGTCCACTTCAGCATTCGTCTTGTCGACAACTGCGAAGAGCTCAACCGGAAGACGTTGCGCGATTCGATCAACAGCAGTATCAAGATGGCCCATCTTATTCAGGGCTTCCATCAGCAGCTGAATGTATGAGAAGGTGTCTGCCTCGGGATTTCGAGAGGCATCTTCAACCATTGGAGTTGTCGCGTCAAACTTGGCCAGGAAACTGTACACGGGGCGTTCCCACGAGCGATTCCCAGTGCAGGTGCTGGAGTTGATGTCACTCTCTCCGACTGGGGCTTTCCATCGATCCGAGCAGTAGGGAGATTTCAAATACAAATGATCATGCAGCTCCTCAATCAAGATGTCTGTCAAAGAGGTTTCTTGATTATTGAAGTAAGCACGAACATCAGAGAGAGCATCAATATCTTCAAGCTCAGAGCGGCGTAGAAGCCGAAGGCCAGTATGCAAGACCTCGACGGCCGCGAGGAAGCGCTTATCAGAGATGCGAGACTCGAGCTTCTCGGGAAGAGACTGGATCTCCTCGATCTGGGCAAACAATTGCATGATATCGTCATAGTTCTGCGAGGAAGTAGCCAACCCTTTCAGCTCCGGCTTCGTAGACAGCAATCCTGACTTTGCATCCTCCAGGGAGTTTCTCAGGTTGCGCACTCGTCCTTGAGAGCTAGAGATATTACTCTGGATCATGTGGTACGTTCCGATAGAGCTGTTGAAGCCCTGGTGGTGTTCGTTCACGATTGCCTTGAGCGTTCTCTGAATCTGGTTATACATGTTGAGGAAGTCGGGTTCCCGGTCTGCCTTGCCCAATGTGCTCGTATCCATCAAACTGAGGGCGACATGCACGGGAATGCATTCGGCGTCGGTCATGAAATCCCACTCGCGCTGAATAGACTGGAGAACATCTGAGACCATAGCACATCAGCAACCATAACATTATTGATGAATATACTAGCACGTAAAAAATGCGCTCAAAGTCCAGACGAACCTTCCACGGATCGCATTTCAGCTGTATTGCTTTGCATCATCCTGGTATCAGATGCATTCACATCTCGACCCCTGCTCTCCGGGTAACGTGGAGCCTCGCGGGTGCGATCATCCCTCGCGCCCTGATACCTCTTATCTACCTCTCCGTTTCTCGTCCGTGACCGCGAGGTAGACTGCGTTGGCTGTTGCTGTCTCTCTCGATCTGCCCGATCGCGCCGGCGCTCCGGGGACGGTGGTCCGGGGGGTGCGAGAGAAGGCTGCTGTGAGGATTCAGGGTAAAATCCACCATAGCCACCGGGGCGGCGATCGCGACTCCCTCCTCGATCTCCCCCTGCCCCGCTTCCTGTACTCCCGGCGCTGCGGTCGTTGTAACCGTTCGCCCCGAGGTTGCCATTGCCGTAGCCGCCATCACCGGTGTCATATCGGCTGGCGCCGGAGGCTCCGTAGCCGTAGCCGTAGCCGCTTCCCCCGCTCATTCCAAATTATCTCAGATCAGTATGAAATCGTGCGGGGACTGATTCGGGAAGGTGTTCGTTGGCTGCGACAAGGGGCGTGGGGCGGGTGATTTGTGTGTGTGCGAGTGTATTCGAGTCTTCAAGTACTGTGGCTTGTGCGCAGCGAGTATGAGATAGTGAAAGTGACCATTCTCAGGCGCGCAATTGAGTGCACACGTGAGACAGCAATGCGAGGACGTTCGTGGAAGTGGAATGGCTGAACAACGTTCGGCGGGACGGGGGTTCCAGGTGTTCGGGGCCCACACAAGCTCGCCGTGGGCCGCATTCCGCGGCCAGACTTAACTACAGAGTACAGCTATAGAATACGAAGGCTAGTCTTCCATTGAGTTGCAGCCAGAACAACATATGCTATTCTGCTTATCTTCGGAATACTCTTATGAAGTTTATCATACCCCACTCAGAGGGCCCCATGCTGATGTGCGTTTCGGGTTCCCAAGCACCGGCCAAAACGTATCATCAAGCTATAGAGCAGACTAATGGTTCATGAAAAGATCTTCGAAATAAGACAGATTCCCTTTTCAAAAGATATGAATTTTTGTATATCAAGGTATCCAAAATGAATAGACAAGGTGATCTTATCCTCCACGCCAGTGGGATATCTTATTTACCGCCTCTACCTTATGTATCAACGGGACCGCAGACTGTACTCTATTTTGAGATGGGTTGGGTCTCACGCTCAAGCCACTTCCGAGACAACTCATCCTCCTTGAAGAAGTGGTGAGTCTTATCCCAGACCTCGGTGTGGTAGTCGTTCACCCACTTGAGCTCGGAATCACTCAACAGAGATGGCTCGATGAGGTTGCGACCAATAGGGGTCATAGTAACGTGCTCAAAGCCAAGCCACTGCTTGTCACCAAACTTGTGGGCGGTCTTGACCTCACGAGCCAAAATGATGTCTATAAAGGATTCAATTAGAACGCGTCAACTGAACATGACTCAAGAGGACTCACTCTCAATGCGAATGCCGAACTTGCCGTCCTCGTAGTAACCGGGTTCTGGAATCAATGGTCAGTATCAAGATGGCTTTACAATGAAGAGAACAGTCATACCATCCGAAAGCACATTTCCAGCAGCAATGGGAACTTCGGTGTACTGAACGCGGGTACCAATGCCCATGGGGCCCTCGTGGACATTCTGGTCTTGGTTAGCATACGGTGAAAGACACAATCTGCCGTTGGTCGGGTATTTACCAGGTAGGAGCCAACTCCGTGACCAGTACCGTGAAGGTAATCCAGGCCTTCCTTCCACAGGAACTGACGGGCAAGAACATCGATAGCGAAGCCACTAGTGCCCTTGGGGAACACGGCAGTATCGATGGCAATGAGACCCTTCAGGACCAATGTGAATGCCTGCTTCTCGAACTCGGTAGGCTGGCCAAAGTGGAATGTGCGGGTGGTGTCAGTGGTTCCATCCAGGTACTGGCAGCCAGAGTCGCAAAGATAGATGGCGGTGGGATCAATGATTGAGCAGCTTCCCTTCTCGGGCTTGTAGTGAATCACTGCACCATTGGGGCCGGTAGAGGAGATGGTATCGAATGACAGACCGGCAAAGAGATCGTGCTTGGTGCGAATCTGCTCAAGCTTGTCGGCAGCATCGACTTCATCCAGGACAGTCTTCTTGTTGACGAGCTCGTTTTCGAGCCAAGCAAAGTACTCGGTCAAGGCAGCGCCATCACGGATATGACATGCGCGCATTCCCTCGAGCTCGGTCTCATTCTTTACAGCCTTAGCATCACCAATGGGGCTGCGGGTCTCCTCCACCCGTTCCTCTCCACCAAGATTGAGGCTCAGGGCCCAGGAGGCCCTGTTAGACAGCAGGAATTTCTTGGGCGCCTCATCAGTCGCCTGACTGCGCGCCGTGCTAAGAGCCTTGGCGTCGGCGAAGATGGAATCGTATGGCTTGACAATTACGTCTTGTCCCAAATGAGCGTTCACTTCGGGGGTGAGCTTGTCCGCCTCGACGTAAAGCTCGGCAGTAGTGGGAGTGATGATAGCATATGAGAAGAAGACAGGGTTATAGGGGATGCTAGTTGAGGTCAGTAGCTGCCAATGATCAATACTGTTGGGGAAACTCACTCGCTTCCTCTGAGGTTGAATAGCCATGCAATCTCGTCGAGCATGGCTGTGATTCATGGTTAGCGAGTGGGCATAAAACATGAGAGCGGATTCCCCATACAAATAACAAATCCGGCCTTTTTCTTCGTCTCCAGTTCCTTTCGCAGGTCTGCCACCTTCTCCTGGAACGACTTGCCAGCATACTGTACCGGGTGCGCGCGCACCTTCTCACGTGGCCGCGAGGGGCGGTCCTTGCCCCAGACCAGATCGACCAAGTTTTGTTGAATTCCCACCAACGAGGAACCGTTCTTTTCGAGGGTCTCTGCGAGCTTGCGCGCACCAGCTGAATAAGGGATCTATCAGTTACGAAACTTGCCGTAGGGACATATCCCACTTACAGGCCGTGATCAAAGAAGGGTCAACACCAACGGTCTTACCACCCTGCGCCTGCTCCGTTGTCCTGTAGCACATTCAGCATCTCATATCCAAGCTCCAGCCAAGTATTGTCCATACCATTCCTGCCACGTGGGGACACCCTCAATGCCCCGCTTCAAGAGGTGCCAATTGCTATCCAGCTGTTTCGCAGCCTGGTTGAAGTAGCGTCCGTCGGTGGAGAGGGCAGCTTTGCTCAGAGAGATGATCGCAGTACCGGCAGAGCCAGAGAAGCCGGAAATGAATTCTGCAATTGAACAAATAGTGAGTCACCAAGCTGGAAAGATCGAAAGTATTGGGTATCGCTAACCTCGGCGGCCGTCACAGGGCGCAATGTACTCGGACTGGTGGCTATCCTCGGAAGGAACGACTTGAGAAATCAATTAGCAGAGTCCTCAAAGTGTCATTGCCGCAAGACCGGGATGGCGAATATAGCAGCATACTGTAAACATCCACATTGTGCTCCTTCATCAGCTGTCGCAGCTGCGACAGGCGGGTTGTAGTATCCACGGTCCCCATATCGATAATAAGTCGAGGCCGAGAATTGGAAAAGAACCTAGAGGGTAGGAGGGGACTCAGCGATCGCAAGGGTGTCCGAGGCAGGCGTATGGAGCGGGAGAAGAGCATGGACGCCGACACAAAGTGTGCGGAGAAAATGCGCGCCGAAGGGAAGAGGGATCGAGCTCTCGCACCAAAGGCTGATAATCCTCGCGAGGGGAAAGGGGATCACGAAAGGAGGGGGCGAAGATAAAGCCGGTTGATAACGAGCTCGGGGTGGCTACAGTCGGATTGGTCGTGTGAGTACAGTAGTCTCCGGGCTCTTGTTGCAAGCGGCGACGTTACTCATAGGGCGACGATAGCCGGAGGTCTCATCCACCGGCCCACTCTGCCGTGTTGTCATGTTTGCAACTGTGGAGGCGCCCATAATTTCAGTATGCCAAGCATGAGTAGCTGCAATTGCTAGAGAAGCTGTCAAAATAGATATCTCAAGTAGGCTGACTGCTTTGTTCTACCATGGTAGCTCAATAGGCATTCCTTGTCCCGCGACCACCAGCTCGGGCGTCACAATACGGGACAATGTCTTGATCATACCTGGCACCTCCTCCCAATTGCGCCTATATCTAATGGGCCACTGAGGTGAATAGCATACCAAGTAGCGAAATATACAGGAAATTTCATGCTTGTTTCTGGAAATAAGCCAAGGGTGCTGCGTCCTATCCAGTCGAGCATACGGCTAGACGAATGATTTTACACGCAGCATGCCCGGAATCTTTGTATGGAAAACCACTTAGTAGTATATTCCATGAGGACTGATCAACGAGTATGATGACTTCATCGCCGCTGGGATGTTCTTTCTCGAGCGAGTGCGCGGAGTACGAGCACATCAAATCAAGACAGAATGCTGCATAAACCAGGCGGTAACATCACGTGATGTCTTTGATCCATGGCCTCACGTACTGACCTGACTTGTACCGTACAACCATAAGTTGACTTTTGATCATCATTTTGAGAAAGTGGCTAGGCTCTATAGCTCTCTTCTCCATCTGTATCTCACGAATTTTGACGGTGTAGAGATAGCCAATCAGACATCTTAAAAATTGTCTGTTGACTCCTTTCCGCGTCAGGCGTAGTCGCACTGCCACACGAGGCGGTGCATGTCACGAAAAAAATAAAAATAACATCCCTTTGGCGCCTGATTTGGGAGGGGACTCGAAATGCTCCAAGTGGAGTTGCGAGTCTCGGGGGGCATTCCTGGGTGCCTCACCGCATTAGCCGGTAGCTCCAGGTCCCTACAGGGCTGACTTCGTCGCTGATGGTTTCTTCATGCGATTTCTCTTCAAACTAGATCTACTTCCACTTTCTACCAAGTAAAATCTCACTTTTCCCAAACTCAAACCTGCGCATGCCTCAGATTTCAAATACGCCAGAATCTGTGCTGCCCCGCTCAGATTCACGGAATCCCGCTACGACATGTAGAGGTATCACGACTCAAGGCCGGCCCTGTCGGCGCGCTTTAGCGTCTTCTACGACTCCTTCCCCAGCTTCGACACCTCAAAAGAAAGGTGCTCAGAATGGGGTACCCGACATGGCTTCTTTGTACTGCTGGCAACACAAGGATCAAGTAGTATCCTCTGCTACCGTTGACAGTGACTCTATCACTCCGGTCAAGCCGAGGACCAGCATCGACACGCTCATGGACAAACTCGGCGTGCTTGAGATTAACGAAAAACCGCCTCCTCGCAAGAGACCGCAGAAGCAGAGGACAAGTCAAAGCGGCTTCAGTGAAAAGCGTCGTCCAAGGAGAACGTTCTGCTGTTTTGAGATTGTCGACGACGACGAAGATCGTAGGCCATCAGCACCCGTCTCAAGGCCTGTGTATACTCGTCCGATACAAGGCCAATCGTCTATGCCTCAGAAACAGTATCAGAATGGGCAGAGGCCAGCTCCAAATCCACGACCGCAGCAGATCAAAGTGTCCTCGGCTGGACAACGAGTATCTACTCCACAGACACAAACGCGGCCATCTCTCCCAAACAATAGACACTCTTCGTCATCCTCGCACACTCCATCCTTACTGTCATGGATTCCTAAAACTCTTTCACCCCAAACGACATCTGTACTTCTCACAGAGCTGGCCAAGCCCATTTCCGATGCCGACGACGAGGGTTACATCTACATGTTCTGGTTGACGCCCCAAAATACTACAACGGATGAACATGCGCCACTCGCAAGGGATATTGCATCCTCAATATTACCCTCGGCCCCACAGACTAACAACGGTCTCCGTCCACCGCCTCAGCCCCGGAGCGTGAGCGATGCTCTGCGTGCAGCTAGAGATCTCAACGCTCTGACAACGAATCCAACATCAACGACGCCAGGATCTATCCGGCTGAAAATCGGGCGAACAAGCAACGTGCACCGTCGACTTGCCGAGTGGACACGGCAATGCTCTTACGACCTGACTTTGATCCGCTACTACCCCTACACACCGTCTTCTACATCCTCATCTCCTGCCAGGGTTCCCGCATCTCGACAGCGAGCCGGTAGTAATGCCAGTCCGGCGGCGTCTCTCGTACCGGGACGGAAGGTCCCTCATGTCCATCGTGTGGAACGACTGATTCACCTTGAGCTCGCCGATTTACGAATGCGCGACCTTGGCCGCTGTAGCGAGTGTGGGAAGGAGCATCGGGAATGGTTTGAAGTTGAGGCGGCCAAGGAAGCGCTGCGGAGAGTTGATGAATGTGTACGACGATGGGTCTCATGGGGAGAGTCTATTGCATGAAGGGATTGCATGAAGGGATTGCATGAAGGGATTGCATGAAGGGATTGCATGAAGGGATTGCATGAAGGGATTGCATGAAGGGATTGCATGAAGGGATTGCATGAAGGGATTGCATGTTATGGGATATGAGCATATTGTATATTGTGTGCATTGGCTTGTCTTTTATAGCGATTCAAAATTTGCATTACCACCCAATCAATACTATGTGATGAGGGACCACGTCGGAAAACTGACCGTAAAGCGGGCATTCACAGTTTGATAAGGCGACGGAGGAAACTTTTCTGGCTGGACGCGCAATTCGGTGGGAGCAAATGTTCCACTCCTGCCGTGTTGATGTATGTTGAAGAAGCATCTCGCATCAGATCTGTCATGCCCACCAACTGCGTGGCTGTCTGGATTTCCTCCTTGAGTACTATCGAAGAGTCAGTCGTGCTCGTCCATTTTGGATAGCCACACTTACTTTCAACCGCATGTTCAACCCCCTCTTGTCCATAGCCCAAGGCGTATTGGAATGGTCTACCTAGACCCACGGCCGAGGCACCGAGACAGATAGCCTTGACTACATCCGATCCACGACGGAACCCTCCATCAATCAACACCTTGATCTTGCCAAATACCTCCGGGCAGTAGCGGTGGATCTCCAGCAGAACCAATATAGCCGGCGGTGCCGTATCCGCAGCCCGACCTCCATGGTTGCTGATCACGATCCCATCAAACCCAACCTGCGCCGCCAGCAGAGCATCCTCGGCACGTTGGACACCTTTGACGAGGATTGGAAGATTCGTAATACTCCTCAGCCATTGAAGATCATTCCAGTTCAGCGAGGAGTCAATCATAGAGCTAGTGGACTTTGCAAGTCCCGCGCTCTTCTTTCCCACATGTTTACTGCCTTGCGCCACTTTGACCAAGACGGCATTGCTTTCTGGCTTGATACGCTCGTCTGCCTCTCGCTTCGACATGACTGGTAGATCTGCAGTCACTAATAGCGCCTTGACCTTGCGGGAATCCTGCGCTATGCGAACGAGTGCTTCCGTTTTCGGTCGGTCTTTGTTGATGTACAGCTGGTAGAAGACCGGTTTCGAGGTCACCTCGAGAATTTCTGACAATGAGTACGAGGTCATGGTAGATAGACAGTACGGAATACCCGAATTGGCGGCACCTCGAGCAAGTGCTAACTCGCCCTCTTCGAATACCGTCTTTGCAGCGCCAACGGGTGAGATGAAGACCGGGATATCGAGGTCACATTCAAAGAGGGTAGATTTGAGGTTGACGGTTGACACATTGCGCATGATAGCTGGACGGAACCATATGTCTCTGAAAAAGGCACGGTTTGCATCTCGAGTGAAGTTGTCATTTGCCGCGCCGCTGTTGTAGGCCCACGACTTGGGGCTGAAAGTGTTCATGGCGACATGCTCGAATTCGTCCAGATTGAGAATATCTTCTAGAGCTGGCCGTAGATATGCCGTATCTGTTGAGCCTTCCGCCTTCTGTGGCTCCTGCTCCTCTTTGCTCCATTCCTGCGTGATGGTACTGGTGTCTAGCTCACCGATAATCTGGTCGTCAAGCTCCTTGATCAAAGATGGCGAGTGGGTGCTGTTGTATGGTTTGGAAGCATCCCGACCGGCAAATTGGTAAATAACTAACTCAATCAGACACAGATCTATAGCGTAGGGTCAAGGTCAATCTTACTCTCTGCGCCTCCAGGGTGCTCCGGTGCGAATTTCGTCACATCGTAAACTTTACCATTGACCACGATCCAGGCGTCTCCTTCGCTAGCATGTTGAGATATCTCATGCGTGGATACTTTGCTAGTCATTGTAGCTATTGCTTATGTAGACCTAGACTTTTGGGCTTTCAGGGTGATTTTCATTCAGGCAATCATCGACTCTGGATTTAAACACGCTTCCCCGTCTATGGGGGCTTATAGAGTCCAGGGCGGCAAAAATTGTGGGTCCCCCTACCGCTCAGCCTTCCGCCTACTAGATTAGGCTATTATGATTCAGCTAATGAGAGGCCTCGTAGGATATCTTACACCCTCTACAGATCCTCCAATCCCGCGAGTTTTATCATGCATCCTCTCTTAAATCTCTCCGAATCCTGCCGAATCTTCTAATACTACCATACTCATATACCCCGACCGACTATTAATTTAGGGTAGTGCTGTTGGCACCTCTTAGGGCCTGAATTAGGCACCAATTTCGGCCTGATTACCTGATTTCTGCTAAGCCCGTTATGGCTGTCAATTCCCATTTCAACCACCCTATCTACTAAGCGATCACATGACCCACTAACTGGCCCTTTCAAACTTACGATAATCTCTTTGCCTTGCGACCGCGAGTCCCACGCCCTTAGTGAAGTTGCTTCTCCCACTTTGATGGCTAATTCGACTACTTTGGAATCCATCATAATTGGCTAATCAAAAGCTTAGAATCAGAATTAAATATTTGACTCGGAGAGATTCGATTTGATGGGCAATTTGATGAACAATTTAATGCCTTACAAGTTAGGCATCCACTTGATAAGACGGGCAGAATATTTGGACCCACAGTTATTGCCTCCCTGGACTCTATAAGCCCCCATACCCGTCCGTCGGTCTGGGCGCAAAAGTCAGATCCGTGCGGGGAAACTAACGCGCCGTTGCGGAATGGCATCGGAATGCTACCGCGGGCACAATACGGAAACAACACCACCTTATCGGAACGTTATTTGGATGTCATGATTCAAATTATGTAGGAAGAAAGGAACGACTCCTCGAGATTTGATAGGCTATAGAACTATTACCCGACAAATGTCGAGCATGTCCTCTGAAGATGGCAGAGCTAATCGATACGTCGCATAGAAGTAGAAATAAAATCAAAAGCCTTTACTATCACTTTGGGGCTTCACGAAGACGGTATTGGAACAGCTGGTTGGATGCAACCGAGTTCCTATCCCTCATCTTCTCGGCCGATTCAATTCCAACCACCGGTACGCGATATTCAAATTGCTTGCCTGGAGCTGGTTTGCTGCCGTCAGGTAAAGCATAAGGGAATGGTAAATACTCCGGCATCAATCCAACTTGTCTGAGGACTGATCCTTGATCCCAAGAAATATGCTCATGGTAGAGTCGGTCTCCTCGGATGTTCACAACGGCTGTGAATGGGACTTCCACGTGTTTGTTTGTGGGTGGAACTCCAGGAAGTCTGCAAGATTGAGGAAAAATTAACCAATGGAAAGTTGTAAATGGAGCATTTCACTCTTTCCACTTACAGCCAGTCCAGTTCCTTGTCGTGGGTAAACTTGAAGATGAACTCATCCACTACTCTGTCGATCCCCAATGTGCGGCTTATAAGCTCTAGGTCGGTATCATCCGAATTATTGAAGATGAAATTATGCCGATAAAAGTTTGTCAGGGATTCACGGCCAATCCCACCGGTAAGCTATGATCTGATCAGAATTTTTGATGGACTGGAACTCGTGAATAGAAAGACAAACCGTTGGAACATGGTTCACATATGGCTGGTCCACCATCGTGCTCATAGTGTGCTCAACGGAGCGATCGGCAAATTCGTAGTAAGTATGCTCTTCCCAAATTGTCTCCAGGTCAAAATACGGCCCATTCATAATGGGCTTGAGGAACTGCAACGTGCGAGTATGGGACAGAGACTCCGCCCAATAATCAAATTGGTCCTGGAAAGGGCTTGCAAATTGATGCGACGTGGCGTTCGGATAATAGAAGCATTTCACGAGATCTTGCCGTTCTGCTGCGTCTGGCTTTTTCCCAGCCATATGCCGTAGGACTGGAACAACCGCAGACTCCAAGGTAGAGCTGTCGGATACATGGCTGTAGACGACTCCTCCAACAATCGTCGGAACAGATGGTAAGGTGGGGGCCACGGAGTTCCATAGCTCGGGATCATAAGCTGTCAATGGTTCAGCGCTGATAGAAGCTGAAATGGCAGAAGAGAGAATAATCATTATGGCAAAGAAACTTACATATGAGACCAACTTTGCTCTTCGGGTCGCACTTCTCACAGCTTTCCAACGCTTGGGTAGCTTTGGTAAGTACTTCTTGCGCCCCCGATAACAGGGCACGCCTCTGGATCTCTACTACGGTGTATCCTTCTTCGGCCCATTTGATCGACTGTGAAGGAACACCGTCAATGATCGCAAGAGACTGGTCTGTGTTTGTGGCAAGGACGATGAGTCCTGGTCCGTGGCCTCGGCGTGAGAGGGGTAACACAATTGAAATGCCGGGCTCGAGCTCGGTTAGTTGCGTGGTCGGCAGCGGGGGTGGAGGCTTCGTGATATCGTTGAACATGACGGGGGTAGCAGAAATTTCGAAATGGTTTATCTACACTTCAAGAACGATTCGAATTTCAGAAAGGCAATCAAATATATCATGAAAGTTGATAATTCGAGAAATTAAGTACGAGTCAGCCGCTGATTAGATAGTTTCGACGGAAATGTCCATGATTTCCGCATAAAACTAAGTGTCCGGCCCGGTTCCGATATATCCGATATCTACCGGCTGTCCACCGTCGGTAGTACAACCGTAGGTCTTTGCTGTAGGTGTATCCGATCTTCTACTTTAATCATAATGTATAGCTTGTGTGATTCTATCATTCAAAATTTAAGTGATGATAACTGTTAGTGCTAAAACGCGGTGCTAACTCATGGTCGACATTCAGGACGGAGCTCATATGTGCAAAACTATCTACGAAACAGGGTCACTCGACCCTCAAGTTGCTCAAACAACCAGATGCATAATTGAAAGTTCAGAACGGTTGAGGCAATCATTGGGGCATGTGTTGCCCCCTGGTAAAGAAGAACAGGAGCTACTGGAAATTGCTCAGGGTAGTCCCGACACAGCAGCGCAGTTGAAGGCTGAGCTAGATAAGATCTCCTGCACAATGGCTAAAGGAAAGTACTCTGCTGCTTTCCGTGGATGGCTGAGGGCTGCATTAGGGGGTAGCAAAAGTATCAAGAAGCTCGATAAAGTGATGCGTGACCGTCAACATATTCTGGAAACCCGACCGACTATTACTTTGCATTTGGTATGAATTGATCCCCTGCCAATCTACTCGCTCTCTCTGCTCCTCTTGGCCAGTCCAAATTCGACGTAACGAGTGTTGGACCATCCAATTTTACTCATAATTGGCCATCCCCTTCTGAACCCCGAAATGTGACTGGAATCCGTTAGTTATATTTCCAATTTAGATAGTATGTTAACGTACAGATCGCCTGTCGTCTGATCAAAGATAATCTTGGAGAGTCTGGACTGGCCTGGTACAGCCCCGCAGCTAAGTAACTGTCTTTTGATTGTATAAGTATCCCGTCTACCTATAGAATTTTCAAACTTACTCGTAGGCCGCACGGAATTTTGAACGAATTTCTTTGCGTACGGCGTCATCTAAGCCCCAGAAGAATTCCTCTGTCAGAGGCTCCCCAGGGACCTTTTCCCACACAATATATCTAATATAGCCGCCAGGAAGGAGGTCGTGGTCCCCTTGTGTAGTTTCTGCATGACCAAGAAAGCGAGGAACAACATCACAGCGCCCATACTGAAATAGTTTAAAGCACTCTAGCTCGCCACACACTTCTGGGGGAACGGCCTGTCTAGCCAGTGTATCGCGATCAGCGTCTTCCGTTCCAGCGAGAGGAATCTGTTGGTAGATTCGCATAAACGCTATCTGATTTGGGTCTCCTATAAGGTGGCATAAAAACTTGCCAATAGTCCTAGCTGATCCGCGGCCCATCTTAACATCGTGATCAGTCATAGGGACTGCCCTCTCGGAGAGTTTCTTCGTGATGACCCATGTTCGCGATATCCCTGACGATGCAGAGGTGACAGTCATTGGAGAAGCCGCTAAAGCAGAGGGTGTGGCGGGGGAGGTCGTAGTGTGAGAAGGCTCGGTAGAAGGGGCGAGTGAGGTGGATTTTGGTGACGCGTCATCCGAAACAAGGTCATATGTGGTGACCGTAGTGCCTATAAGGCCGCGGAGCAATCGAGTATCGAAGCAAGACGTTCGAGTGTTAGAGGCCACGGCGATGGTTATGCAGAGGATGCTTGAGGAATGTAAGATGGCTTGAAATGGTGGATGTCAAGCTTTGGGGAAGAAAGCGTTACACATGATGATATGTGATGTCCTTGATGGTCATGTGACTGATGGCGGAGATCTCATAACCATGACTCTTTATTGTTGTTGTACGCCTTTACGCGGGCTTTTACTATTGTATGTACTGACATCCTTCAACAACATCCATGACTATCCACATTGGGGTTTGCCAAGCTACTCCGCCGTGTGGGTCATCTCGAATGACGCTAGTTCTGGTTAAAGTTGGAGCCGCGGTACCCAGCTCCACCACTCAGACTACCTAATATTTATGTCGAAGCAAGGCCGGATGGTGCGTAGACTAGCCTGAAATAAGAAGATGGGGAACTACCACAATCATCAGAGATCTAGCCATTGATTTATTGAAGGCCAATCGAAGTGCACAAAACTGAAAGGGCCGGATTGAGCGGTCCCTGTGTGGTGTAATCGATGCGGAGGTCGAGGTGTTACCTACTTTTATAAAACGAATACGCAGCCAATTTAGTATTCCACGTGATAAGTCCCGTATCACTGAAATGTACGTCTCCACTTTTCCACGATATATATCAATGGTCACTAATATTGTTAATACCCACAATTTCATTGCTCTGCGGATTTCTGTGAAGCTCTTCAATCCAAGCATTGTAGTGTATATAAAGGGTCTATTGGCGTGTATACATGCTGATATCTCATGAAATATCAATGGTCTTGCAAAGTTGACCACAAAGTTGACCACTCAAGTCACCTTCCTCAAAATTCCATCGATAAACTATCACGCTAGCAATTAGTGTGTAGATATATTGGTAAAATTTGAGTGACTTGATTGACAGAAATTAAGAGATATGAAGGCAGGAATTTCAGCTCCAGCACTTCTCCCCTCTTGCTTCTCTCGGAATGCATTTCTCAACGAGAGGCCTCTTATCACATAGGCCACAACAGTGGAATCATCATATCAGGATGCATGAGAGTATACTAGCTGATCATATACGCACAAGTTAGTATCATCAAGGTACCCCTCGTGGACGGGGAATGTCCGTCGAGACTCAAGTTCGTCCTCTTCTCTTGTGATTCTTCTAAGACCCGTACAGTACACCTAGGAGTTATGGTATACAGCTCGGTTTTCGAGCAGAGTGTAACCAATAGCTTCTACTGTTCTACTGCGACCAAATACATCCAAGACCTGACCGGGGCAAAACGCCGATACTATAGTCGCAGCCGGAGGAGCTCTACATCGATTTCAAATATGAGAACAATCTTGGAACATCAAAGAGGTACAATCCATCCTGGTGTAATGTTGTTTACCGGTCCCTGGTTTAACGCAATAAGGCCTACATAGAAGAAACATTGTCTCACAGAAACAGCTGGGGGAGTGGTCATGAGTCTGTCATAAGTGGCGGACGCCAGAATCACGGGTGAATACTCAATCCTCCATACTCCATTGTTGTCAACAACTTGTCGCAAGAAGATCGTCTCTTCGTACGTGCTGAGGAAGCCGTACATGCAGCCCAGATCCTGCATATACCTGATAGGCTGGGCCAGTACCTCTCTCAGAGTTTGTTCGTCGGTCAACCTTGGTTCAAGCTGATGCTCGTCAATCCAGGGTGTCTTAAGCTCCCCAACGATCTTCAAGGTGTGGTTGCTGTCCTTTAAGATCACGTCAGGCGTGCCAGAGTATGTAGAGGGGACGCATTTAAAATCTGCGAAACGGAGGTCGATGTTTCGCTGAGTGGTGGTTTGTGATGCGAAGATAGTGTTTATTACGTCCCCATGGAACTTTTGGGAGCGGCCTTGGACACCGTGTTCATCCCCAACCTCGACATTCCCATATGTATACGGATCCCGGACTCGAAGCATGTAACCCAGAGTCTCTTGTCGCCAGGCAAAATTTTCATGACATAGCCGAACAGCACCGAGAAAACCTGGCCATGGCTGGAGATTGCCGAGAAAGTAGATGTCGTGCAAAGCGTTCGATTTTGTATGGTGCTGGGACGTATTCAGAGCTGGAACAGAAGACTCAACAGCTTTTTTAGGGTTTATCTTGGTTGGCATTCTGGGAGATTCTACCTGGTTGACAATGGAGACTATCAGCGAAATACCAAGTTAGCACACCACTTTCACGCAATCCATGCTGTATTCATGTAATGCGTACGGGAAAATATGGCGGCAGTCACAGCTCGAGTGAACTGAATGGCTGAGAGTCCAAGGCTAGGAAAAGAGGCGGGATTGTGGCATCCGTTGACCAAGTGAGAAAAAGAAGTATCTCAGCGCGATAGCGCGTTTACATGTGAGACGTGTCTTCCATTTGGGAATCTTTCGACCTCATAAGTGAGTTCAAATAGCGTGCCCCGACTTGATAACACCCATCACAAATGTCATAGTCCCCATATCTGCACAAAACAGAAAATATTAGGTCTCATCGGGTCTCATGCCAAGCATGCAAGCATCACATTCCACACTGAGTACCCGCCGTGAAGATGTGATAATTCTAGGATGGCTATCTTCATCTACGCCTCCACTCATTTTATGGATGGCTTGAACAATATCATCGTAGCCCTTTCTTTGCGCACCATTAATTGCGGTGTGACCGAATTCATCTTGAATTTCACAACCAATGCTCTCCATGGCTAGCAGCGTTCGTACTGATTGCAATTCACCATGGGTTGCGGCAAGATGCAGTGGTGTTCGACCATAGAAATCCCTCCGGTTCGGTCCATCAGGATTGTAGTCAGCCAGGTATATCAATATTGTACCATCGGACTGAGAAGCAGCACAGCGAATTGCGGTTCGGTCCACATCATCGGGCACATCAGAACCAGCGCCTTTCTCGAGCAAGAGACGAACAATGTTTCCACCACTATATGTCTGCAAGACCAAAGCAGACTGCCCAAAATAATGGTGCTTTGCTGCAGGCATCTTCGGAGTCTACTTGCTACCCGCCTGAGATGTTCTCAATAATATTAGCCATGTCATACCAACAGCAAGGTTTAATCCAGTGGCAAGCTGAGAGCTAATTATCGGGCATTGACCTCGACCAAGTAGCTTATGGGCCCTCAGATAGTAAAATATGATCACAGGATTGTTGATTTCGAAGTATAGATGAGCATTGAGTTCGATATCAAGCTGAGCATCGTCTTCAATATCCCTCAAACAATGCTCTCCTTATATGTCATCGACGAGAGCTATGCATTGCATATTCTACCAATCTAAGAGTACGCTTTTGGAAACGGGCGGGTGGCTTCGTTTCGTTCAAAATGTTCCTGCGTGATATAATGGACTAGCCGGATGATATCGCTCCGCTCGTCCACAGTGACCAAGCCCACACAGACTGAAACCATATCGGTCAGGTCAGACAGATTCTCAGGGTCAACGGGCATCAACCTCTACAGCGAGGGCAGTCTGTAGCTCAATTGTGGTGAGTGGTCTTTTGGCAGATGTAGTCCACGCAAGAACTTGTGGGGCCAGCTCACTTACTATGTATATATGAAGCCAATCAAAGATCGTTCAGGCACTTTGTTGACTGATAAGTCGTCGTTGAATCCTCGTCGTACGTTTGCGCGAAAGCGAGTATATGTCTTCCGGAGATTAAAGCAGGAACCCACAGACTAATCCTACAGAGCTCGTGAGTAGACATTTTCATTTGAAAACTATGCTCATAGCATAGTACAGCTCATCATCCAATCACCAGCGGCGCGATATCACATTCCCACCCTACGCCCTACACACCATGCACTTCCACGCCCTTCTCCGAATCCGTCACCGAGGGCGTAATTTACCCGCCGAAGACCCTGTACTGTAAGTAATCCACCATACCAATACAGATCTCAACCCGGAACAACAATCCCCCGAACGGGTATACTCGCTTGCTCAATCTCGATCCAACCTGCCTCCCAGAGCTCGCCCCGGCCCCGATCATCGGTGCGTGGATCCACCATACAAACTCAGCCCACGGATGCGACTTGCGTCAGGAATCTGGAAGTCCGTTCCGATAATTCACTCCAGCACAGCACAACACTGTAGGTCTGTGCTGAAATCTAGTACTGATTTCCCCAGAACCCTCAACCGTCATGGTCCGTGATCGGTGGCTCGGAGGGGAGGACCTATCAGAGGGCCGCCACCAGATCGACCGGGTTCCAATTGTGAGTTTGGGGGGGGTGCCGTTGGCACTAGTGTAGTAGGATTGTAGGAACCTTAAGCGACGGGACTACTGGGGTTGGCAATTGTCATGGAAATGCAAGAGAATATTCAGTGGTGGTGGATTGAGTGGATTGCTCCGCTTGGTTTGTCCCGGTCCGGGTGCCCGGCGTCGTGGCTAAACTGCCTAATTCGGATACTGTATCGGGTTCTTTTGTGGCGATCTTGTTCTCTTGAGAGTGATCATGTGCTTATTACTTTTACTGGTTACCGGTGATTAACTAGAGAGTATGCCAAAGATCAAGTCAGAAACTCCTCTAAAATTTTGGTCTGTCATGCAGTAGCTAACGGTTCATGGCTCATATACAAAAGAAAAATTTAAACCGGCTGGTAGGCCAAGACAAAAGCCCACTCCAAAAGAAGGTACGATCATAAAAAGGCAACAGATAGAAACTCAAAAACATCTGGAAAAGAGGAAAAGAAAGAACAATTTACCAGCCGCGACCGGCCATCTTGTCGGCCTCGGGCATCTTCGACACGTTAATGCCAACCATGGCCTCACCCAGACCCTCGCTAATCTCAGCAAGAACCTTGGGGTCCTTGTAGTGGGTAACGGCCTGAACGATGGCCTTCGCACGCTTCTTGGCATCACCGGACTTGAAGATACCGGAGCCGACGAAGACACCGTCGCAGCCCAGCTGCATCATCAGAGCCGCGTCGGCGGGGGTAGCAACACCGCCAGCGGCGAAGTTGACGACGGGCAGACGGCCAAGCTCGGCAGCCTGACGGACCAGCTCGTAGGGAGCCTCCAGCTCACGGGCGAAAGCGCGCAGCTCGGGTTCCGGGTCAGCGGCAGTCTGGAAGATAGCGCGGGCGCGGGCAATCTGGGCGTTGACGGTGCGCATGTGCTTAACGGCCTCGACGACGTCACCGGTACCGGCCTCACCCTTGGTGCGGATCATGGCAGCACCTTCGGAGATGCGGCGAAGGGCCTCACCGAGGTTGCGGCAGCCACAGACGAAGGGGACCCTGAATGGGGTCTTGGTAACGTGGTAGACATCGTCGGCGGGGGTCAGGACTTCGGATTCGTCGATGTAGTCGACACCGATAGCCTCGAGGATCTGGAGGCGGAGGGGAAAGAATGAAGTTAGCGATCCCGTGGCCCCGCGTTCTGGAGTCAATGCTCTGTAGATGTACATACCTGGCACTCAACGAAGTGCCCAATACGGGCCTTGGCCATAACGGGGATAGTGACAGCCTCCATGATCTCCTTGATCATGCCGGGGTCAGACATACGAGCGACGCCACCCTCGACACGGATATCGGCGGGGACACGCTCGAGGGCCATGACGGCGGCAGCACCGGCCTCCTCAGCAATGCGAGCCTGGTAGATATGTATTAGCATTGAAGGACAATGTCAATTGATTATACCGTGGCGAATATACCTGCTCCGCATTGACGACGTCCATAATCACGCCACCCTTCAACATCTGCGCGAGACCAGCCTTGACGGTGAAGTCATTGCTGGTAGTACCGTTTTGCTGGGCCATTGTGAAGATTGTAAGGGGGGAATTGACCGAAAGGCGAGAAGATGGAGAGAAAAGAGGAGTGTCAGAAAGAAAAAAAAGAGGCGAGAGAGAGAGTTTAAAGAGGATGGCGAGTAACCAGTGAGTCAACAGGCCGAACCGATAACCTTAAGAAACGCAGTTTCCCCCGCCAAAGTTTGCGCCTCAGGCCAATCAGGCCGGAGCTGCCCCTCGACCGCATTTAAGCTCGCCGTGCGAAACCGGGACGCTAAGTTACCCGAGGAGACCGAGACAAGGTGTACTGTAACCTGTATGGAACCGTATTACAGTATAGGTTCTGCAGCTCATACTTGTCCCACGGGTACATTGCCCGGAACATTACAAGATTCGACGATCTCATCTCACACGATTTTACAACAAGTACAACCTTGGGACATGCTGTACTTGACCATTGGCTGCATCATTCAAAGAGTTCAGATCGAAGATCTTGTTAAGGTTACTTTACTTCTGGGTACAATCTGAATGACTCACACGTGCCTCGTCAGATCGGGAAGGTTGCCGTAGGGATTCTTCAAGTCTATAGTGTTCTTGAAATAGTTGATCAGGTGCCCTAGATTGGTCTCAACCAGAAAGGCTAACAAGTTACTCGAAACATCTCGAAACGTCACTCTCGACAAAGCTTTTGATCAGACAAATAGATTGGTATGGATTTTTGACATGAAATATGGTTACAGACCCTCCGAAAAGGGAGCTTTCGACTTTGGCAGCTGCACTGTCCCCAACAAGACTTGGCCAGTCAACCTCCACCACCCGCATCCGCCTGGCCCACTAGTCTATAATGAGATCCATCCGGCCTCGTACCTTCAATGCAGTGAGTGATGGTATCCCTTCCGGCCAATTTGTACCGGCCGAGAGCGTTGGCCCGGCCCAGTCTTGTCACATCGAGCCGCCCACCAATTCATTCTCCCCAAGGATAGTATAAAGAAGTGCGGGCAAAGAAAAGAGACGAAAAGAAGCAAAAAGGATTGCCAAAGACTGCACGAATGCAATCTCTCCTCATTCTACTCATGAAAAAAAGGAAGAAAACTGGCAGTTTCTGCATTTAGCTGCCAGGGACCAGGCCCTTCAGGCCAGCGCCAATGTCACCCTCACGGGCGGCAATCTCGAAGTAGCCGTAGATGATGCTAGAATCAGGTTAGTTGTTTGTAACGATAGTAATAAATTAATCAAGCGGGGAAACTCACGTCACGGCAAGCAGGATACCGGTACCGCTGCCGAGGGCACCGAGAAGGTCAGAGGCCACGGAAAGAGCACCAATGCAGGCACCACCGAAGGCGGCGGCAGTGGGGATAACACGCTTGAGCTCCTTGTACATGCTCTGCTCACGGTGACCGGACATGACGAGACCCTGGTCCTTGAGCTGCTTGGCAACGTCACGGGGGGCTGAGCCAGAGACCTCAATCCAGGTCTTGGAGAAGAGAGCGCAGGCAACCAGCATGAACGCAATGTAGACAGCGGTGTGGATGGGGTCGAGGAGAGCCTCCTTAAAGTTCAGAGGAGGAGACATGTAGTAGGCGATACCGGAGGCAGCGTACAGCTGGGCGGATCCCTCACGGGGCTCCCAGACTCCGAGGAGACGGACCAGCAGGTTGTCAGAGAAGCGGGAGTACAGCATCTGAGAAATCAGGAAGACGTTGGAGCTCAGAGCGGACTGGAGCATAATGGGCATGTTGGAGGTGTAGAAGAGACGGACGGGATAAGAACCGCGCATGCCACGCTGGCGGGCGGACTTGACGGGAATCTCAACACGGAAGCCCTGCAGGTAGATAACGGCAGCAAAGACCAGGAGGGTGGCCAGCAGGTTCATCACGTTCGGTAGGTTCTGGCGGTAGAAGGCCTCGTAGAGGGCGCGCTGCTTGTCGGGCCAGGTCAGGAGCAGGTGGAACAGAGCGATGATCGCACCCTCGAACTCGGGGCCACGGCCAGTGTTGATGGTAGTGGGGGAGAATGCCTTCCAGACGATGGACTCGCAGATGTTGGTGGCAATGAACAGGGAGATACCGCTGCCGAGACCGTAGCCCTTCTGGAGGAGCTCATCCAGCAGAATGACGACGAGACCAGCGACAACCAGCTGGACGATCAGGAGTACACAGATACCGGCACCAAGGTCGCTGGGCTGGCCGTAGAGACCAGTCAGGACATAGACACAGGCCTGGCCGAAGGAAAGGATGATGGCGAATAGCTTCTGGGCGGTCTGGTAGAGCTCACGGTCGGTCTTGAGGTCCAGGTTGACGTCGATGAGGTGGGTACCGGCAAGGAGCTAGAAGAAAAAGGGTGAATGTTAGCTCACATGTCTCCGGTCGCGCGATCTGATTGAATGTATCTGCATACCTGGAAGACCATGCCGGAGGAGATGATGGGAGTGATACCCAACTCCATCAGGGTACCACGGTTACTGGCCAGCATCATGCGCAGCCAGTACAGGGGGTCCGAGGTGTCGGAAGACACGATACCGTACAAAGGCATCTGGCTCATGACCAGGAAGATGAGGAGAGTCAACTGTGAAGACATTCGAGTTAAATTTCCGGTCAATTCCTCACATCCACAGGGTCATTTTGAGGAGCAACATACACCCGTCCACATCAGCTTCTGGTTGAAAGGCACTTTGGTCTCAGGCGCCGCCACCTCCGGGAGGAGGGGCGTGAAGGGCTTGATCAGGTCAAGGAAGCGTACTAGAATGCTTGATTAATATTTGTTGATCCATTGAGGTCGATGAGAAGTTGATTGCGACGATCGCGTGCTGAAAGGGCCCCGGGGAGACTCACGGCCGCTCATGGTGACTATCTTCCTCCCAATCCGTCGAAAAAGAAATAGAGGAAGCTGGGAATATAAACCAGCCGAAGGAGCGGAAAGGTTATTGAGATACGAGGGAAGGAAAAAAAAAGGAGAGGGGGGGAGGAGAAGAAGAGGTGGTCGGATGGAAGATGAAGGGAAAGGGAGGAGGAGGAGGAGGAGGAGCCTCGCTGGCCACTTTTCGCTTCGCGCTAATTAAGGCCACTTGGTCTTCGCCGCAAAATCACGCCTAAACCTGCAACCCGTTGACTCAACGGACACGCGCACAGAAGATGTCTCGAGATCCGGTCGGGTTGTCCAGTTTATGTCAATTGCTATTTATTTTTTTCATTCTGTCATGAAAATTCAATAGGTGCTCCAGTACTGTGTGCCCAGAGAGTGAGTGTACCCCGGTGTAGAGGGCCCCGAGCTTATCCCCACACTACGACAGGGTCGCTCCCAAAAGGGTCTACAGCTTCAAACAGCCGATCAGTCTTGAAAAGAACGTATCTTAGTTGATCTTTCCCTAACATGCCTTATATGGCTTTCGTAAGAGCAGGTTGATGAGCTCCTATCTTCACACAAATGATTCTATCTATACAGACGCCAGATCCAATCCATGCTCGCCAAGAGCTTTCTCAGGGAATTATTCATCATAATTTGGTCGATAGTGACATTCTCAAGGACCAACGAGACCTATGCAGTCATCAATGACCAGTTCCAACTCGCCAAGGCGCGTCTTCAGGCCCCGGTTTTCATCCTTCAGAACTCCCATGACGCTCCAAGCTTCTGAAGCTGGAATACCATGGCAAATGTTACAATTATTGGCGTTACCAACGAAAGAGCTGCCCAAGCGGGTTGAGGCTATGCCCTTGATGACCCGTTCGTACGTCGATGAGCGGGCCGGCGCGGGGTTTGTAGTGGTAGCGACAAGATTCTTTTGAATTGTGGGCAGTGACGAGGGCGCAGACAAGGCGACCTGGGACATACTTGGTGACGGGGCGCTTAGAGTAGATGTCGGTGACTCGACAGACTCTTTGTGCGAGAAGACGCTGTCAGCGACACTCTCGTCTCCAGACTCGAAGCCCGAGTCGCTCGTAAAGGTACCATGGCTAGTACGCTTGCCGCCGCGATGAAGAGTCTGAAGCCCAAGTGATGGGATCTCATCTTCGGGGGGATTTGCACGCATGGTACGGCTCCGGCTGCGGGAGTCCTCGCGCTGGCGCAAGTGTCTCTCCTGTTCCAACTCTTCGGCCATGGCTTTCATGGCCTTCTCTTGCTCCAGCACTTTGGCGGCCATGCCGTCTAGCTGCATCTTGAGGTGGTCCACCCGTGCGCGGGTCTCCTCGAGTTCTTCATGTTTCTCGTTTCGATCGGCTAGAGCTTGGTGCATGGCAAAGGTCCTTTGTTTGTATGCTTCTTGCATGCGTTGCAGAACGGTGGTAGCCTGATCGCGAAGGCTATCCAGCGCTTCATCGCGACTCAGGTTGAAATCGGGAGGGGACAGGGCCGCTGAGATATCGAGGTTCAAAATCTCATCGTCTGCGGGCTCAGGGAAATCAAGCCTCTGTTCAGCGGGTCGGCGGAGGCCGAAGAATGAGAAGCGTCCTGTCCCTGGAGCCGAGTTCTTGCGCATATGTGATGGGGTTCCTGCCCCAATCCGAGACGCTTCCATCCCAGCCACGTTAGGATGGCTATCCGGACGCATGCTGTGTCCCGAATCGCCCGGCTCTGACTTGCCCTGGAACCAATCTGACAAGATCCTTGCTCTCGCTTCAAACTTCTTCTTTGGAAATGTATCGGTCCAGTTTGGAGCAGCTCGGTTGGTGAGGTGATTGCTGGATGTTGAATCGTAGACGGTGTCCTCGAAGATAGGGGGTCGTGCAATGTACTCAGTATTTGACCGACGGTGTGAAGGAAGACTGTGGAAGCGGTTCTTGGATGAATTTGCAGGGATCGCCGCGTTTAGGGGCGACGAGGCAACGGTCTCGTGAGGTCGTGGTGACGCATTGGAATGTAGGGGAATCGGAGAAGGGGAGAGATCGGAGGACATAATGACGAAGGGGACTTGGGAGCAGCGGCCAGTCTGGATTTGAATGCCACGTCGAATCGAGGAGCGGAGGGGCTGTAGTGGCGTTGCCGGTGTGTGACCTGAGGGAAGGTCGAGAGCCCAAAGGAGCAGTGGTGCAGATTGATGAAGTGTCCACGAGGGGGGGGGTGGGAGGGGTGGGCGATCAGCGAGGGTTAAGGAGGAGACGAAACGGCCCCTTGAATCGGGAGATGATCAGGATCAAAGCAAAGGATGGTAAAATCAATAGCGTGCGTTTCGCTGCATGAGATTGGACTTGAGAAAAGCCCCAGCACCCTCTCTTTTGAAACGCGACTTCCCGAGTAAATAAACGAGAGGCTGGGGGTATTGAAATAGCGGTGGCTGAACCCCGGTAACTTCTCCACTGGGCCTCCGTCTAGCCCGACGATCCACTATGGAATGTTTTGCATTCTAGAACGGAGAGTGATGGTGTGAAATAAAGACCGTGGGAGAGCACTGTCTGTAATCCATGATATCTTTCGATATTTGCCTGATACTCAACGATTGACTCCATGGCTCCTCCAATCATTTCTCCCCATACAGCACCCATGACAGATAGCCCAAGGTATATACACATTTCTAGGTCTCTTGGCTCTGCTAAGCTAGAGTCGCAGTAATAAGATCGAGTCAATTCATGATGTAAGCTCTTGTAACGCGAAGTCAATGGAGTTCAAAGTCGTAAAGAGCGAGCCGTGGCCGAACATGGTCACTTTCGTAGTCAATCCGAGGGTCTTATGATTAGGCTAAGGCTGCTGTCACTCGTAGATTTCCTGGGCGCACCCCAAGGGCCTGAGATTTTTGTCTGACGGGCTTATCAAGATTTAGCCCGTCATGAGTACGGGCATTTTATGGAAGGTCCTTCAAGAAATCTTTCCGGAAAGCCAGCGAGAAACCTACGCGGTGACAGCAGCCTTACCTATGATAACACGTGATCTTCAATGGAGAGTTCACCAGATCATCCTTGTGTTGGTAAATAATATACAGTTCTTTATGATAGTCAGTAATGCGAATGCACTATTAGCCGGGACGTTTTAGCTTCCGGCTGCCCTTGTAGGTGCTTAGATGTATGCGGGTCTGGCGGTATGCTCGAGCTTGTTACTCGATTTGAAAGGAACAACGGCGGGCCGCGTTTCCTCGCATCTCTCAATCTCGAGCTTCCACTTTGGAGTATCCACCACCGAACCTGCCACTACGACCTTCCCGACTCGCTTCCCACCATGACTCAAGCAAATGCCGGTCTAAAATACCTTTCCAACGCTCTTGCGACCCCCGATCAACTCTCCAATTCGTCCTCATCACTCGACGGTGTGCCCTCGGAACTTGAGGCCTCCATTCGCTGTGCCGGCGCGCAACTCACTCAAGCGGCTGGTGTATTGCTGCATTTGTCGCAAGACATCATTGCCCAGGCGATTGTAATTTTTACACGATTCTGGTTAGGTGCAGAAGGGGGTAGCTTGCGGATCTATTCGGCCAAGGTATGTTCATACAAGGGTGTGGTGTGCTATTCTCCTCTCACTCTGTGCTCGATAGGACGTCTCCGCCGCTTCTCTCTACCTGACTGCGAAGTTATCCTTCCAACCAACTTCGCCGCGCTCCATCCTCAATGTCTATAACCTCCTCCTCTCCCAAGATGCCTCGCCTCTGTGGTTCGTGAACCCACGCGGGGCTCCGACACAGCCACCGACACCGGAGACTTACGTCCTCTCGGAAGGAGGGTACCAGACCGGTCGACTGGTCCTCCTGCGCGTTGAGTCGGTCATCCTCCGGACCCTAGGTTTTGACACACACGTCGCTCTCCCCCACACCATTGCCCTCACCTACCTTCAAACACTGGGCGTAAGTCGACCTGCGGTGTCGCGCCGGGTGCTCGAGCATCTCAACGCTGCACTACTCTCGCCTCAGTTACTCTACGTAACACACCAGCCGAATGCTCTTGCCGTGGCGGCTATCTATCTTGCTACGCGGGAGGTAGAGGTCAAGCTGGTCGATGGAGAATGGTGGGAAGTGTTTGATGTCGACCGGGAGGAGCTTGGGTTTTTGGTGGTGGCAATGAGAAGCACCGAGGGATTCATGCGCAAAGAGACTGAGGTGTGGAAGAACAAGGCAATCCCTCTGGTGACAGATGAGGTTGATGCGGAGATTGAGCGACGACGGATGATGGACGAAGGTGAATGAGCGGGTTCCAGGAATGGACTTTTTATCGACTAGACGCCAATATCCCGATCGTACGCGGCTCAATCTGCTGAGTATACCGGGCTATCTGTATGCTCTTTGGAAGCTCGGGATGAGAGTGATCATACCCGGCCCAGATAGCAGATACGAGCTAGGAACAGCTGACCATCAAGCGAGTCATCGCAAACTAGCTGGTCCATGAGGCCCAGCCAGGGGCAGGGGATGCAAATCAGGTGCAGCGGAAGTAAGGATAGCACCCTCGTGAGAATTCCGGAGGTGGCAGCAGCGACATGAAAGAAATTCGATGAGCTCACGCGGGGCCGATCATGTGCTCCACCGCTTATCAAGATTGTCCCCTCCCCGCCCTCGTCATTCCAAACCGCGGCTACCTACACTTCTTTCCCTCCTTCTATAGCGCATAGATATCCAACTTAACCCACAATGAACATCCTACATTCAACGCTATCTACCTGGCGCGATCGTCTGGCCCCGGTCTCCCGCACTTCAACCTTTCGCGCAACCGGCCAAATCACACCGGAGGAGTTCGTCCTCGCGGGCGACTATCTCGTCTACAAGTTTCCCACATGGTCCTGGGCCGATGCATCCAGCCCCGCCAAGCGGGTATCCTATCTACCTCCTGGGAAACAGTTCCTCGTCACTCGCGGTGTGCCGTGTCACCGACGGTTGAATGATAACTTTGCTGGGGATGCGGGTCATGAAGATGAGATCGTGAGAGATATGCTTGCCGGGGAGGGTGGCGAGGGCCCATCGGGAGGAGATGGAGATGACGGCTGGCTCCGGACTGGCGGTGGTCGTGATACCGTTGCAGACCGCGAGATGCAAGAGGCGAAGATTCGCGATGTACGGACGGTGGACGAATCAGGCAACCTCGGCGAACAAGAAGAAGAGGATGAGATTCCGGATATGGAGGACGATGACGATGACGAGGAGGCGATTATTCGCGAGCCTGCTGGACAGTCTGGGACAACGCAGTAAGTGAATGCTAGCTTTGGCTCTTCATCTTGAGATGGTTGATCAGAGTCATGTTATACTCGGTACTAACAACACTATGATCCAGGCCCCTCCGCACTTATACTCTTTATATCACATACTCAAACTTCTACCGGACACCACGACTCTACCTCTCAGGTTACTTGTCACCATCCGAGCCTCTCCCTCCACACCTCATGATGGAGGATATTGTCGGCGACTATAAGGACAAGACTGTGACACTGGAAGACTTCCCCTGGTTCGATGGTAGTGTGAAGATGGCCACCGTCCATCCCTGCCGCCACGCATCCGTCATGAAGACTATGCTTGACCGCGCCGACGCCGCCCTCAAGATCCGCATGGAGAAGCTAAAGCAGGCCCAGTCGGGCGAGCAAGCAAACCGCATCCTACAGGCCGGTGCAAGTGGCGGCCTCGAGGGTCTCGTCGACGATACGAAGGGTTTGTCACTAAGTGAACATGCTCAACAGCAACCCGGCGGTGACGAGTGGGAAGTCCTGCAGGCCGATGAGGAGGAACAGGTTGCTATCCGCGTGGATCAGTATCTTGTTGTATTCCTCAAGTTCATCGCCAGCGTGACGCCTGGTATTGAGCACGACCACACGATGGGAGTGTAAGCGGAAGATTGTCTCAGCCCCCACCCAGTCAAGAACCGGTTTCAGCAGATTGGGCGAGCAGACCAGAATTTGCCTGCCTATGCCTAGGACTTGGCATCTAGGCTTGAGGATCGGAGGGGCACCTCCAGCAGATACGTGATATGCATGATATGACATGACTTGGCGTTTCAATATTTGCTGCCGGCCGCACGATTCTAGTTTTCAGCTCTGTGGTTTATAACGCTTTTGCTACGTATCAAATAATTATTCCTTGCGTATTTTGCGGATTAGAGAAATTTTACGGTTCTTTATCTTCTGGACGTGACTCGTGCCTGCATAAACTCATGATCGAGTTTCATCTTTCTGGATTTGGATATTCCCCGAACCCGTAATATGCAATGCACTACGAGATACTCCCTCGCGTCGACTCCCCACACTTTCTTGAGCCAGACCTGCGGGGGATCGCCCTTTACTCGAGTGCCGGTCTCTGATTGGGCAGCGGGAAATTACCGTCTATCGAGTAGAGGCTGTACTTCCGTAGGGGTAGACTTGAGAAAGTTTACTTTGCAAGGGCTAACTCAAACTACAAGGCGAGTGCGAGATCTAAAGTATATAAAGAAAAAATTCAATGTATTCAAGTATTCAAGTATTACAATAGCACAAAGAAAAAGTAATAGTGCAGTGTCCCCAAGACACGGTGCGGAATGTGCATAGCACGCCCGGACTCCCTAGAAGAACAACCATCCCACCATCCAATCGTATAGTACCAAGCAAGACTCTCAGATATCACCGAGACTCAAGCATCTCGGTGATGAGGCCAAAAACAGGCCACCATATAAATAAAACCAAAAAGTAGACATGAAAAGGGAAAAACATGTGACAGGGAGAGGACAGCCAGAAAAGGCAAAAGTTACATCAGAGAACTGAAAATTGACATAAAATGGATGCGGGACACCGTGGGAGAATGCATGAGAATATCCATGAGAGAGTATTTCTTTGATCACATCACTGCATCATCCGTAGACGGGGAGCATCATTCAATAGAACAGACCCAGTACAATGGGAAGTGCGACGGCCAGGAAGGATGAACCGGGAACCAGAGCGGAACCAGCGTTGAAGACGGGCACGGACGAGGGAGCGGCCGTGGGGGCTGGGTGCTGCATCAAAGGGGTCGAGCGGACGGGGACCTGGGCCGGGGGCGTGTAGATGGGAACGGGTGTCACGGTGGGAATCGAAATGGGAGTAGTGTAGGTAGGAGGAAGAATGACCGGGATGTAGGTAGAAGTGCTGGTGGGAGTGATCTCAAGAACCTCGGTGGTGGAAGGCAACACAATGACCTCGGTGGTGGGAGGAGGGACCTCGACAATCTCAGGGCAGGGATTAGCCTGGTGAGCGTCGTGGGCACCGGCACCGTACTTGGCGTAGGGACCGCCGGGGATGCCAACGTCGTAGCCAGCACCGGCATCCTTCTCAGTGCTCACGCCGGGACCGCAAGGGCCGTGCGACTCGCTGTGGACACCAGCGCCGAACTTGACAGCAGGACCGCCGGGGATGCCGACGTCGAAACCGGCACCGGCATCCTGCTCGCTGTCACCAGTGGTGGGAGCGGCGTCATGGGTAGGAATACCGCCGAGAATAGGAAGACCGTCCTAGTATGCAGCGTTAGTGTTGTGATTCTTTGATGATTCCGAGAGTAGTGATTTGGACGGGGCTCGGAAACTTACCAGATGGGGAGCAGACAGCACGGAGGCGGGGCCGATGGCGAGAACAAGGCACAGAGCGGCCGAGAGGGTGAAAGACTTGGGAGACATTTTTGGTATTGTTGGATATAAAAGCTCGGAGGAATGAGTGCTTAAAAAGTATTAAAAAAGTGTTCGTTTGAAGAGAGTGAAAGCGAATGCTGAAGCCAATGTCAAGAGAAAGAATGACTGTCCGAGACTCTGATGTCGAATGGATGAAGAAGAGAAAGTTTGTGACCGTCAACCATGGTCTTTATGTAGTTTGGGAGAGACAATGGTCTTCGAGCCCTCATGAGAGAGTTTGAAGCAATCGCAGAGAGGAGCCAAGGGCCTAGCCAGGAACCAGGATGCTGCAAGGTTGCAGAGTGGCCCTTGGGTGGCTTGTTGCTTGCGGGCCGCCATAAGGACGCTGATCGGCAAGGTACCAGGGGTAAATGAATTACCTGCTTTAGAAACGCGAATTCGATCGGAGGGGTCATGTCTTATTCGGTCTTTTCGGCGAGGTCACGGCAACGGTGGTTCGTGCGGCTGGACAACGTTTATCGATCCTGGCACTGGAGTATGCTACCCCTCAAGCGACTAAGAAGCTAATGCATGTGTGCCGGGGTAATATTGCCCTGATCCTAGCTGTTCTGTGAGAAGTATAGTAATCGAACGACACGTGGTGGTTGGGGGAGATGAAGGTTACAGAGACAAAGCAAGGGGCGAGCCAATTGCAGGACAAAAACAACCCCAATCCCCGTTGCAGGAGGCGCCTGCGCGGCAAATTGCAAGTCAAATCAGTAGGATTACGGGGACAGAGTGGACACATCACACGCAAGGATCTATCAATATCAAAGACCACCGGAGATTGCATATGAACCTTGCCAAGAGCCCGGGTCTTGTAGGCAAAATTCAAAACACCAGGACATGTCTTCTTGGAGACACGGGCAAGACATGTGGAAGAGAGTGAAACAATCATATATTGCAAATATTCAGTGTTATCTTCATCAGTTCATCATGCATCGCCGCTGTCGGAAACCAAAATGGGGGTATTCGCAACGGTGTGCATCACCCAAAACCAAGTAAATAAGGATGAAATGAAACCCAGATGAAAAAGTGTTGACAGACATGCCAGATGTAGATAGATCATAAACTTCGACATAAGATGGTGGTTCAAAATGGCTCTTTTTCAGATTTTCCCGAAATTTGACATCCCAAATGCCGTACCAAAGTTGGTAGATTTCTTGAATTTGATTTCCGGCTCCGGTTCGCCTTGGTTAGGCGCTTCAGCATCGCCATCATCATCCGCATCGGGTCCATCAGATATCGTCGAAGTAGACAGGATGCGCTTGGCCTGATCAAGGAGTCGCGAATCAAGTTCGTTCAAGAAGCTGCTGTCGTGTTCTTCATCATTAGTCAGACCAAGGGGCCCCTTGAGGGCAGGATCGTCAGCCACGTCGGGAAAATAGGACTCCGCGTGTTCGGTGGGTTGATGGACGTGGGTTACCATAGGCGCCAAAGGGGCCTCTTCCTCCTGGCACGGGGGCATCTCGATAGGAGAAGCATCCTGGGTGGTCCGTTGACTGACATCTAACTCGATGATCGCCATCGGGGTGTGGCCAGCATCCCTGACGAGATTCTCATTGGGTCGGCCGAGTTCTGACAACTTCAACTTGAGACTGTTTCGATGTTCCATCCCCGGCCTTACAGGCTCCGAAGGGGGGAAGGCTGGACCCGGCGAGGAGGTTTCTAGGGGCGACGGTGAGGGTGGGGTGATCACTCGTGCAACGACCTCAGGGGGCAAAGCAGTGGACTTGAGGGTAATCCCATCGAGTCTGCTGTCAAGCTTCTCAATCGGCACGGGGATGCTGATGGTCGCGCCAGAGGCGTCTACAGCCCGTGCGCGCGGCGAAAGTGCCGCATCAAGGGACGGCGGGTTACTGGCGCTGCTTTCACTGATCGGCGACAGGTGAGCATTGTCTGGGATCTCTTCGTCGCGGAATACCCTCGTAGGTCGACTTCCTGGACTTGACCCTTCCCACACCTGTGCCGAGGAGAGATGATCATTGGAGTCTAGGTACTGGGGTGTCCCAAATGCAGGTTTGGAACTATGAGCGGTTGAGATGATAGACTGGCTCCGTTGGGATTTCAACAATGACTCTAACTCTGCAATCTTGGTCCGCAGAAGCGTCCGCTCCTTCGCCCATAGTTGTCGTTCTTGGGCGAACAAAACCCGCTCACTTTCGAGATGCGCCCGTTGATTCTCAAGCAATTCCCGTGATTTGTCGATATATGAGGTGTCCAGGCCAAGGACTAGGTCCTTGGGAGCCTGAGAGATCCGCGATTGTCGGAAGTTGGAGTTCATAGAAGGGGTGCTTGTAGAAACCGATTGCGCACGACGAACAGGGGTTGCCGTTGGTGAAAAGCGCACCTCCTTATAAACACAGCCATGGCCGTCGGGCAAGTTGGACATGGCGGTCTTCATGACGAGGGAGGACCAGGATCGTACTGGCTAGTCGTGTGGTGCGGTGTAGAGCGAATTCTTTGGGCTTTCAAATGCCCACGGACGGCGGGTCTGGGGATTCGGGGGAGAGGGGATGTGGATCCAGGTCACGTAGCAAGCACCACGTCCAGGGCAGTTAGCTCGCTCAATAGCTCGACTTTTGCAGACCAATTGCCGAGGAGTAGACTGGCGTATTCTGCGAGTAGCGTCCAGCCCGTCGTTAGCTGTCAATGTGACGAGCAGATTCGCATCGCAGCAGAGCTGCAGTGGGGACGTACGGGGGAGGCGGTCAGCAACAGTGAGTCGGACATGCAGGTCAAGGGTCGGCCTTCAAATCCCCATTGATATGGGTTCGTTGTCGTTGAAATATACTGGATGGATAGTATGGCCGCACAGCGACTTCATATGCGAGTCTGGAATGTGATGCCGGGGGAGAGCGAATGGCCTCGTAGACGGGATTTGCTGCTCAGGAAGCCGACCACGCGTCCCTCGACAACTGGTTGCTCGGAGTATCGTAGGAATAAAAAAGAACGAGAGAAGTTGGGCAGCTTTCGAATGGGCACCAGGCCGTTTGGTTTTGAGATTCGTTCCACCAGTGGCAAGTCACCCCACTATGGCCCATGAGGGGAACGGGTCGTTCCTGTGGATGTGAAGTTTAATCGGTTGAATAGTTCGCCGTCGAGTCACCTCCCCACAGAGCCGAGGTTGACCATATCACCATGTCAGGGGGAGCCGTAAGCAAAAGGATAATAATGAAGAGATGATAAGATAGATGGGATCGATTTTGTATTAAGAAAAACAAGGCCAGTCAGGATCTTCGCAGGCGAAAAGAGCACAAGGCATTCAGATGACCAGGGTACGGAATGACGTCAAAGGGGAATGTCAGATGTGACCCCCCATTCTCCAGTTTCCAGTCTCCAGTCTCCAATAATCGATCGAAAAGGGAATTCTCCGCATTTACCGGGGAGGATCGTGCGAACGTTGGCTCTTGACGGGAGCGGCCATCCGTCTTGGGGTTTTGACGGCATGCTCATTATATATCGTACGAGACAGGCAATGCCGACCCCATCCGTAATGACTATTCCATCCCACCTTCGGGACGCTATCTATTACCTACCAAGGTTGGATTCGGTTGTGATCACATGCTGCCTGAACGGGATGTTAGGTTTGGTAGCATTAAATTTATCTATTCATCACATGTCATTGCGCAATGTGACGAGTCTCAACTCAAAAAGATCCCGAGTCATTGCCGTCCACACGATATATACTTCTGAGGCCATCGGTCCATGGGCCCAGCTGGACCTTACCACCTACCATGACATCTCTAGGCCAGTATCTAAACAACTCAAAGTATAATTCAGAAGTTTCTAGTCCCCAATCTAGGATATTTTGTTCAATGTCTTGATTTTCTCGCCTTGTGTGCCAGTTGCGCATAACTCATTACCTAGAACATCACTTTTTAAAGGTTGGTCCAAGACCGAAGGCTAAAATTGCAATATTCCGCATTCATCCGATCTCTAGCGAGAGTTGATGTTGATTGATAAGATAAATGGGCATGGGTAGGCCCAAACTGCTGAAAAGGCAATGAAATATATACCTTGGTGCCTTCTCAACCTCACAGTAGTGCTTGGAAGGACACCTAGTTATTGTGGCCTTTAACGTCGACTTGCAAGCATGTCAATTACTTGGCTAACTTTATACTCCGATGAGCCATTTCCTCTCAGATCAGGAACTAACAAAATGCTTGTAGGCAATATCAAAACATCCCTCTGGTGACATCACGATAGGTATGAGGCCCTTGGAGTAAGGCGAGGCGTATCTCGCGTGGCTGGGGTGGCTTGTTAAGGTGATATCCACTAAATCAGATGTCTAATTAGTGCAATACTCTGAAGGTAACTACATCGAATATACACCGTATCTTATGTTCCGCAAGGGTTTGATTTATCTTTGGTGACTTTTTATGGTTTCTTGGATATGTGGTTGGATGCTGGCTGATCTGGATCATGCTTCGATCATTGGAGTTCTTTCGGTCCATGTGTTGCATAAACCGAATTACCAATCGTCTCTCAAATTTTGGAGAGTCGAGCTCAAGCTGGTATGCCGATACAAAGGGCCCAGTACAGTCATGACGGGTCTGCTTGTGACCGGAGAAAAGGATGGCTGGAGATAGGGCTAGATATTAGATACGTCGAGAATACAACGGGTCGTAATCGTCCGTCTTTACAGTGATATCACGTACTAATATCTTCATATCTTGGAAATGGATGTATGAAAACAGGTAACTTGCCAGGTATATACTTGACACTTTTAAGTACGGTAGTCACCGTTAATAGTGACATACTCATGGCTGAAATCGCAGAACCAGTACACGGCATCCTCACCACCACATCCAGCAGCACCCTTCTCACCACCACCAAGGTCGACCTCAATCTCCAAGTCCTCATTCTGCAGAATGACACTGGCACGTTCCTCATCGACAGCCTCAGGCTCGCCATTCACGAGCAGCTTAAGGATGGGGCTGCCGTCCACGGGGCGGAAGCTCACAGAGGTCCGCTCGGGTACGACAACGCCGTCCTTCACACCCTGGGTGTAGCCGACCGCGCAGAGGATACGGCCCCAGTTAGCATCACGGCCGTACAAGGCAGTCTTGACGAGGGGAGAGCGGGCAATGGTGGAGGCAATCAGGCGGGCAGACTCGTAGTCGGGTGAGTTGCGGACGCGCACAGTCACGAATTTGGTAGCACCCTCACCATCGCGGACGACAAGCTGCGACAGCTCCTGGGCAAAGTCGGTGAAGATGGTCTGCAGAGCCTGGTAGTCGGCGCTAGCTTCGGAGCCAGTGGTGGGAGCCTGGACCGTCTCTCCACCGGCGGCACCGTTAGCAAGGACGGCAATGGTGTCGTTGGTGCTGGTGTCACCATCGATGGAGATCGAGTTGAAAGAGCGGGAGATTGAGTGCTTAAGGATGGACTGGAGAGCTGCGGGCTCGACGGCTGCGTCGGTGCAGAGAACGCCAAGCAAGGTGGCCATGTTCGGGTGAATCATACCGGCACCCTTGGTCATGCCGGCCAGGCTATAAGTGTGACCAGGAGAAGAGGGTAGGGTGAAAGTACGAGAGAGCAGCTTGGGGAAAGTATCCGTGGTGCAAATTGCACGAGCGGTGCTCAGCCAGGCATCGTGTGTCGAGTCAAGGGTGGCGTGCGCAGTAGGGATGCGGTCGAGGATCTTCTTGATAGGCAGGCTATTGCAAAATAATAGTTAGTATACGACAACTTGTATGCTTTGTTCTCTTGGGAAAACACTGACCGCTGTCCAATGACACCCGTGCTCATCACCAGGGAGCTGTTTTTCTCAGCTCCGCTGCATTCATCCACAGTCTGGCCCATCTGGACCGCATCTTCCAATCCACCCTTGCCAGTCACAGCATTGGCGCATCCAGAGTTGATAACGACAGCACGGATACCCTCTCCCTTGCGACTCTTCAACGTTTGCCGGCTAACTTGCACCGGCGCAGCCTGGAACTTGTTGGTCGTGAAAACGGCAGCAGCCGCGCAAGGCGTGTCGGAAGCGATGAGTGCAAGATCGGGGAAGCGAGTGTTGGAGGCCTTGACACCGACATGGGTGCCAGACACCTTAAATCCCTTCGGGTACGTGCCAGACGTGGGGATATAACGCTGCTTGGAGGCCGGGATGGCCATGTCTAACGGTGCAGAATAGCACCGGACCTGGCCCTTGAGCATGCGGGCAAAGGAGCTAACCGCCATTGTGGCGGGCTGGGTGTTGGAAACCATGTATCAGGACTTGAACGCTATCAAGGCTGAATCACAATGGCCTGTTCAGTCACGCCGACTTATGAAGGGGGATGGGAAGCTCAAGCTGATGAGTCAACTTACTGCGGGCAGAAGATAAGAGGATAACCTTAACCGGTCTCGGAGCTGCGGACTCGGCACGAGATATCGCGGTATCAGTCCACCGTGTCTGCGACCGATCAAAGAGACGACGAACAGCAGAACACTGTGTTGCAAAAGGAGGAGCGAATAGCTTGAAAATAAAAATAAAAATAAAAATTAAGAGTTTCAAAGCTCGACAGCTTGGTATTGTAATCTTGTTGTCGATGCTCACATGATCTCTACTTATCGCTGTATCCATGGATCTTCTCGAGTCAAATGGTGGATTTATTTACGCAGTGCTGTGTTTGGAACAAGAAATCACTCTTATAATTGTATAACAGGAAGGCTACAGGTTAAGATTAAATGCCTCGCGCAGACTCGACCCACGACTGAATCTCTAACACTCTATTGCGCTCCATAGTTGGGGCGGACTCGGAGAAACTCCAGGGGACCCGCTGCTACTCAACTTTTGAACCTCCGCGGCTCTGGACTCAAGACCGACAAGGGAACTGGAACGATCGAACCATCACATCCCCAGGGCCGATCAACGCGTTAATCTCCCTTGCCCCCTGTTTGTTCGACCACCAGACACTGCTGCAGCCCTTTGGCAGGCACATCCCCAGCCAATTCCACCCCTTGCATCCCCGTCCCAGTGCACATTCTCCGGATCTAATGGTATTGTTGATTTCCTTCCCTCTGCTTCTCCATCATGGACTGCCTGCTGACTCGTCCACCATGAAGCGCAAGCTTTCGAATTCCGGTCTGGAAAATGACCACCCGGAGGTCTCGACCCCCAAGAGGCCACGGACGGCGCTATCGCAAACGAATGGCGCGTTGAATGGCCACGCGCCGAGTCTTCCTCTCCCGAACGGCGATGCCACCTACGAGCTTCCCGAGGCACCACGAGGCCAATCCACCCCAAAAAAGGCCAACGGAGTGGCTGCGACACCGTTGAAGGAATCCGGGTTGAAGACGCCGACTCATAAATCCAAGGCTCGATCTCTGTTTGCGACACCCACGAAGCCCAAGTCGGCGGCTGCCGCGACGCCGTCTAGGATTAAGAACGCCGATCGATCTGCGAAGAAGAAGAGTGCTCGAGTCCTCTTCGAACAGGACGAGGATGCCGCTTGGGATGGTTCGGAGCAGCTTGCGGAAGAGATCCTCCAGGATGACGAGCCCGAGGCTGACAAGACTGCCGAGCCAATGGTGGAAAGCGTCGAGGGTGAAGATGGAGAGAAACCAAAAGGAAAGGAGACCAAGGCACCAAAGCGACGGGCAGGTCGACCCAAGGGTGCGAGGAATAAGCGATCACCGACACCCGACGGTGAACTGCCACCGCACGAGCGCTACTTTTTCCAGAATCGCGCTGGGACGGCAAAGACGTCAAATACCACATTAAACAAGGTCTCGCTCTTGACACACGAAGAATATTTTGAGAAGCTTGGCCAATATGTGGATCCGTGCAAGGACGAGAAAGAATATCTACTTTCCTTGCACCATCGATCGTTCCCACAATGGTATTTTGAATTTGAAGAAGGGTTCAATATCTGCTTATTTGGATACGGTTCCAAACGCAGGCTCGTACAGCAATTTGCAGATTGGCTCTATCACAAGCGCTCTGCATCTGGAAGCGCTCCACCTATCGTTATCGTCAATGGTTACACCCCAGGTATCTCGATCCGCTCGATCTTTGCTACGATCGCAACGGCCATCTTGGGTGAGGATCTACCATCTAAATTGGGTGCGCAGCCAACCGAGGTACTCGAACTTCTTCAATCAGCGCTCAAGTCTCGACCTACCACGGAAGAGCCGATCACGGTTCTAATCAACTCGGTCGATGCGCCGCCGCTGCGTCGTGCCTCCAATCAAGCTCTACTTGCTCGTCTGGCCGCTACACCTCGAATTCGCCTTCTGCTCACTGCAGACACTCCCAACTTCGCAACGATGTGGGACATCAGTCTACGTGATCAATTCAACCTGGTCTTCCATGACAGCACGACCTTCACACCCTTTGCCGTGGAGACCAATGTGGTGGAGGAAGTTCACACCCTGCTTGGCCGTAAAGGCCAGCGAGTTGGTGGAAAGGATGGCGTGGGCTTCGTGCTGAAGAGTTTGCCCGAGAACGCACGTAACCTGTACCGCCTCTTGCTCACAGAAGTCATCACCGTCATGGATGACGGCCACCAGTCTGACGACGAAGGTGCCGCGGAGAGCGGAGGTCGAAGCGCCGAGGAACATGGCATTGAGTTCCGCCTGCTCTACCAAAAGGCGACTGAGGAATTCATCGCATCTTCAGAGATGATGTTCCGCACGTTGCTGAAAGAATTCCACGACCATCAAATGATCACCTCACGCATGGATCCCAGCGGAATGGAGATCCTCGGCGTGCCGCTATCTCGGGACGAGATGGAAGGCGTGTTGGAAGATTTAGTGTTAGGATGAACGACCACCTTGGTCTGCGCAGTGTATGAGTAGGATTGGAATAGCGATATCGAAGAACATTATGATACCCCTTTATGAAACACCATGTTCAATGATAACCTGTTTGATGTGGTAGGGAGTGTCGTGCCCTCTCATGCACTATGCCCTGAAAAGTAGTTCTGAGCTGTAACCCGGATAGCAGTATGCCTCGAGAGCAGCCAAGGAAATGTTTATGTACAGAATATATTCCTCCGTCTTTCCCTCTCTAAGTGACACGTCAGGAGAGGACTGCACCTTTAGAACTGCGCAAAGGCAGCCGTTGCCATCATCAAACCAAAACTGATCTTGAATGGCCGATTCTCAGACACCATCCGGCGCAAATCAGCATTCTTGACGTATTTTTGCAATCGGTTGAGAGGAAGGATGTTATAGCCCTTCGACGCAGCCCACTGTACATCATATTAGCACACTTTCAATTGACCCATAGGAACGAGAAATCTCCACAAACCTCAACAAGAACAAGACCCATGCCCAAAAGAACAACCAAAACCCTCGAAAAAGCCCTCAACCCCACACCAGCGACAAGACCCAATACACTACCCAAACTAATCTGGCGCATATTATCCGGCGTCAAAAGGGCATTCTTGGCCTGCGTCGCAATCCCCGGTTTCTGCAGAGTGGCATCATTGGGGTGAACAGCCCACCCGGTCTCTGCGCTGGCCAGCCCGTCCGTTCGATGATTAGACGCACCGTATTCGCATCGGATTGGGGCGGCGCGGAAGGGGGAGAGTGGGTGGAGGGTTGCTGCGGAGAGACCGATGCCGAGGCCCAGGCCTAGGCGGAGGATTGTGGACGGAGGGGAGAAGAGGGGGAAGGCCATTGTGATGAACGAGGAGTGACAGTTCAATGTAAGGTAGTACAGGGATCAAGCTGTGTAGGAAATTGCCGAGAAGGTGTTGATTTACGAGGAAGAATAGGAAGGAGGAGGAGTTGGAAGCATGAAGCTTGTCCGAAGGGAGAGCTTCCCGATAAGATACCGCGTGATGTCATCGCTAGTCACTTTCCACCCAGGTGCCCGTGGAACTGCGTCGGATTGGCCGGTTTGGGATCGATCGCTGTTTTGGACTTGAAATTGTATCTTCGGAGCTGTAATTATCCAGTTTTTAGCCCCGTCCGAACAATAGGCTTGCAGGAGACTGTGCTTACCTAGCAAACGTTGTGGAAACCACATCTTGCCAGTGGTTTCTACGTTCGAGGTAGCAGTTCTAGTTCTACCATTTCGACTAGCTCTACTATAAGGTAAACCCATGCAGCTAGAATACCTTTGTTCGATCTATATACACCGGGTCTGGCTAATGCTGGAGGCGCGGGTATTGAGAGCATCTCGATTACGGATCCCAGTGGAGCGGTCATTCTGGGAGCAAGCACGACTGCCAATCCGTATGTGGTTCAATGCTCGTGCGATGGTACCATGGCTCCTCACTCATTTAACCAGAGAAATGTCTTAGGCGAGATGCAAAGATAAACACATAGCTTCATGTCTGAAATCATGTTAATGAAACTTGGTAAAAGATGATAATTTGACAGGCTAGTACACGTTTGACTATGCCAGGGTCTGCTCAAATGACTGAAGGTATTCTTAACTGGTGGAGTGACACCGCGAAAGCTCTCGTGGAACCCGGTCGAGGGGTTAGCCTCAACAAGATCAATAGGTATCTTGTTCGAATCCACAAAAGATATCCAGCTAACTCAACGGATCCGTATATATCTCGATCGATGCTCTTTCGACAAAATTTTGCCAGCCAGGGAAAAGCGCCCTCGGAATGATCGAAACCCGATCCCCAGCCTGGAGGCTTCGCATCCAAGGCAAGTCATCCTCTGCGCGATACACCACCTGATGGTTCTGAGCTATGCCGCTTGCATGCAAATTAGTCGCCAGGCGGACGTCCAAATCCTCGCAAACATCTTCTCGCCCGGGAGTTCTTTCAAACCCCAAATCGAACCAAGTCCAGGAATTTCGGTAGGTGCCATGATCCTCAGAATAACTGCTCCATCCTTGGTCATGACTCCGTATTTCCATTCGGATCTCTCGGACGGGGTACCGTCCACCTTGAATAGGATCCGAGATCAGGTATGGTGTCCTACTGCGGCAATCGCTCTCCCCGTAACTAAGTGCTTGCTCCCTTGACACCTGAGAACGGACCCAGTACTGGGCGTGATGTAATATATGGAGGACTAGCTCGGCTGGTAGTTTCCTCTGTAGAACACGGAGGGCCTCGAACGATCCTCCGAGTCCCTGGGGTAGTAAACGGTTGAGGCGGAGGCCCCCATGTACACAATGTTGTGGGCACAATGTCGGATACTCCCCCAGTTTGAAAGCAGTCCAAGAAAAGAAGCACACTAGATTTCTATCTCTATCTCTTTTGCTGCAACGGCGGTGAAGAGATACCGCAAGAATGCCCGTTTGGGCTCCTGATGGGCTGGCAGGTGAGGTCGGGCAAAGCTATCTGACAAATTTAGATCAGTCGGTTCTTGATTGTTAATTTTGGGTTTGATTACCTTTCCGGTAGTTGAACTACTGCGGGGAGCCGTTATGGGTGGACTCGATGACACTTGTCAGCTTATTCGGGAGGAGTGCGTAAATGACAACGCATGCTAGACGAAGCCCTCGGGCAGAGTGTGGGGGCGGTCAAGCAACTAACCACCAGCCAGCCATATTCGTCAAGAAGGATCCCATCAGTATCTTTTTCTCGTTTCTTATCTTACGAAAGCAGTTTATCTCCAGGAGTTTCTCGTAAATCATACAGGCCAATAGAACGGAGAAACTGATATTAAGACTATGATCCAGAATTCGTAAGCTATTACGACGATAATTCGATGGAGTCTTACGCCCGCTCTATCGTTAGTGTCCTTAGCCTAGTCATGTAACCTTAGTTGCATCACAATGGTGGTTACTCTTCATCCAAGACAGAACCCATCAGCTTAGGATCATTACAGTGCTTATAATGCTCTTCCTCGCAATGGTTGCGACTCATACCTGAGTAAGCCTATTTCAAAGCCTAGCAGCAGCTAGGGCATATGTATATATCATCTGCTGATACGTTTGCTATTGTGTTTAGTATACCGCTGATAGCAGTAATATCATGTAAATAGATGAGCACCTGATTTAGGGCTATCTAGAAGTTCCCGAGTCATAGTGATCTTCATCAGTGTTGTGCTAGAGTACTATTACATCCGGCTACGGATGTTAATGCCACATTTGGAGTGTTTAGAAGTTTGCTAAGACTGCAGAGAAGTTTAGAGACATATTAGGGCTTAAGATTTTTCTGAGAGAAGAGGAAGTCGGGGAAGATAGCAGTGATTATTTGCTGCTTGAGACTTTTGATATTTGACTGTGATGCTTCATGCCGACCAAATCTCAACGACCGAAACTCAAAATTAATGTTGTGAAGCATACTGTACTTTGAATAAACATGAGGCGTGATTCCTAAGCCATCTACCAAGTCCACGATGCAATCGATCGCTGCGGATGTGAAGCTCGTGCATACTCTGGAAGTTCCGATCGCCCTATAGCCCGATCCCTCTTGAGCATCTCAAGAGCAGAGTCCTTCTCATTCATCAATGGCATATCCTCTCCGGACACGGGCTTTCCAAGTGAACTGGTACACCAGAGAAGCTGCTGCGCCTCCCACAGGAGAAGACCATCACTCGCTGGCAACGGGTAGAAAGTAACATCTCTACACAAGGGAACAAACTTCGCCACTAGATCCAACACGCCTCGCACTGCACGCGCCCGACCTCCCACCGAAGCAGCAGGATAATAGAACTGCGGATCCAGATAGAACAAGACATTTCTCCACTCCGGTAATTTCACAGACAGCAGCCTCGCAGCACTCTCATACTGCTTAAGTGTACGTTTCGGTACACCCATCTGCGTATGCACGAAGAAGAACACCTCAAAGCCAACACTGCGGATCCGCCGACATGCCGTTGGACTAAGTGAATCGATGAAATCACCTAACCGATCTAGATCAAAGGAGTTTCGGAAGAACAGCGTGTGATGAGAGTAGAGATAGTCCTCAGCTTCGTCGTGAATTTGATGGTTCACCGCGAGGAGTTTGCGTGCTGTGCCGTCTTCGCCTACCCAGCTGGGACACATTGAGAGGGCTCTGTAGCGATTACGGGCTGTGAAGACGTTGCCGCGGTCGTTGATGACGATTAATGGCTGGTTTATGTAGTTGTTGGGTACGGCGAGGGCGTATTCATAGATTTTGAGGCGGAGTTCTACTGGAAGTTTGAGGAAGGAGGCTGTATTAAGATCATGATTGGATGTTGTCATCGGTATCATATGTTCGGATTGTGGCTCTCGCTGGATTGTAGGTCCAGTAGTCGGGTTGTATCAAGTAGCAATAAGCTTCGATTGTGAATTCCGGGCGCGTGCAGTTAGCAAGCCAATATAGTGTTCGTTGCTGAACCGTATCGAATGTGAGAGTATCGAAGAATATGATAATCGTTGGACAAGCAACCGAGTCATTTAAAACTAGGAGAGAGCAAGTTCTTGACAAGTGTGCAGTCTTCTCGACAGTCACGCCATGTTTCTGGTTTCCAGCAGAAAAGCGTCTGATCGACATCATCTCTCCACCCCGTGACGGGCACTGCGATCAGAAATGGTTAGAATGATTGGCGAGGCCAGCTCAGGAAGGACGACAACAATAGACCGGTGCATCTTAAGACTCGGCAGCTAGAACCTCCTATGGTCAGCTTGTTGATCCAGCACGACGGTCTCCACCAGGGCCAAGCAGGCTCATCTGCCTAGACGGTTCAGCGTGGTGGTCCCACCCAAGCAGATCAGATCCCGACGGCGACGGGATAAACGGGTAGATCTGAACATATGGTGCCGAGACTTATCCCTCTCAACACACTATATTCACGACATGATACAAATTCGGTCTCTGATAACTTCTCAGATATCTGATGCAGCTGAGTGTTGTCAACGTATTATCAAAAAAAATCCGCAGGAACTTAAGACAGTTTAGAAGCGTCTACGCCCCTGGCGAGTTCTATATAGTAATCAGTTGCACAACTTAGCTCGTTGCCTGGTATTCTTTGGGTAACCTTGTTAGAGCACATCTGGCATTCTAACGTAACACCCGAAGAGTTTCAGAATTGAATTTAGGAAACAATTGTTTTAGTTGCATCAGACTGGCAGAACTAGGGGTGTCTGAGCGTGGACGTAGTGTACAGTATATGGCACCGAAGGCGCATTGTCAAATACACAAATGAATTTCGAAAGCGCGCCTACAGGGGGAATTTGTTTTCTACTCCGACTGTACACTAGTCTAGCAGTCCCCCGTGCACAAGCAAGAAGATAGATGCAGAGATCTCAAGGGTATAGACTCGCAAGCACGGATGACTAGTTCATGGTATTTTGAAAACTGACACCAAGAACGCCCAAGAGAAAAAAAAAGGAATCACCGCAGAAGCCACGGTCTATAGATAATGTGCCACCAATGGCGCAGTATGGTTCCATGTAAGCTTTCTTCTCACTTCTGCCGGTAAATGCCAAGCGACCACGCTGCCCGCAGGACCGCCAGGCCCCAGGCCATGCCGATACTGTCGCGAATGACATTCAGCTTACTGCCTCCGACCTCACGCCACCCGACGGGCACTTCTGCCACTGGGATGCGTGCGAATTCGGCGAGCATGAGCATCTCCACGTCGAAGATCCAGCCTTCGGAGTGCATATAGGGAATGATGAAGGGCAGTGAGTTGCGCGAGAAGAGCTTGAAGCCGCACTGCGTATCCTTGACGGTCGCAGTCTTGGGAGGCGTCATGAGCCACAGGATCAAGTGGAAAGAATGCATAAGAAAATTGCGCAACTTCGACCGCTGTTTAGTCAATGTTAGCAACATGTTCCATGAACGATTGTCTCCTAATTTGGCTCTATGAGGCCTAGCATAGAATCACGTACCTTGACAACGGCTTCGCTGCCAACCATATGCGCGCGCGACCCAACAGCCACACCACGACCACCGGCATCCTCAACCTCCTGGCACGCGGTAACAAGTTTCCCGAGATCCTCAAACTTACTCGCCCCATCCGCATCGGCAAACACGACATATCGACCACGCGCGTGCCGCATACCATGCGTAACGGCGCCGCCCTTGCCACGGTTGTGAGTCAAACTGACCACGCGAATCGTGCCGGGTGGGATATGCACGCCTTCGTGCGCCTTGGGCGTCCACGGTCCCGCATAGCCCTTGGGGTGCAGCGACAGCTGATGGTCCCTCGCAAAGGTGAAGGCAACCTCCTCCGTGCGATCTGTTGATCCGTCCGATACGATAAGTATTTCCCATCCGCGGTCCGATGCGGGACTCGTGGCATGACCGTTGGTTGCCTGACCATTCGACGCGGACTTGCGCTTTCGCATGGACCGGGTTGAGACAGTCTCGGTGTTGTCTTTCTCCTCCTCGCGGTCCAGAGTGCCGTACATATGTTCCAGGTAGTTGACGGCTTCCTCCAGCATTCCCGCAAGCCTGTCTTCTTCGTTGTAAGCCGGGACGACTACGGACATGAAGAGCTCCGCGGGTTCAATTTTAGGGTTCTTTGAGGCGCGCTTCTGGGCGTCGAGGGTGTCGAGCCAACATGGGAGTGTTTCGGGGTCGGTGATAGCGCCATCTTTGGCAAGAGTCTTATACTTCTTTTCTTCCGGTAGGGAATCACGAGGGGTCGGAGCAACGAAGAAAAGAAAGGTAATGAACTGTGGCCCAGCGAGAAAAAGTCAGCAATTGCCAATTGGTAGTCTAGCACGAGTGACTAGACAGCACGGAGGGTATCGCGCATCACCCGAGCGGGCAGCGTAGCCGAACTCACCAGGACAAACAATCCCAGCGCTGTAGCAACGACAGAAGCAAGTAAAATGGAAGCTGGAACGTCAGACACAGCAGAGACACATTGTCGACAGACAATGCTCCAAGATTCCGCCATGGTATTGGGGTAGCTCAATTGTTGAGCGCGGCGACAGGCGATGGGGAACGATGCGAGGGAGACTCGAGGGAAGCCCGGAAAGTAGAAAAGGCAATCACTCGGCCAGCCATGCAAAAGGCAATCAAGATGAACACATGGAAATGATCATGCAAACAAACCCTGGAACCCCATCAAGCAAGGGGAAAGTAAGAGAGAGAAGCGGGGAGTGGAGGAAAGAGAGTTGGAGCAATGAGGAGAGGAGGGTTGATAACCGTAATCGCCAGCTTGGCCTTTAATCGGCAACGCGCAAGCGTCTCCCCGAACTGTACTATAGTGGGGAAGGCCGGCCGAGCTATTTGGCGAACACTCGTGTCGTTTTTTTTGGATTTATTATTCGCTTGAATGGAAATATTTATCCGGATAAAAGTTACACTCCAAGCTTTCTAATTCCGTGAGGCTACGTCGTCGTTTCTGCTATTTTACTACGTGGCCGCCACTAAGCATGTTGGCGGGTCCCAATGTCGATCCTGACCAGCTCCATCACTGGGATCTCGAGAAAATGGCTTCCAGCCAGTTGGTTCCGCTATCCAGAAGCCTCTGCCTATTACCAATCTATCGTTGATATTGTTTTTGCAGATCGAAAGCAAATCCTTGGCCAATGTTACGAATAACCACGCTGGTCGGGTATAGAAGAGGCCTACCATACGAAGCATAAGATCGGCTCACGGAGCGACTTCATAATTCAAGATCATGCAACGACCTTGTAAGTGCTTCAAGTAGTCATGCCGTGTATAAGAATCATGTCCTAGTGCAGCAGGTTAGGTGATAGAGAACAACACTTCCTTCCAAGGGGAGCCGGACATTGCGAATAACCAAAGACGATAAAGGAAATGAGAACATGTACACGGGCTTCTCTCTCTATTGCATTCACCATCACCAAAAGATATCTCTTGCTTTCCACAAAAAAGAGTCATAAGAGCCTGCTGCTGCTCTTCCCTATATCCATGTACCTATAATAGCAGAGCAATGGCTGCTCCAACCCGGCAGATCCATGGTCCGAATGACATCTTGCGGGTGCAAAACGCCTTCCAATCGTGCCACAGACCCGGAAAACTTCAGATGAACCCGTGGTCATATACAGTCCTGGCAGGGAGACAAGCACGATGGAAACCACAATATTGAACTTTTGGCCAGCTCCGGCTCCAGGCAGAGTGTGTGTGCCGGGAACGCGAACTTCGAACGGCATCCATCCAAACAGGTTGGTATCCACGGCAAGCTCCTAGTGGAAGGGTCACGGACTCAAAAAAACAATGCACAAAGTCATGTCCTGGTTCTAGGCAGAACCGAATCCGCAGGATGATTCAGTGGGATTTGGCTCCAAACCTCGGGGCGAGGTCTTCCATGGTCCACGTTCCATTCGGGCGAAGATAGACACTGTTTTGTCTCAACTGTCGTAAGTCACGTCCGAACTAAAATTCTATCCAAGGGTTGTATCTTTTCTATAAGGAAAGGTGAAAGAAAAATCCGTTGCTCCGAGATGTACCCAATACGACCAGTTTCCGAATAGCCCAGTCCGCGATCCATGGGGAAGAAATCCCGCGTTTCTTCCCCGGTTCTGAGGCTGCCGTATAGTGACTGTTGAGGGTCATTGTACCTTGAGGCGCCTCGTATGTCGTGTTATCCAAAAGAAGGTCCAGGTCCAGGTACACTGCTATTCAGGCCTCCACAGGTCTCCGCAACCGCCGCAGTCATAAGTGCGCGCGGGGTTGTGTCGAACCTGCGATTGTTGTATATCATCCAACGACCAAACTGCATGTCAAATTAATTAGCCGCGTTTCTCTTCACTATGACACTCCTCTGCTGTGCTAGAACCAAGAAAAGATTGCTACAAACCGTTGCTATTCGCACGCCCAACCAGAGGCATCTGTGCTTGCGAGGGATGGCAGTGGAAGCTGGTTCAATCACAGGCCTGTCGTCCTCCGAAGGGGCTCCTTCGAAAAATCCGTCGGGAAAGTAGAGTGTGCTCCAGGATTGACCGCGAATGTGAAAATCCTCCGGTAATTGTCGTGTGGTTTCGTCGTCGCCCATTGGGAAAGTGTCTTCTTCGATCTTGTCGAATTCAACGGAGTCAATATCGGAATCAATGAGGTTGTTGAGGAACCTCGTGATGTTGACCCAAGGAATGAATTTGTCCACTTCCTGCATGGCGAGCGGATGTAGAGCTAGGCTCCAGATGAAGGAAAATGCGATGTGTGCGCTGGGGTATATAATCGGATCGTCTAGGTAGTTGAGAAGAACGGAGAGGGTGTGAAAGGCAAGAGCAGTGCCTTGGAAGGCCATTGGAGGAAGATGGACGCTAGTATCTGTTGGCTCGCCACCCTCCTTGCTCTTGGCTTCCGGGATAAAGTCCAAGCCTGACGTCCAATTAATTGCAGATTCGTAGGCTTCCGCTGCCGATTCATAACTTTTCTGCGAAAATTTCAGCGCCATGAAAGCCTCAGAGTCGCCATATTGAAAAATAGACGCGAAATTACACGACATGATATAAACTCCCGTTTGACCCTGACGACCCAGGTGACGAGCTTCTTCTCGCAGGAGTACCAAGAAGCGGTTTGCCAAGGTAATAAACTGGTCAGCTGGCCATTCGTTGAACAGAGCACTATGAGTAGCAATGAACGCAGTGACCATCGTATGTTGATTCAAGGCTTGGTGTTGTCCATTATACGGACTGAAGAGGAGGACCACACTCTCACGCGCATTATGAAAAGGACGTACACTCACTAGCGCCTTGGTGTAGTGGAACAGCTGCTGAAGCACGTCTGGACGAGCTAAAACTGCAAGGTGATGCTGGATACGGCCCACTTCGGGGCTGTGGTGAGCGTCTTGATTGTACCAATATCGCGAGACTCCAGCCCAGACCTCCCGGTCTCTCATATCAGACTCTTCCACGGCCATGCGATATCGTGCTAGGTCTCCGAGACACTCAATCCAGGTCTCGTGAAATGCCGGGACGCTTTCGAGTAGTAATGTCATCATTGAATACGCGAGGTAGATAAAGTTCAGCATATAATCCAACGAGCCCGGCAGCTTTTGTCGAAGCAGCTCCAAGAACGAATGAATGCCGTATCTCCACATTCGCGCTGGCATAGCATATTTCTCGGCAAGAAGCCTCAACACGGAACTTGCAGAGGGATGTTGAGATGCAAGAAAAAAGTCGTGATGTTCATAAAGTAATGTTCGATGCAGAGATATCAGTGCCTGGTATTGAGTGCCTGACAATTCGTCTTTGGACTCTGTTTGTTGCTTGTCGACCTCAATACACTTTTTTTCCACCATGACCAGACCGGCGTATATATTGCGCACCTCGTTGATCAATTGATCTTCCGTGATCGCGTTGGTATCAAACTGCTTAAACATCGGTGGTGTGTCCGAGTCCTGAGACTCGGACGACGGCCCCCTGGAGGTATCACATGAATATTGGTCAACGGGGGGCTCATGATTGGATTCATTGCCTGAACTGTGTTCAGGTGGAGGCACATCGATATCCATTATATCATCGTCCCTATCTCCGGCCCTTTCCTCATCTTCATACCCAGCACGACCGCCGCTACCGCCATCCCCTTTCTTAGCAACCGAGGTCTCACAAACCACAGGGTTTGAATGGGATCCCTGCAGTCCCGCTCGCGCAATCTCATCTAATGTTTGATAATCAGAATCTCGAGTCAGTTCCGATTCTTCTGTGGGCAATTCTTTCGACAGGACCCCAGCACTGGTATCTTCAAAGCTAGCAGGCTGGTTCGAGGCGGATGTAGATCCCCTTCGATCCCGCTCTCTTAATGTTCTTGAGCTGTCTCTGCGATGATATCTCTCTGCACGAGCTAATTTCGTGCGTGAAGATGCTTTCGACACTCGGGCTCCATGACTACTGGAGGTATCCACAGTACAGTCATCCGGGATTCTCCCGGTGGAGAGTGACAGGCTGGCTGAGGAGCACATGCGATTGGCCGTCGGCACTTCAGATGACGACTCGTCCAAGTGCAGACGGCTTATGGAATGCCTGGGGTACCAGTTAGTTGGGAGGCCCGGCGTTGCCACGAATGTGACTTGCCTAGGAGACAGATCATATGGTAAGGACCTGCCTGTACCTCGCCAGCCTGTGGCTCCATAAGAGCGGCGTTCTCTACGAAAGGATGGCCTGTCCATCGTATGTCTTGCAACTTAAGATTGTTTCAGAACCGGTGCATTCGCATCATCTGCCCTAAGCGATGCGTATTAGCTAATCAATTTTGCTTCTTTAGAAAAAAGGTGCAGTGCGCTGCGCTGGCAATTAGCCTGCGGGTGTGTATGGAAGGACCAAAGAAAGTCAAAAGAGAAAGCAGGCTAATGAGTGGCGGGGAACAAGGCAGGAACGGGGTGAACGTTGAAAGGGGCTGGAGAGACTGACGTCGTTGCTGTGACGGTGGTTGTTTAGTGCTCCCGTCTGTACAGGGGTAAGGAGCACCATAGAATGGGGGGGGGGGAAGTGACCCGGGTCGGGAGTTTATAAAGAATATCGTTGCTAGGCTGTCCCCATAGGAGCCCTTGGCCCAGAGCTAGGCACCTAGGTGGATGATCCTATATATGTATATAGAGAGAAGCTGAATTATCTGGCTCCACAATTCAGTAAGTAGTAGTAATAATGGTCTGGGCGTGCGCAAGGATGTTCCGGCAGGAGGGTTGAGCGTCCATGTGTTTTTTTCCCTTCGGTTCTTAGCGCCGTTGCCTCTTTCCGCGTCGCATTAGAATTTAGTTGGCAACCCTCCAAACCCCCCCCCCAGGGCTGAACCCCAATCCAATGATCAACTAAGTAGTACAGACTCCTCGTCACATTCGACACTCTAACAATCGTACTTCATACATCTGATCTGCCAGGATGATGATGCATCTTAAATTCACCGATCGCCTACTCTAGCATCAAATTATCCGTACCTCCCAGACAATACAAGCGATACTTCAAGTATGTATCATTTATCCTAACAAGCATCCCCATTGGTGTTAACGCAGTCTGTACCAGCCAAATTCAGCTTCATTTGGGCCAAAAAAAAAGAAAATAGATAAGGCTACCCTTTGGCATATCAGCTTCACCTTCCTAGCCACGAGGCCATTCAGGCTTCCCTTTACCCACCGAGGGCCTGAACTAGAGACAAGAAGTCTCCCAGCCCCGCCAAGGCTTGAAGTTTTATTCGGGGAATAAATGCTGGCGCTTACGGTAGATCATACCTTAAGTGGATATAGCATCATTGCCTCAATTCGTGCCTTATGCGACAGAGCAGGGCGACTCAGCCACCAATTACCACAGAGTATATCTCCTTACCCTCTGCGACCCAGGCGAAACGGACTATAGGCATACCGGGACATAACTCGCGTCCCGGGGTATCGGCAACCTGCAAGGTCAAAAGAAGACGAAACTATGCCGAAGTGCCCTGAAACAAACACCTCAACTTCATCTTGCAATTCTAGAAACTATGTTTCAACAAGGCAAAGCTCATGTTTGGGCATTTTCCCGTCCTAAACGCAACACCCTTGCGTGTGCGAGTTTCTTTTGAGCCCAACCCGAATAAAGATCGTACAAGACCAGACCGCTCGACGCCATAGCCGTTGGCACTACTCGCTCACCGATATTTCAAACGAAACCCAGAACCAGGAAAAAAGGAACAGGACTACGCCCTAACCACGAAAGCCTTGACCTAGAGAAGTGTCTCGAAACGTTTTCTCCAAATCCCACTTTCTCCCCAAAAACGCCCCAAAATTGGGGCTGTCGTCAGGCTGCGAGCCGTTGCTCTCCCTCCCCACATTGCACCCTACTTCTACAGAGTGATATTCACGCTTCTAGATGTTATTCCAAATTTCCCGCATATACTGATATCGCTGATCTACATCCGCAGCCCTCGAAACGACGACCAGAGCCCAACCGTGATCGGACCACCCCAAGGTCTGATGCCAAAGTGGGACGGGATAGGTGCCCGAGGCAGCAACGACTACCCAAGTCCACGGTCAGTGGCTCGTTCTCGCTTTGTGATACCCAAGGATTCAGTATCGTGGGGTCCCGCTGTCCCGTTGAGGTCAGTTGATGCCTTTCGCTACTCCAATTTAAGCCCAATACATGGCCATTAGGGAAGCGAGCAATGCAATGCCACGTTGATGCCTGTCATTGCAGCTTTCCGCTACTTTGAATTGTATGGAGAGTCCAATCCCCCAGCCAGGGTGGTCCATTAGTATGGCATAATGTTTCCCGCAAGAGGCCTTGACTGCAAGATTTGCCCTATCTGTTTATCACCTGTATTGATCTTTCATCGCCTAGGCTAGAGGCTGTATTGTTCTCGTTCCTCGTTTCCTTAATAGGCTCCGGTTTCCGAGGCTACGGGTCAATGATATACGAGGCTCAATTACGTATCAAAATAAGATCGTCTCGTGTTCAAAGTAACCTGGTGACTTTCCCAGAAATTCACCCCATATTGACTTTGACTTATAGTGAGATTAAGTTGAGATCGACAACAACAATTATAAGAAGATGTCCAAGTACTCTGACCCAAGGCATCTTGCAAACAATTTGATGATCAGGAGACTGCAGATGATAACGGCCGCTGCAGGGGTAGCAGTTATTGGTCGGGGCTTCTGAAACTCGTTCCCGAGGTCGATTTCAATTGGCGGTTACTAGGGTCCCAAACCCTCGACTGGCCGCATACATCCGTGAAAAGTGAAGCTACTTATTATACCTACTGCCTGTGAATATACTCCTTAACCTATGACCATGTCGCAAGCAATTAGTAACCCGGTTCTTATGTGTATTTACCGCTGTGGACTGCCTCTTGAAAGACAAGGCGGTACAGTCAACTAGCACAAGGCAGGAGGGTTACCGGGATAGTTTTATGATTTGAAGCTTACCGAAGTGTATAGAAGCCATGCAGAAGATCAACTGCATGGGTAGTTTACCTGGAGAATATCATAATTTTAGGGTGGCGATAATGCATGCGAACCAAAGCTATATCACTTTTTCTATACCGAGATTGAAAAGTAGGAACGAATCCATGCCGTCTAGGAAAAAAAAAAAAAAAAAGGAAAGCACTCGGCGTACATTGGTGTTGCTGGCCTGGCTGGTCCGCATAGAACAGAACAAAGTTAAGGCAACCCGCCTTGTCTAACCCTTCCATGATGTATGAGTGTTTCTTTGACCACGCTTAAACGTGAAAAAGGGGGGGGGGGGGAATAGGTGCCCCTGACTATTGTGCAAATTATAATTATGAAAGCAAAACATATGAGGGAGGTCCAAATGATGTAAGGGCGCTAGGGGGGAGGGATCCGGTAGGGATGAAAATGAAGGTTGTCGGGTATGGGAACGTGCGAATCTTGGTGGGTTGCATGGTTGCACCCGGGTTGAGAAGGAGAGAGGGTGAAAGGATTGGCCCCAAAGAACATCCGTGACGACCCGCTGTATATTGTAGACCGGCAGAGTCCTTGCCAATCGAGGCCTTGGACAAAATGGCATCATTGATAGGCTGTAACTGAGTAGGTTATTAACGTGACGAGTCCATGTGGAGACAAGCTTGTAGTCTAGAAGGGGTTCAACCCGGGTTGCGCACTAAATCCCAACTAGCAGGTTTGGCTTGCCTTAGTTTGTATTCGAGAGCTGTTCTAGATGACACGCGAAGCTGTTCTAATCTGGAGAGCCGAGTCATGCACTAAGTGCATATCCCAAAGGTTTCCTATTGGTTTAACCGTCAGGATTCTTCAACACCGCGAATTCTGAGCTCGTGAACTAGCCTGTCATCAGGGGTATTCGAGCAAATGATGACTGCTACGCTCCCCTCTAGCCCGGGTATGTGCGGGATGACTTGATGCTTACGACTTTGAGTCGAAGGGGACAATTATCGCGCAAGTGGAGAGGGAGTTTGACGACTCACGACGTATGGGCGGGTTCCGAGGCACTACATTACTAGGTAGAATTCAGGATTACGCGGGGTTTGACTGTTGAAGAATCCCGAATTCCACTGTTTTAACAGTGTCAACTATTGCTCAGCTTCGCTCTACCTTAGCTATCGATCTAACATGAAACTATTCCAAACAAAGAATATAGGAATGAATTAACGCGATTTTTTAGATTTGCTGATCTATACTTGGACATGCCCTCCGGACTATTCCCTGGATCCTGAGATCAATTCACCATCGAGCAAAATATTGATCTATCAAGTACGTAAATTTCCGATGAAGGATCCGATCGTAATTAGCGACCTTGGCTTACATTGCCTACACAAGCCTCGTTTGCACAGACAGCATCAGCGATCGCTCGCATCCTATCAATCGCGAAAACATTCAGGCCGCCTCGGCAAAACGTCATCAGACTCCTAGGAATCAGCGATAAGAAGTCACTCAAAGCTGCAAAATCACCCTAGTAACCCGGGAAACACTACGTATACTCCGGGTAATAATATACATCGCATTGACACCTTCCACAAATGATCAATAGACGAGCAACCACAGCCCTTCAATCAATTTACACTCCCCATCCTCATCGATCGATCGAGCATCACCCTCACCGCCTCGGATCAGCCATCTGACCCGGTTGAATCCACCGATCATCGATCACTCCAGGACCGGAGGCTATCCCTTCATGTACCACCGACTACACCTGCATCTTCCGACACGGCGTCTAAAATTGAACTCCGAGTGGCTGAGTCTAGGACATTTACCAACAGGAAGCCTTCCGGCCATCAAGCCCAGACCGATAGGCGCCGGCTTCGGCGTCAGCGCCATCATGTCAGAGCTGCGCATTAACAGTGCACCGGATCTAGCTCGTGACGAGTTGCTGGCGTTCCCCGCCTTCAAAACTTGGCTGTCAACCCTGCAGAAGTCGCTTGCTCGGCAGTCGAATCCCGCACATGAGTTTCATGGTGATCCGTACATCCTGCGCCAGATTGATGTCCAGGCCGTGGATCGGTTTGGTGGTGGGAGGTTGGGTTTTGTCAAGTTGAAGGCCGATGTATCGAACAGCCAGGGCGAGAAGTTACCAGGGAGCGTCTTCTTGCGTGGCGGGAGTGTGGGCATGCTTGTATGTTTTATCTTTTCTTCTTGTTTACATTCTTTTCGTACACGTCTGTTGACAGCTATGTTTCTAGCTCATCCTGCAACCGGACGACATTCCCTCGTCAGAGGAGAAGGGGAAACGGGCTATTCTAACTATCCAGCCTCGCATACCAGCTGGATCTCTCACATTCGCCGAAATCCCAGCAGGTATGCTGGATGATAGCGGGACCTTTGCTGGGGGTGCAGCGAAGGAAATTGAAGAAGAGACTGGGCTACAGGTCCAGCAAGGTGAATTGATTGATATGACCTCTCTAGCTGCGGAATTGACCGAAGTCTCGTCGGAGAATGGCGAATCCCTGCAGAAAGCAATGTATCCATCTGCTGGGGGCAGTGATGAGTTTATTCCCTTGTTCTTATGTCAAAAGCGTATGCCTCGAAAGAATATTGAGGAGTTGCAGGGCAAGCTCACTGGGCTGCGGGATCATGGAGAAAAGATTACGTTGAAGGTGGTTCCTCTGGAGGATCTATGGAAAGAAGGGTTGCGAGATGGGAAGACGTTAGCTGCTTGGGCTCTCTACAAAGGACTCAAAGAGGCTGGGAAAATTTAACGTGATGATCTCTTAGAGGAGAAGAATAGGGATTTGAAGAAAAAAATCATTGAACTGATTGAATTTTACACTGTAGCTTATCCAACCACTCTATGTAGTTGATCAAAAGACTTGAAAACTGCTTTTCATCATGTCTCAAGAACTTACAGCTTCCACTTCTTCATCAACTCCATTCCTTCAGCAAGAGTGCCAACCCGAGCATCAATAGCATACCCCTCCCGCTCAAGCTTCTTCATCTCCTCATACAGGGAAGCCATCGGCACGGAGAAACATTCGATAAACTCATTATCCTCGAGTTCCGGCTTTGGATTCTGATTTTCTGGTAAACTCATGTCCACGCGGACGTGGACCATGTTTAGATTCGTGTTACAAAACCCGGGATCTAAACCAACAAATAAGGCAACAAAGCAAAATTGATCAGCCCCAGCACGGGAAACAAATATACTCCGAGAAGAGTATGCCAATCAAGTCGAAAAACTCAGAGGGGAAGTCATGCGAACGCACCGTTGTACATGATCGGACTCGTCAGCTCTGCCACGCCCACGTAGCCCGTTTCCTCCTTGAGCTCGCGAACCGCGCACTGCTCGGGCGTTTCACCGGCATCGATCAGACCGGCCGGTACTTCGATGACGACCTTGTCGATAGGAGGACGATATTGCTTTTGCAAAAGTAATTCAGGCCCCGTGGGCTTGTTGAGAATAGCGACAATTCCAACGCCATCGATCTCGCAATTGGCGGGACGAGTCTAGATGTGATGAGTTAGCCAAAGGTCCAGGCAAGTGTGTGACTGCTTTCCCTGAATCAAACAGGGCGTTTAGAGGTGTAGAGAGGAGATTGCGTGTTGCTATTTTCGGGCAAGGCAGCCAATCCACAAGGCTGTGCGTTACATCCGCCAATGATGCACGGCCCGTAAGCTTATGCCGAGCTGTGTGATCTAAAAAGACACTTGCTATAGCTGAGCTGTCTCGCCATGATGTGCAGCCGAGGAGCTTTGAAGACATGACAGGTGATAGATCACACACGTCATAGCCCTGAAACCCGGGTGCAGAATAGTGCTCCTCCAAATGTGGGTGCACAGAGCCTAGAGGGGCAGAGGCCGAAAGCAAGCCCCCAGATACCAAGTTGCAGAAAAGCCCGAAGAGATCAGAACAGTGAGGTATGGGTGTGCGATCTTACCTGCCGTTCTGCAGATTCCCAGGTGCGCTCTACACCTAAGGGGTCTGTGTAGGTCGTTTTGACCAATCGAGTCCACCGAGCATCGACATTTTCCTGAAGTTGATACTCGGTCAGATATGAATGGCCAGATAGGAGGAGGTCAGAGAGTCGATGTTTGATAGTCATCTGTCTCCAACTGCAAGACAGTTTCGAAAATAGCAATCATCAAAAGTGACATTGAAATGACACACCAGAGGACCCCGGGAGACGTGCTTGGATTTGGCTTGCAAGCGTTCCGACATGTCTGCAGGGTGTGCAAGAAATTTGAAGAGAAATCTGGATCAAAAACGGCCTCGTGATTATGCAACGTCGATATCGGTGAGCTTTGGGCAGCAATTGTTTGTGTTTGGAGCTTGTTTCGGAGCTATCCCCAATGTTGACGATGATGAGGGAGGCGCAGCGGTGGAGATGGAAAGAGAGGGGCTTACCTGGAGGTGGGGTGGTGCGCTTACCTTATCACTGTGACCGGCACGCAGATACCCTGTCTAGGGGAAAGTCATCTAACACGTAGGTGAAATAGATCGAAATAAGATAACTCTATGCTTAGCTTGTAGTAATCAGCCATTTTTTGTTTTCTGTAGGCAAGTTGTTTCTGGTTGACATATGTAAATAAACTCAGTAGGGCTTGCAACAGTGAGGTATGGGAGCCAGCCATACTTGGAAACCAGCCGACATGGTAAACAGACTCGACAACGACATAATTATTCTAAGCCTTCCCAACACCAATCTACTAGGCCACTTAGTTACCTCTTGAAGATTCCAGCTGACGCAATGAAATTTACCACAAAAAGGACAAACCAGTCCCAATCGGAATCATTTCTACAATGGCTCGACCCTACAGTCCATCTCAATCGAGAAAGATCAGTTCTATGCATCAAGACATGGGAGCGAAGCACACGAAGGGTGAAATGACTCGTGTCGATTGTCTAGAGGTAGAAAAGTAGGAGGTTTAATGAATGACAGAACACATCTAGACCAACCAAGCACCGGACAGTCCCAGATCTATAGAACCTGGTCCAAACTCTGGAATAACTATCCAATAACGACGCTGACCGCAGACATATGCTACAAGAACCAAGGGATAAAATCCTCGCAAACAAAAGAAAAATTGGAAGTCTATCATAGGACTCAAACCCTCGAGGCATTGCGCGGTTCTGGGCCACAGTCTGCAAGCCACAATCCCCAGATTGAGAATCGGTCAGGGTGCCTAGACATCAACCCGGGTGACTGGCAAGTCTGCCTTGCTGAGTTGTCCGAGGCAGAAACGCGGGTGCTTGGGTTGTTGCAGGCTTGAAGCAATAGCGGGGTTTATCTTTATCGACTTTCCGGGTGCTTTCCTGCTTCCCAGTGTCCCTGAGAAGTTCACCTCGTCTTCTTCTGACAGAGCGATTGCTATTACATACTACTCGTATTGATATGGCTTCAGTCAGATAAAATCTTCATTGTATTATCTTTGCTGGCTAACAACACAGATATGATATACTGTTGCTCTTGAAGACCTGTCTATACGCGATAAAATAAAGGTACGGCGTACTAATGCAAGGACAGTGAACAGAGGTGACTAGCACACAGCAATGATCCGGTATGAATGCTTGCCGGCCCTTTCGCATCCAGGGACAGAGAATATGATGGAATCTGGGCGAGACCTCAGAAATCGATCGAGGTAAGAGAGATAATAAATAAACCAGCAAAGCTCCAGAACGACCACTCGCTTGCTTTCATGACATCGTGCTGAAATGGGAAATCCGGTGACGAAAAAGAAGAGAAAAAAAGAAAGAAAGATCACAGGCTGGACTGAGTGGCCTCCGCAGGGCTGTTCTCGATAAACTCCATACACTTGGGGAACTCGGACCAGTGGGTCATGATGGTTTTGACACCGAGATCCAACAGGCGAGTGCTCATCTCTGCCTGCATGTCTGGAGCGTAGCTACCGACGTAGCCAATAACTGGAATACCGGCACGAACGGCCGAGAGAGCACCGGACTTGCTGTCCTCCACAGCCACCGTCTCTGCAGCAGTCTTACCGCACACCTTCAGTGCGTGCAGGTAGATGGCCGGATCGGGCTTGGAAGTAGGCTTCTCGAGAGAAGTAGCGGCGCTGAAGACCATGCCCTCGTCAAAGTACTTGTCCTGGTCAACCTTCTTAATGGACGCAATGACTCGGCGAAGCGCTGAAGACGAGACCACGGCCATGTGGTACTTCTTCTCAGCGAAGAGCTTGTCCAATTGCTCAGTGGCACCGACACAAGGGGCAGCCTTGGCCTCCAGCTTGGCAATGACCTTGTCCTCCTCCTTCTTGACGTACATCTCCAGCTCGTCCTTTTCCAACTCAAACTTGTACTTGGCCTGGAGGGAGATCATCATGCCTCGGAAGTTTTGGCCGACAAAATCCTTGATCAGCTGCTCGCCGGTGTAGCGATCAGGAATGTTGTGAGCCTCCAGAATCTCATTGGCCAGGTCAGCACAGGCCTCAAAGGCCAGCTCCTCCGACAACACCAGAGTGTTGTCGCAGTCGAAGAAGATTTCCGTGATCTGCAGGACGATCGGTTAGCATCGGTGGGTCTGGGGGTGATGATCGAGTAACAATGGAGGGGCAGCTTTGTACCTTAGGCATGATGAGAGACGGTGGGTTAAGGTCCGTAAGAGATTTCGTTGTTGGCGGGGTAGAGGGGTATATTTCCGACAGGAATGCGCCGAAGTAGCAGAGAACCAAAGTAAGACCGATTTGGGATCTCGAAGACGAGGAAGTACAGAGCACAGTGGAGGGTGAGGAGGGGGAAGGAGAGATGAAGTGAGAGTTGAGAGAAATCCCAAGTCAATTGAGGGAGCGGGTATCAAACCAAGGGAGGGGCAGGGACAGGAAGTCAAAACGTCAGGGCGCGGTTGCTTTTAAAAGGCAGGAGCCCTTTTGGTTCTACAGTCCGGGAAGCCATGACGCTGCCATAATGCCCATCGCTGGGAACCGGGCCAGAGCGGGGCTGAAGTCATTGGTGGGGGGGTATAGGTACTTGTTCCAGTATGTCATGTTCCATATAATGCCAGGTACCGAGAATACTGCACAGACACGCGGAGGGACCTCGAACACCTCGGCGACCACCACTCCACCAATCACATGACATGGAATGTACAGTAAGCACATGTCTACCCCTTCTAAGACTAGCGTCTGTTTAGGAATCGTGGAAAGTCGCGCAGAGTCGGAGCTGGCTGCATTCTGGTTTCACGGCCCTGAGTCCTTGGCGTCAGTGTTGGAATCCTCAAGGTGAAGGGTTGGATGAAGTCTAGGCAACATGTTATACCGTGAACAAGAATTCAACGAGCCGGACTACTATGGTTCTTGCACAAATGGTCATGCCAACAACCACGGAAGTATACCACCACGGACCGTGCATTCAACATTCTATTGGATCAACTTGAGGGTCACCATAGCGGCCTAACCTCATACCGCACGGTCGTACACGGATTAGTCTGAGAACCCTGGCTTTTTTTTCCCTGCTGATTTGCAATATGTCCCGGTCTGCACCGATAATCGAGGCGGCTGGCAAGGGAAGAACGTTGAAAACATGCGAAGAGCTTGCTTGCAGCGCTTTTCTCGAGTAACCATACATCGATCTCGACAGGATAGCCAAGACAACTTCGATACTGCCGTCCCTATGACAGAGAGACTCTTGGTTAACTTGATATTGGGATGTGTCTGTAACAGAAATCTAAACATGAATAATGGTGGGGTATATCATCGTCAGCGCTTATACTTTGTTTCTGCGTATTTCTTTTACAGAAATATACGAAGGTAACTTCATAGACATTTGGCCGTCCAGATGGGTCTCAAAATCACTCATAGCTTCCTGCCTTACTGCGTGACAGATGATTGGGTGTCCCTTCTCAACAGCCGATAACAATATATTCGGATTGCCGGACATGATGAGATTGATAAATTTGGTTCGCAAGCCCCGCCGGTAACAAGTTGAGTCCCCTGCTATTCTATCTCTTCTATCCTTTTCTATTCTTCATTGACCCGATATTAACCCGGGCTAGGTTTCAACGGTACAATACATCCATGCGTCCCCCCACTTCTATCTACCCGTTGTAGCGTCGATTGGCCCCACCGGCCAACCAGCGCCATGGGAATTACTGCCATTTTCGCCAACTTCAATATTCAAATTCTCCTTCCACCCATAGACTCCGAGACCGCCGAAATAAGCTGGTATCTGGCGGAACTCCCGGATAAGGAAAGATTCTTCGTACTGCTCGGGGGAAGAAGTGAAACCAGAAGGCCTGCCTGAGGGGGCCAGAGGGAGAGAGAAACCCCCAGGCGAAATATTCTGCTTGGCAGCCCTAGGTGCAATGGCATCTCCGGGCTCTTTTCCGACCTTGGAGTCGCTGCATTTCCCGTCTGCACAGACATCCATATCGCAGACGCTTTCTTCTCTCCGACGTTCCGCCTTGTCCGTCTCAAATCGGCTCCAGTCTATTGAAACGGATGCCGTGTTTGTGCAGGAGGTCGCGGAACATTACAATCTGCCCCTCGTCGCGAATGAACGCTGTGGTAGTTGGTATATTGACCCGGAGGGCAAGGCGGGCAGTGCCTATTTCAAGAGTACGGATGGCCATACGGGACAATGGGATTTCAGCTTTCGTAGACTCAATCTACAGCTGCTCGCATTGGCGAATCAATATGGCGGGTAAGTCAAGCACGTCCGTTATAATGAGATGCCTATTACTCGGTATACTCCTATCGTTTCAAGCAACTCCCGTCAACCCTGTCAATTCATACTATATCCCTCGTATCTAATCTTCATCCAGGTGTGTAATCGTCGACTCCACCCGCCGTGGTAAACGTACGTTCTACCTTTCACTTCTTCCATCCCGAAGCTCCGGGTCAACGTATACTGCCCGGCGCTAACGAACTATCCTTCAGTGATGCCGGATGCCTTATCCAAAACCATCCCTATCTGGTGTGCAGTACTCAACCGGGCCTTGTTCCCGACGCAAACGGACTATCACGCCGTCGTTTTGCCCCCCAACTACCTCGGGGAATCGGAGGAGTCGCAGATTGTAAATCGGATTGATGGTTTTGTCCATTCGCTCCAGGTATGTGTGTACCTGCTCAGTATGACTGCATCCTCAATCCCTGCACTTATATGTCAGGGACGGGCCGTTTCGACCCCTCCATTAGAGCCATCTCACCCGGGTTGAACCGCACCCGCAGGGGCTAGCTAGCATGCAGTTTAGGCTGACATTTCTCAAATGCAGAGTCTCAAGCTTGACCTCGATACTTTACGGCAGCAACTCGGCAAACCCATGCGAGTCGCCTGGGCTAATCGCTCATACTTCCATCCAACAGACCTGCACAAGAGTCCCGAGTATCACCTGCTAGTGCTATGCTCTGCATCAAAGCGCGTGCATGGCGCGGAAATGTCGGAGGGCGGGTACATCCAGGGTGCCGGTGATGACAGCGAGGCATGGGCGCACGGGCTAACGCCGCCAGTGTTCTGGGCGAACCGACTTCTTCTCAAACGGACGGCCGAGGAGGATTTGCCCGGTGTGATTGCGGAGTTGGTGGGGGAGTATACGCGCCAGAATACTGACAACAAAGCAACCGTCATTTCGCCGACTCGGAATTTGTATATCAGTCAGACTGATGCACGTGTCGATGTTGGTGCACAGTATGACCTCATCATCGACTGTAATGGTGACCCTGCCCCTGCGGTGGAAAATCTAAAGCGTCTGAATCTGGGTTGTGCGTCGGCCAAGCTAGGTAGTCGGGACCTGCGGAAGTCGTTGGATAAAGTGCGAGACTTTGTCGCCGCACAACTTGGCTCTGATCCGTCGCGGTCGTTGCTGGTGACTTGTGATACGGGCAAAGATCTTTCGGCGGGGGCGTTGTTGGCGATTATCTGCCTGTTCTACACTGAAGATGGTAATGCGAAGACACCCTCCCAAAGAAAAGGAACATATTGTTCAATGAATTTACACGCTAGATGAAACGGCAAAAGGGAATCAAAATAACTAACTGCGTCGAAACCCCCAGGAACCTTCGATGCCTCGCTAGCCAAGCGCTCGATCAGCAAGCAGTTTATCCGACAGCGTCTTGCATGGATCGTCTCGTCTAAACATGACGTGAATCCGTCTCGTTCGACGCTGCAGTCGGTAAACGCCTTTCTGATGCAGCCGCCGGATTATTGATTTCAGCCGGTAGATCTGCATCAAGTGTCCGTCCAAGGATGGCTTCTCAGCGGGGTCGACAATCCAGTCCTGATAAAGCGACAACCATGAGAACGCCATATTTCTACTCGTTGGCCACGGCCTCCACGATGGCGCCCGCATCGCCTTGATCGAGCGAGTTCAGGATATCCATATCCTCCACGCTGATATCGAAACCGAACACGTCCGCATTGGAAGCGATACGTTCTGGGTTATCGGTCTTAGGCAGCGGTACCCAGCCCTTCTGCAGCGCGTAGCGGATCAAGACCTGCTGCGTGGACCGGTTGTACTTTTGCGCAACCTCGACAAGGGTGGGGTCATTGGCTTTGTAGTTGCGAACGATGGGCGAGTAGGCTTCGACGATGATGCCGTGCTGCTTGCAGTATGCGTCGATGGTGCGCTGCTGACACCATGGGTGGAGCTATATCGCAAAGCCGATGAGCACAAATTATTCCATAGCTACCAACCCAACCTCTATCGCATAGACGGACAAACAAAATAAAAAGAAACACGTACCTCAATCTGGTTGACTTGTGGTGGCCACACCTGGGCATACGCCTTCATCTCCTCGATATGCTGCACACCGTAATTGCTCACACCAATAGCCTTAGCCTTGCCCTCGGCATGCAATTTCTCCAGCGCCTGCCACAGCTGCTTTCTCCCGGCAGGTCCAGAGCTCGAGCTGTGAATCAGGAACAGATCAACATAACCGCCCGGTCCACCGATCTTCTCCACGCTGGCCAACAGCTTGTCGTAGGTTTGCTCGGCCGAGCCGGCGGGGCTCAGGATCTTGGTAGTGACGAAGACTTCGTCGCGGGGGATGCCGGACGTGCGCAGGGCCTCGCCGACTTCGCTTTCATTGCCGTAGAATTGCGCGGTGTCGATGTGTCGGTATCCCACTTCCAGGGCCTTGAGGGTGGATTGGACGCATTGGGAGGTAGGCGAACGGTAGACACCGAAGCCGAGGCGCGGAATGCGGACGGTGGAGTTGGGGAGGGGCAGGCGATCGGTAGGTTTGATAGACATTTTTGGAGAATTTCTGGCTTGAATACCAGAGGAGAACAGGCGGAATCAGGGCAGGCAGAGGAAGAGAGAGAGAGGTTGGTGACGCTGAAGCTAGAGCTGTCGAACGATTAGCGAATTTTGGGCGGCTCGAAGGCGGGGCGAACCGAACCAGATGGAATGATATCATCCGGCGATTACTCACGCCATGCGGGCTGGACTCGACTTGTGGATTTGTCAGATGTTATAATGCTGGTTTATTTGGAAGTTTTGCAATCGTTATCTTGTGTTTAATTATGTCGAGGATCTAACTATTGCATTTACTGATGACTATGAAAGATATGAGATATGCAGAGAATGATGTGTCCCGGTTGTTCTCCCGGAGGACTGGGCTACCAAGGTAGAGCGTATGGGTATATAGTTTATCCCAGGGTGCAGACATGTCCAATCAAAGCAACTCAATCTAATCTGTTCATATCGATAGCAGTTCCCATCATAACTCCATCCAATGATCATTAGCTATGCTTGGCCCGATCTCCGATTCGTGGGGTGGGATCGCCAGAGACGAAGCAGCGATGGGTTGTTGCATACCAGCAGCCAGTCGATTGGTTTTCACGTGCTCAATAATTCCCAAGGAACAAAGACGGGGATCTTGTCAATTAACGGTACTACCGTACTCGGTAGTGTTATCAAACAATGAAACTACCTTTTCAAGATCACTCTCTGGATTCGAAGACCAAAAGTATAAAGTGTGCCCCGATAGTCGCGTTGCCAGGGAGACTTGCGGAAGGGCCGCGATAGAAGCACAAGACCCCGCCCCTGGCCAGCCCTGCCAAAGCCCTGAGCCACTCCGCTGAACTTGTCCAACTAGTCGCCTTAGCTGGAAAAAAAAAGCACCGACCATCATTTCTCGACGGTTCCTTTACGGCAGAGTAATCTTCTCTTCAACCACTACCCGCTAGCCTTGATCTTCCTAGTCCCCCAGTCCCTCGGCGCATTTGCAATTAAGCAAGTGATCGCCCGCACTATCAGCCCACGCCAACCAACCCCTCGACATCCTTGAACCCGGACACTATCCAACCTCTTCCCCGCCAATCGGCCCTGGAATGTCTTCGCCCTGATTGAAGATGTTGACGGTCGAGAAGCAGTGGGTTAATGTGCAGCAGAAGACCTTCACCAAATGGTTCGTCCCCTCCAGACTATCCTTCACTGGGGCCTTCCCCCTCCCCCTCCCTTGCCTTCTCGCAATCATGCATGATCAAATTTAACAATTACCCCAGGCTGAATGATAAATTAAAGGCCCGCGCCCTGGCCATCGAGGACCTGGTGACTGATCTCTCTGATGGCGTGAGTTTCCCATTTCTCCCCCCAGTCTCTCATCGGCGCGAAGCCGGGTATGCACGTCAAAACATCGCGGGACCAGATCGCTGACCCCCCGTCGTTTCTTCTCCGCAATAGGTTATCCTCATTCACCTCCTCGAAATCCTCGGCAACGAGTCCCTCGGTCGATATGCCTCGAAGCCCAAGCTGCGGGTGCAGAGATTCGAAAATGTCAACAAAAGTCTGGACTTTATTCGAGGGCGGAGGATTCAGATGACCAATATCGGCGCGGAGGATATTGTCGACGGCAACCGCAAGATCATCCTGGGTCTGATCTGGACTCTGATTCTGCGTTTTACGATCAGCGACATCAACGAGGAGGGTATGACCGCCAAGGAAGGTCTGCTACTGTGGTGTCAACGGAAGACGGCTTGCTACGAGGATGTGGAGGTTAGGGACTTCTCGTCCAGCTGGAACGATGGTTTGGCGTTCTGTGCGCTGCTAGATATTCATCGCCCCGATCTGATCGACTACGACTCTCTGGACAAGAACGACCATCGTGGGAACATGAAACTCGCGTTCGAGATTGCCTCTAACGAGATTGGCATTCCGGATCTGCTCGATGTGGACGACGTGTGCGACGTACCTCGACCTGACGAGCGGTCTCTGATGACCTATATTGCCTACTGGTTCCATGCTTTTTCCCAACTGGAGCGAGTGGAGAACGCTGGACGCCGAGTGGAGAAGTTTGTCAACAACATGCACGGTGCATGGGATATGCAGTCTGGCTATGAGCGCCGGATGCGAGAACTGTTGCGACTGATTCGATCTCAACGGGATTCATGGCAGAATTCCTCATTTGAAGGAACGTATAAGGATGTGAAAGAACAGGCTCATCAGTTTGCGCTATACAAGCGAAATGAAAAGCGGCAGTGGGTGGCCGAGAAGTCCGATCTCGCGGCCTTGCTCGGCAACATCAAAACGAAGCTGGGCACGTACCGTCTACGCTCGTACGAGCCACCAAAGGAACTGAGCCTGGAGACCTGTGATCTGGAGTGGGAGCTCTTGACCAAGGACGAGCACCAGCGCAGCCAGCTGATCAACGAAACCATTCGAGACATCAAGAATGCCCTTCGCAGGTCATTCGCCGACAAGGCAAATGACTTTGCATCGACGCTAAAAACCTTGTCATTGGCCATTTCGGGACTCGATGGTGATGTCGAAGACCAGCTGGATCATGTCAAGAAGCTGAATGGTAACCTCCCACCCCTTGATGCCTTCCTAGACACCATTGCCGAGCTTGATGAGCAGTGCGCCGAAGCCAACATTGAAGAAAACGACTTCACCACATATACCCTTGACGAGCTCTCATATGAACTCAGTCTCGTGAAGTCCAGCATCTCGAAGAAGCTGGCATTCTTGGAGAATCAGATGGTCGCTCGCAACATGACCAACCTCACTCCGATACAGTTGGAAGAGTTCGAGTCCGTCTTCCGCCACTTCGACCGCGACTCGTCCAATACATTGCACGAGCTTGAGTTTTCCGCCGCGCTGGCCAGTTTGGGATTGGTCTATGACGAGGAGGAGATGCACCAGGTCTACGTGGAAGTCTGTGGGCCCGATCGACTCGCTCAAAATGCCGGTGTCAGCTTCGAGCAGTTCATTCGGTTCATGGTCAGTGTGACCGAGGATCAGAATACGGCTGAGCAGGTATTCCAGAGTTTCAAGGAGGTTGCTGATGGCAAGGTTCGTTCTTCTCTGACCTATATATGCGTTTTCCCTATTTATTCTTTCCGGCTAACGCAATTGACAGCCATATGTTACCGAGCTCGACCTCCGACATTCGCTCATTCCAGACGAAGTCATCGAACATCTGGTCAAGACAATGCCTCAACATGAAGGTCCGGACCTTCTCGAGGACCGGGATTTGGCCAAGTTCGACTACATCAGCTTCATGGAAAAGATGATCGAGGACCAGAAGAGTAATAGCGGAGGAAGGCAGTGAACGCATCTCGATAGGAAGGCAATAGGTTTTAGTGGTTCTATGCACAGCGTCGCCGGTCATACTGGGGTTGTACTGCTTTGATTAGGTGCGTGGGCCCTTTTTCTGGTGTGGGGTGGTGTTCTCATTCAGTCTTTTTTTTTTCTTTTCTTGCCTCTTTTTCTCTCTATCACAGCATGCATCGTGGGGTTTGGTGATTGCCTCTCTTTTCTTTCTTGTGTGTATTCTGCTTGTGAGTCTGGTTTGTGATGTATCAGGATACCATGGAATGACCTTGAAACAATTAAGGATGGCGAGTGCAGAGGTTAATATCAGTACGGAGTAGTTGTAGAACTGACCACCTGGAGACAATGACGTTGTAAAAACAGTTCTCCTTGATTTGGTGTGTATGTTTCAATTCATACGGCTAGCTACTGCTCTACATTCGCAATCAGACCGTTGTCTTCGAATCCTTATTGTATTCGTTGTGTACGAGAGGCTGAATCACAAATTCACGTGACTGGACCCTCCGCGAGATGGAGCCAAGTCGTCAGTCCGCTAGGCGACCTGCAGATCATCTAACCACTTCTTCTCCAATCCTTACTTCTTTTTCATTCTGGAATTGAAATCTTACCACCCACATCTTCCTCCTTTTCTCTCATCCTCTCTTTTTCCCTCCCTTACCTTCACTCACATTATTCACCATGGACCGCAGCCTAGACGAGATCATCGGCGAGGATGCATCGGTGAGCATTCAAGCTACCCCAATTGGCTTCAAATCCGACCAGGAAACTAACATGCTTCTCCTAATTGCAGCGTAAACAGACCCGTCCCTCTGGCGGTCGACGCAACCCTCCCCAAAATCGCCGACGTAACGATCGTGATGGCGTTAGAAAGGTAGCCACATCCCCTCGCGCTGCGCCAAACCCCCCAATCAATCTTGCTGTCGCACGGTGAAGAAAACAAATTGTCGCTGACTTATTTCTCACTCCTCTTTAGGTCCGCCCTCCTCTTCCTACATCGAATTCTCTTGCGCCGTGACACAATCGTTTATCCAGTCCCCTCTCTTGTTGGTCGGAGACTTCGCCTTCGACACGACTCCGGTGGCGGAGACTTGGAAACGCAATGCAATGTCCACGCTACATAACCCTGACTTGGAGCTAACCTTTGACCTGTTCTTTTGATTGCAACAGCCCTATTCGCAAGACCGTGTCGATTTGAGCCTGTGATTATCCCCCTCGTCTTCCGTGCTACGGGGCCCAATCGGAATGCTGACGGACTTGTGTTGCCAGTGACTGGGTGCATGACAAATTCGATGATGACCGTGATGGTATGTTAAGATCTGGTGCTATAGTTGAAATATATCTTTGATCTGACTGTTATTCAGCGCGTGGATCCCGTGGCTCTCGCCGCCGCCGTTCAAACTCGCCTGATCGGTATGCGATAAATTTGTATAAGACCAGAGATGGAATGGTGCTAATGGCACAGCAGTGGTGGTCGCACCTTGACCAAGGTCCGCGTTGAGAACCTCCATTACGATATTACGGAAACAGACCTTGAGGTGAGTCGCTCCGCGCAGCTGCCCTTCACCTAGCCCTATAAATCCTGTTCCACGACACTGATCGCTGTTGCAGGACCTTTTCGGACGCATCGGCCCCGTTTCCGCCCTTTCCCTTGTCTATGACCGCGCTGGACGCTCAGAGGGTGTTGCCTACGTCACATACCAACGCCTGAGCGACGCGCACGAGTCCATCCGCGAATTCGACGGCGCCAATGCCAAGGGCCAACCCATCCGCCTCTCCCTCGTGCCCGGCCGTCGTCCGGAACGAAACGCTGATCGCAACACCCTTTTCGATCGCGTAGAGCGCCCTGGTCGCGACTCACGCAGCTTGAGCCCCGGTGGTGACCAGGCCGCAGATGGCTCCCGCCGTGGCCGCCGCAGTGACGTCTCCAAGCCCGCACCTGATGGAATCGACCGCTACACTCCTGGAACTCGTCAGCGCTCGCCTCGTCGAGGTGGAGGTCGTCGGGGTGGCCGGGATAACCGCGACACCCGTGACAACCGTGATAACCGGGGACGCAACGAGAGAGGAGGTCGCCGCACGGGAGATGCCCGTCCTCGCAAGACCCAGGAAGAGCTGGACCAGGAGATGGACGACTACTGGGGTGGAAACAATGCTGCGGCTGAGACCGCTGAGAAACAACCCGAGACTGCTGCTGCCCAACCGCAGGCTGCCACTACCTCTGTCCCTGCCACTGCCCCTGCCCCAGCTCCTGCGTCTGCTGCACCTGCTGCCGCAGATGATGATATCGATATGATCGAGTAAAGCGTGGTAGGCGGGGATATCACAAATGGGGATTCGGGACGCTACTTTTCATGAATACGGCTGCACACTTTTTGGTTTCATTTGTCCCTTACTAAATTGCTGGCTTGGCTATGCCAGGCCGGATAGAGAGGGACCTGTAATTTTACAATCATCATGAAATTGTCAATGGGAACTCTATCTGGGCCATATAGAACGAGTACTGTCATCAGGCTTGTAGCAGGGTGAACGTTTTAGTTCGTGTCAATCGCCTCTGGACACATCTGTCTATGGTAGACAATGCGGTTTACTGTAGGATACTCTCCACCATATTACAAATCGCAAATTCGGCCCACCTCTACCAATAATCATTTTCGTACAAGTAGAGTTATAAAGCATCATCATTTCTGAGGCGAGGGTATCAGATTACTATAATCCACACTAAAGCCGCCGCCAATGATGGAAATGAGATGCCAGTAGCAAGGAATTGCAAAAACGTTGAGCATCTTCTCGCTGTACAGGGTGCTTCAATCCTGTTTTCGTTCTCGATTATCGCCACAAACCGTACGGCTCCCGGCATGCCTTCCACAATTTAACAGTGCCGTCCTCGCTACCAGTGCCGTATAGCTTGCCATCGGGTGAGAAGCTCACAGACCAAATAGGCCCGTGGTGACCCTTTTGCACGTCTATCATACAACCATTAGCCGAAATCTCCAAGTAAGACGATCTCCAAGTACCCCAGATCAGATATTCGAAATACATACCCAACTCCTCGTCCGTGTGCAGGTCATAAACCCGCGCCCACGTATCATTCGCACTACCAGTCACCAAACGGCCCGAGTCACTGTTCACCGCGGCACTAGCAACTTCATATCCGAAATCGGCCTTCTTCAAGAGCCGTCCCGGCTGCACGGCATCAAAGAGATACACGCTCTTGCCCGCGGCCACGGTCAAAATGCCGGGATCATTAGGCCGCACGGCGAGACTATTCAACTCGCACGACCCAATCGTCCCGTCAACGGCATACTCCTTGACGGGGTGTCTAGACCGCAGATCCCACCACCGGATCTTACGGTCCTCCGCAGCCGTAGTCACGATGTTGTAATCCTGGTTCCAGACGATAGACTTGATCGTGCCACCGTGTACGCCGGGGCCGATCTCGTAGCTCGTCACATCCGCTCCACTTCGGATGGGACTCCCGTTGCTGCTGGGGGTGGGTAGCGGAGGCGAGGAGCCGTTGCTACTAGTACCGCCGCCGCGGGTCAGATCGAAGATGCGGAGCTTCTTCTCTGCACCGCCGGTGGCGAGGACTTGCGGGTTTGCTTGGATGGGGAAGGCGATTGCACGCACTATATGTGCGTGTTGCAGGGTGTGCAGACATTCGCCGGTGTAGGTGTCCCACACCTTGGCGGAGAAATCTGCGGCTGCTGTGGCGGCGATGGCGGCGTCGGCGGAAAGCCGGGCTTGCCAGACGGCGCCTTTGTGGCCAAGGAATGTGCCAATCCTGGGGGTGGGTTTGTTAGTTTCGTTTTATGAGCTTTTGGGGGGTAGAGAATAGCGGAGAAGGGTTACATACCAGTCGCCGGTGATACCATCCCGAAGCATGGGATTGTTATCTGGACGTCCGCGGTTAGTTCCTCTTGTACTCGGCTCTGGATTTCTCCTTTGTTTCGGTTATCTGGGTTTGAAGTTTACCTTTGCAAGCTGAGATTAAATAATACTGGTCCTCCTCCACAGTCGAGGAGAAACTCAGGTGAGTCACGGGACGAGAGTGCCCGTGACAAGTGAGAGGGACAACCTTGGGGATATCTAGACTTGATTAGCCACGAGTCATGTAGAGTATTCGAAAAGGACAGCATCACACTTACCGGAAGCCATGGTGTCCACAGGTCAAAGTTGAGAATTTTAAAAGGTTTCAAATGATCAAATCCGGTACTTGAAAATGTCTGGAATCTGCCATGAACAGTCGTAGTAGACGTGAGATGTCCAGCAAGGAAATGAAGAGAGGCTGAAGTCGTGGAGACCAGGAGAGGGCCAGTCCAAGAACGTTCAGTTTCTGTCTTAAGGAAAGTACAAAAGAGATTCGTCAGGGTCGTCAAGTCATCAAGTCTTGTCTGTAAAGAAGGACCGAAAGGGGGCGCATCCAAGACCCCGCAAACGACAAAATTTCCTGGCGTGGTGTGCACAAGTCCACGATCCGCAGTTTGGGCTCTTTCGATATTGAAATCACTCGAACTAGCGGGTCACCTGCAGCCCGCTGGCTTACCTCAGCTGATCCCGCTAGTCCTAAGTAGGCTAAAACACGTGCCTCTCGTTGACCCTCGTCAGTTTAGAGTGTTGATACATCAACTAGTCATCCACCAGTTAAATGGGGAGGTCTTGAATAAGATATGGATTTCTTTCAGATATTGGATGTTGAAGAGTAGCCGTTCTGGACCACCAATTCCTGATTTCTTACCTCGCATTGAGGGATGCTCTGTTTTCACCGCCAATCTCGGCCACGGAGTTGACATGGGCAGCGATCTAACTGACTAGTGAATTTCTAGGCCTGCTGGTAGCTGGTGCACCAATGGATGGGCGTTTTCTGTATTTCTGCAGTCAAAGAGCGTAGTCTTTTGGCTATTGAATCAAAGCACTGTTGACCCAGCTTCGCTTCCCTGTGAAAGACTCATCAAATTGTCACACCTAGCGACTACACAAATGGTATCTCTCAGAAATATGAGGCCCGCAAGTTTTGGCGACTCTAAAAGGACTCGAAAATCTGGCCAACGAGTAACGGTAACTCACCAAAAGCCAATTGACTCGCATTGCAAATCAACTTCTAGCATGTTCGTCATAGCTCCACCGCCCACGTGATATGATGCGCAGGCGGGGACCCCAGAACGACTAAAGGACAACAACTGCCTGCAACAACTACAACAGGGGAAGGAGCTTTGGTTAATTTTTGATTTCCTGCCGACTTTCTCTTTCTTCTTCACTCACTTCACTCCGCCAGGTTGTATGTATGCCTGACTTCAAGCTCTCCGCGTCTCTCGAAGGTCACGGCGATGATGTAAGTGCTTCCGAGTCCCCGCTCCGTCCGGATACCTTGTTGGCGCATGCGAATCAATTCACTGATCACCTATTCCTGCTTCAGGTTCGCGCCGTGGCCTTTCCGAATCAGAATGTCGTCCTTTCAGCCTCTCGTGATGCGACTGTCCGACTTTGGAAGCTTGTCTCCTCCCCTCCTCCAACTTACGATCACACGATTGCCGCACATGGCCAGGCCTTTATCAACAGTCTAGCTTACCTGCCATCGACACCCGAATATCCGGAGGGCCTAGTGCTCTCTGGTGGACAAGATACAATCATCGAAGCACGACAGCCTAGCAAGTCTGCCACCGATAATGCGGATGCGATGCTACTAGGTCATGGCCACAACGTCTGTGCTTTGGACGTCTCTCCAGACGGTGCATGGGTTGTTAGCGGCAGCTGGGATTCTACAGCTCGCCTCTGGAGAGTTGGCAAATGGGAGAACGAGGTTGTACTGGAGGGTCATGAAGGGAGCGTCTGGGCTGTCTTGGCTTATGACAACAACACCATCATTACCGGTTCGTTGGATACATCCTGGAAAGCTTGGTGTAGAGTCCATAATGCTAACAATACTTTAGGCTGCGCTGATCAAACGATTCGCATATTCAATACCTCCGGCACCCTCCTCGGAAGCCTGAAGAACTCCAATGACGTCGTACGGGCTCTTTGCAAGGTTCCCGCCTCAAATCCTACCGGTGCCCATTTCGCCTCGGCCAGCAATGACGGGGTTATTCGCCTTTACACGTTACAAGGTAATTTGGTTGCCTCTCTTCATGGTCATGAGAGCTTCGTTTACTCCCTCGCTGCTCTGCCGTCGGGCGAACTTGTGAGCTCGGGAGAGGACCGTACCGTGAGGATATGGCAGGGTACCCAATGCATTCAAACCATTACTCATCCGGCTATCTCTGTCTGGAGTGTTGCCGTGTGTAGTGAAAGCGGTGATATTGTTAGCGGCGCCAGTGACCGTATCACCCGGGTATTTTCTCGGAGCGCAGATCGCCATGCTGCTCCCGAGGTCATTCAACAATTCGAGCAATCCGTTAAGGAGTCGGCCATCCCTGCTGAGCAGGTTGGCAAAATCAATAAAGAACAACTACCAGGTCCAGAGTTCTTGAAGGAGCGATCCGGAACGAAAGAAGGACAGGTTCAGATGATTCGCGAGTCAGACGGGAGCGTCACTGCCCACACCTGGTCATCCGCAACGCAGGAATGGATTGCCGTCGGGACAGTGGTGGAATCGGCGGCAAGCAGCGGCAGGAAGACGGAGTATCTGGGACAAGACTATGATTACGTCTTCGACGTCGACATCGAGGATGGCAAGCCACCGTTGAAACTCCCATACAATGTCTCTCAGAACCCATATGAAGCGGCGACTAAGTTCATCGGAGACAACGAGCTACCCATTTCCTATCTTGATCAGGTTGCGAATTTCATCACGCAGAACACTCAAGGTGCCACCCTTGGCCAGTCTCAAGACAGCGGTGCAGACGCCTGGGGCTCGGAGCGACGATACAGACCCGGCGATGCTGCTGCTGTCATTGAAGCTGCACCGCCACAACCACCTACTCCCGAGTCGCGACCTCAGGTACTGCCTCAAAAGACGTATCTATCCATCCGCTCTGCCAATACCAAGGTCATTGCCAAGAAGGTCAAGGAGTTGAATGACAAGATCCTAGCCGAAGGAGACAAGGAGGTAGCCTTGAATCCTTCAGAGTTGGAGACTGTCGTCGCGCTTTGTGGGCAATTAGAGACTTCTCCAAAGCTAGCAGACTCCCCGGCTGTCCAGGCTGGAATCCCCTTGATATTCAATATCGCAACTAAATGGCCAACAGCCAATCGGCTCCCCGGGCTAGATCTGCTCCGTTTGCTAGCTGCCGCGACCCCCGCTGCCGCAACCATAGAGTACGATGGCGTGGATCTCATTACCGGCATCCTGTCTAGTGGGGTCTTTGATGCACCCTTGAACGTCAACAATGCTATGCTTTCAGTCCGAACCTTTGCCAACCTCTTCGAGACGGATGCGGGCCGCAGTTTAGCTATTCAGGTCTTTGACCAGGTGCTGGCTGGTGTCCAATCCGCACTGGCCAACGGTGGGGACGCGCCAAATCGTAACCTCACCATCGCCATTACGACACTCTACATCAACTTTGCAGTTTACCTCACCTCTGAAGGCCGGGCCCAAACTCCCGAAGCCGCGGAGCGTGGCTTGGTGCTCCTCGAGGAGCTAACGAAGATTGTCTCGGGCGACAAAGATTCCGAGGCAGTCTACCGTGGGCTTGTTGCGCTGGGCACACTTGTGCAGGCTATGGGGGCCGAGGTTAAGGGCGCCGCGAAGGAGATCTATGAGGTTGAGAAGGTTCTCACGCGCGTCTCAGCCTCGGGACCGGGGAAGGAACCGCGAATCAAGGGTGTGATCAATGAGATCAGGGCAGCTCTCTAGTTGAATTCTGATATCCCATCCGAGGGCTACTGCATAATTAGACTCGTGTTACTTCTTCTTAACGACTACAATGCAATTGCTAATAATTGCCATGCCATGCCATAACAATATTCCTATTCTATCTCCTCGCTGTAGAGACCATACTTCTTATAGAACCCACAATAGACTAATTTAGTATTTGGACTCCCCCTTTGGAGCATACCGGAAATCCCCATCGCCATCCTCAAAAACTTCCACCACCTGATCAATACCCTCATATGCTGGACATACCAGCCCATACTTCTCCGCAATACTCTGTGTTAAGAATCTACCACCAACAAAGTGCCGTCCCTTATAAAACTTCACGCAAGGCTTCGGTGCTGTCAAACTGATCAGCCCCTGAGGCATAAATTTGGCGCCAGGTCCGGATGATGGTGGGCCGGAGTTGATATCCCAAGAGCTGGGGGCATCTACGCTTAGAACGGGGATAGTTGCTTTTTCAATTTGGGAAATGATGGATGGGAAGGGTTCGCGAAGGGGCCCGCCGAATGAGAAGCCGAAGATGGCGTCGATCAGAAGGTGGGAATTGGAGAGGGCGGTTTCGAAGTCGGTTGTGAATGGAATTGAGAGGTTTTGGAGTTGGGTTTTGAGGCGCTGTGTGCGTTGGTTAGTTTGGGTGATTGGCTCGATGAGAAGAGAGAAACTGAGATGGACGTACTTGGTAAAGCTCGTTTTTGCCTTCTTTGGGGTAGTATACGGTGGGTTTGTAGCCGTAGTGTGCGAGATGACGTGCTGCGACAAGACCGTCGCCACCTTTTGGAAGAGCAGTGGATAAGCGTCTGGTAGGGACTGGTTCATACTGGATTATCAAGAGAGCATACCGTTGTTTCCGGGCCCGCATACGACGAGGATATTCTTTCCTTTACTGAGCGGATGCATCCTCCAGACTGCGATGGGTGAGCATGCTTGGTATCCCCAATTAGATATTTGAAGCTTGCAATAGCTTACCAGCTTGGGAAACCGACAGGCCCGCCAGCTCCATGAGCTGATCTAGCGACCATCCGCCAATGTTCACGTCCATGAGGTCCTTGTCAAGGGACGCGGCATCTGTGGCCGAAATTGCCTAGTTAGAGCTCAAGTCAGTCAATATTTTCGAGATAGATCGCAACTGAACGTACCTTCAGCGACATTCTTGCAGCTTTACTGTATCGACGAAGAGCGGGAAGCGGGAAGCGTCTGGAACAAGAGGAGCGGAACATGCAAAATGCAAATACCAAGATCCAGGTCTTGCAGTTCGTAGTAGATTGGTCGTATCAGTTACCGAGCCAACCTCCAGTGAAATTGATTTCAGAAAAGATATGATGAGGGGACGCCGGCGGAGATAAGTAGTAGCAAGCAACTAGCTATACAACCGTATTGCATCATGGCCCCGCTGGCGCTAATCCGTATCTGGACTCGGCGGAACAACTAATCCTCCGATCCTCGAACTTTTGCGGAGCGCATTTTGGACCTTGAGAGTCGACGATAAACCACGGCCCATATCATCAAGCAGAGCCTTTACAGTTTCGACAAAATGGTTCTTCGGATTCGCCTGGCACGCTTTGGCAACAAGCACACGCCTTTCTACAACATTGTTGTCGCGCAGGCTCGGTACGTTTGCTGTTATTTCCCGGCACCCGATCTCTCCGTCTCCGATGCCGTACCCAAGCCCTTGCTATCGGCATTGGCCTGGTTCTGGCTCATATGATGAATTGTGGTGATGAGCCTTGATAGAAGACGAATAGCTAATCGTGAGGCTCAACAGGTCTGCGCGCGGCGCGAAGCCTCTCGAGGTTATCGGGACCTACAACCCCATCCCGAAGAAGCCGACGAACCTCTACGATGACAATGCCAATGCGCGCCCATACAAGGAAATTGCACTCGACCGGGCGCGTGCCAAGTACTGGCTCGGTGTTGGCGCACAGCCTAGTGACCCGGTGTGGAAGTTGATGGGCATGGTGAGTTGGAATCGCTTGATACGTGGTTACTTTCCGAGGGAGATATGTGGACTGGTATCGCTCCAGGGTGGTTGGCATACCGATTCACACTTCTTCCTTTGGGAAGAGCCATGCTTGTTGCCTGCTCTACTAGACAGATATGCTGACATTGCGTTTATCGCAGGCTGGTCTTGTTGAGCCGAAGCCTACTACCTTCCACAAGGCATAAATGCCGAGTGCCCATCCACCGGGACTGCTCAGCCTTACGACTACTGTTCGACCATTTGCTCATGGGTGTATCATGAATCCTCCCCCGAGGTCATGACTACACATCTATGAACTCCTGCAGCGGACCGAAGAGTAGAGTGGCCATCCCTCTCCACCGAACAGTCCCAGGAGACCACCGGTTCCTGTACTTTTTCTGACTGATTTTCTGGCATTTGCGGCGTTTATTGCGAGTTTGGAATATTTTTGAGAAGGCACCCTTCCCCATGCTCGGGTCACGTCCGGGCCTTGACCTTCAACCTACCCCCCCATGTACATTACCCGAATAGCATTGACGCGACAGCTTAGGTCTTTTATCCCAAGCTCGCGCAGCATGAAATTCTACCCAACCTATGATGACTCTTTGACCCAGGAGACTCCGTTTGAGCCTCGCGTATTTGCACAAACCATCTCCCAGTGAAGCCCGTAGATCGTCACATGGCTGGAGGGCTCCCCAGCGCTAATTCGAGCGCGCCCGCGCGTCGAGCGTGGCCAAGACCAGGCAAGCAAATACATACGCGCGATCGCAGGCTGCCATAGCAGTCGCAGTCGCAGTCGCAACGGAACTTTTGTTCAGCTGCCAGTCAGCAACAGGCAACAACATCTGCACGCATTCTCGGTGCCGCACCTCAAACGGCTCGAGGCCAGGGGATGCTTTTCCCCTTGTCTAGCCCGATGCCCCGAGTTGGTCTAGTCCGGGCCAGCTTCAGGAGGTTTAGTGCCCTCCCACGCGCCCCCTCTCCGGGTGATGCGCCTATGACCGCTGCTCCCCAGGCACGACGTTCGAAAAGCCGGACCGACCAAGTACTAGACTTCATCGGGACTTTGGCGGTCCCCCCAAGAGTGTTCTATCGCGTTGTGCTTGTGGCCACGGCCCAACCAGAGACCCGCGCCGCCCCCCAGCGACCCTCGATAAGCCCAAGCCATTTCCGTGCGCCAGCCAATCCGCTGCGCGACGGGGTCCGGGCCCGTGGCAATTGGTCAGCGACCCTGGAGGATCGCCCACTTTAAGTTTGGAAATTCCATGGATTGGGTGGTTTGGGCAGGCTCCGGGGGCGTTGTTGTGGGCATAACAATGGGAGGGCTTTCCTTGAGGTGTGTTTTTGGGTACTTTTGTCGCGAGAACGAGGGTGTGTTATGCAGGCAGAAGGGTACAGAAAAGTAAGATGAAAGAAGCAGCCACGCTGTTGGGGGATGATCGTCTGGACTCGACCGAAACCGGGCGGTCAGTCAACTTAGGTAATGGGGGTGTGCCTGAGTTAATTAGTCAGTTACCTTCCCCGAAGATGATCGAGGAATGGGCACGGATGGGACAGGGTGCTAATACAACTTTCTTCTCTCTTTTCTTTGGTGCCTTGTGCGGCAAGGGATGGATGATGGGCTGTTGAACTTTAAGAAACCATGGGGTAAAACACGCTAAAGATGTATAACGTATGGATTCTATCAATTAATTCTTGAAAGGGCGTGATTGCGCGTTTCATCTAGCTAGGTAGAACTATGCATAACTCCCTTTCCCCTTCTAGTCCACCGCAAGATATGAAGATTACATTTGCGACTAAGAGCTCTGCATGTCCGTTGCGCGGGTTTCAGTTTTTACCAAGTACCGACTGCTCTAGTGGGAAATGGGGCGCTGACGGGCGTCCAGGATGACTAGGACAACTAGGGGGTGGGGGGGGGAACCAGGATGGCGCATAGGCATCGGTCTCCGGGCTCAGTATGCCGTGTGGAATGCATCGTCAAATATGAGGGGTCCTACGGATGAGGTAGTAGACACTCTCTCTCGTGTATAGTGTATAGTTCCGTACATCTACGGTGGGGTTCAATTTCTCATCCGTCAGGATAACTAACCCGAGAGATATTGAGTGGAGTTTCTGGAAATCCGATTCAAAGGACGTTCCGGACGATCTTTAGAAATCGAGAAGATTAAAGCGTGTCTGGTTGGGCCTCTTCTTCCATATCTTATTTCACTTTATTTTATTTTTTTTGAATTGCCAGAGCAGGCCTGGCCCTGGACCGGGAACTGCAAGCTTTATGCGCGTGGCTCGATCGAGCAGTTTCTCTGTAGATTGTCTAGGTTCTCTCTAGGTTCACGTCAAAGCTATCGCGCTACGAGTAGTCTGCAGTACATGCAGTATGCTCCTTCGAAGGAGTCTAGTCTAGTATGGCTTTTCGATCATGAGTATGTTCTCCATTCTCCGTATCCTCCAGTTGTATGCAAGCGGCAGGTGCCCTGGTATAAGGACCGAGGTAGCTGACCCCTTAATGAGAGCCGTGATTATGGACCATCAGATCGGGCGTGGGCAGTCGGAGATTGAACGGGAAGCCGCAGCAGGTGGAACGTGTTTCTAGAACCTCCATCAACTTATCAAAGGAGGGGGAGTTCAAGATATACGGGGGTACATGCAAGAGGACAACGGCCGATAACCTCAACACGGCCTCGAGATCAGAAGAAACCGGGGGACATTCCCAGATTTCGGGGCACGCACTCCACGTTTCTGCAAGCGGCGCTGAGGGTGGCCAGCATGGCGTAATTTGCTGACAGAGTATGGTAATTTACGCCCGGGGTACTTCTGCAGCATCCCAACTTCCCGCGATTCGCGCCCTCTGGAGTCCGTACTGCCCTGGTGACTTCCCCTGTATCACCCCCGTCCTGTTCGGTCGCGTCGTGAAAGCAGATCCATGGATCTGGCACCTGTGGACTGGCACTCGACCGTTCCGGACTCTTTTCTTCGTCTTTCGTCTCTCTCTCCCCCCCCCCTTCCCCCTTCCTGCTCTTCCCACCCACCCCCCTCTTGCCCTCTCAGCCTCGAAACCCTCCTTCCGCCTTCCAACCCTTTGTCCTTTTGCATCCATCTCTGTACCTCTCTCCCCATCTCGACAACTACCCATCCTCACCTCCCAACCCACCTCCCCCCCACACCCGCGATTCACCCGCGCCCACATCTGTCACCGATCGCGCCTTCCTCTGATAAAGGAGCAGCCGTGATAGCCAAATCCATACGCGCGCCACCGTCGCAGATCCGATGAGGAGCGAAGATCCTCGTGAACTCGCCATCAGATTGAATCGCTAATCTCGCCTTCGCGTCTTTTCGCATCGCGCTTCATCCGTTCCATCTTCCCTCGGTCGCATTTATCCGCGCGCTCACTCGTCTCTGCCGTGAGACACCTTCCATTCCCTCGCGCCGGTCCTTGTGCCTCTTTTCCATCCGCTCTTTCGTGTCGCGCTTTCTGATCGACTTCACTCCATAACCTCGATGAGCGGCAGCTCGAACCAGTCCACTCGAACGAGTCCCGGCTCCTTTGGCACGACACAGCGTACCGAGTCTGTGTCTTCTGGTTCTTCGCCACCCCAGCATCCGCTCTCGCACTCTTCTTCCCAGGCGCCCGCGACGACTCAGCATGCGATGTCGACCGACGTCTACAGCCCAACTGTCTCGCAAGCGCCCACGTCTCTAGCCCCCACTTTCACTTATCCATTCTCGCCGCTCGGCCCATCCTCCTTCGATAGCGGAATGCGCCTCGGCGAGTCAGATCGCAACCTCCAGGGCCTAAATGGCCTGGGGCGCGCCAACGGAGGTGGCGCGATTCTCATGCGCAAGCTACCTCGTAACACCAGTCGCGAGGCTCTGCGCAGCATGCTCCTTTTCGCTAAAGACTTTGTCGATGCCGACTTTGTGACCTCTGATTACCCGGAAGACGACGGGTTCCTGAGCGCGATCGCTCGATTCAATACCCTGCCCGCTGCCGAAGAGGCCCGCGCCCTTTTGGATGGCAAACCGAATTCGAAGAATGACGCCAACATGGTGGTGGAAATGTACCCGGGTCCCGTTGGATCTACCTTGTCGAATGCGCGTCGCAACACGATCGATCATACCAACAGCCGTGGATTGCTGGGTGGTGTCCCCTCAAACGGCCCTCTTTCGCGCCAGTCCTCCCGCTTCAACGGCACTTTCCAGAGCCTTGAGCGTTTGTCTGCCGCCAACCCTTCCACACAAGTCATCGGCGAGGGCCTGCCTTCGGCATCAGAATCCGGATCCCGTCTTCACAGTCTTTTCTCCCCGCAATCACCTATCGGAAATGGAGTCGGTGATCTGCCCCGCGTGACGGGCAAGTCCATGATTGATGAAGATCCAGATGAGGAAACGGGCGAGTTGCTCAAGGATCCCGTGGGCTACGCGGAGAACGGCCACTCGGCTTCGGTCTCTGTCGCGCGTCGCTCCACCAACCCTCAGATCCCAACCAGTCGCTTTGCCAATCTATCTTTGTCTACCACTATGTCGTCTCCGCCGTTGCCAAATTATGCCTCTAACGGTCCTGGGCAGCGCATGGGCAGTGTCAGTGGACCCACCACGGCATACCCCGGTGGTCACGGCCACGGCTTCCCCTATGGCGGTAGCCAGCACACTCCCCGTCACAGCCTCCCTGCTGCGAACCCGAACGACCTGAACCCTCCGTGTAACACGCTTTATGTGGGTAATCTGCCGCCGGACACCTCGGAAGAAGAGCTCAAGGCACTGTTCTCCAAGCAGCGCGGCTACAAGCGACTCTGCTTCCGCAATAAGCAAAACGGACCCATGTGCTTTGTGGAGTTTGACGAAGTGGCGATGGCAAGCAAGGCACTCAACGAATTGTACGGCTACAAGTTGTCCAACAGCGTCAAGACTGGTATCCGCCTCAGTTTCTCGAAGAACCCTCTCGGTGTACGTTCCGGTCAACCAGGCAGCATGAGTGCATCCAACCCGCTTCAGGGCCCCGGTGGTGTCCCTGGAGGCAGCAACCTGAGTGGGATGCATAGCCACATGTTCTCCTCGGTCAGCGGGCCACCGCCAGGGTTGGCTGCTCCTCCGGGACTCGCCATGCCCATGCCCGTGCGGAATGGCAACGCTCTGCACGTCGCACACGGCAACGGGAACCCTCACGCCATGGTGGGCAATGGCACTTTCAACCACAACTCGGGCCTAGGGATTCGCACTAGCGGAGGTAATGCCATGATGATGTCGCCGCCACCTCCTGGAGCTGCCGCTGGCAACAATGCGGGGCCTAACATGAACGGCTACAATTCCTTCTATCCTGACTACATGATGGGTCGCTAAGGGAAATGTTCTCCAACGCATTATATTCGAGATAATGTCCGGCATGTTTGATGAACGAACCTGGGGTATCTGGCGCATTGGGGGTTCCTTTCGTTTCGCGAGCTAGAATCAGCATTCGGCGGCTGCATAACTCTCGGGAGTATTGAAATTTGGGACTCTGCTTTTTTTTGTTTGCTGTGGTTTCCTTCGCGTTACGGTTCTCTTTCCTCTTTTTTTCTTTTTCTTCTTCGGATCCCTTTTTCTTTAATGGTCGATGCGACGTGGCTTGTTCTAGTTAATGTGTTGCTGTGTTGTCTGTGGTTTTCGTTTTCTATTGCATGGGGACTCGGGCGCTCTTTTTTCTTTCACATTCCTTTGGATTGCATTTCAGGTCATTGCAAGCTTGTATTCTTATTGTGGTCGGGGCACGGCGGCGCGAGCACAGCGCGTTTGAAATTCTGTCTCCCCATTTGCGTTCTTCCATTGACACCTTCATACCCTTGTGCTATTCCTGTTCTTGCTTCTTCTGTGCGTGCTTATCTATTCCTCTTCCCTATCCATTTTCTGGAGTTGTCATACCACTCGATGAACCTCGTCAAAAAGGGCCGAGTCGTCCTCCGGGGATTGTGGCCCATAGGGTTTGTCTTCTTACCCTTTTTTTTCCTCGACCGTGATTCCCCATTACATCCAACTGCTTTATTGAATGCATCTTCACGTGTGAACCGGAAATTGAATTTGTTAGCTTTGTCTTGCTCTCCTATTCCTTACACTTGCAATTATTCGTCCTTTTCCTTTCATTCAGGTACCCAAGACGGTGTCATATGTGGCTTTATTTATCAATTCCCTTCTTCTCAATTCCCTTTTTTGGCTTGTCCCTTTTAAAACCACATTTCCACTTCTACCTTCTTCCACCTCCATAATACTCGTCCACTCGCGCATGAACTGTTCGATACGTCGTGGCTCGTGGTTCGTGGCCTCGGCGGCAGTCGAGTCTCTCTCTCTCCGCTAGCGTTTCTAAAGGGCTTCTGTTTCCATCGGGTTCTTCGGTGTTCACAACTCATCACCCTTCATGCACGTGTTTATCCTCCTACTAGCGACGGAGAAAATAAGGCGTCTGGCTGGTGCTCGGTTTACATGTCTGGTTTCATAGCCGGTTCTTCGTTTCTTTGCTTGGGATTGAATGGATCGGCTGGCTTGCATTGCCATCGGGATTTCGTCGTTCTTCGTCTTTTCGCGTCAAGGTTCCATCGGCTAGGGTGTTTTCACTGTGGATTGGAAGGATATACGGTATTCATGGGTTCTGGGTTTAGGTCTGGTTCTGCTGGCTTGAGGTTACGGGCAAATGGGCTTGGATGGAGGATATTGGCGTTCTTCTAGTTCTTCTTTTCTTCGAGGTCATACTTGCAGTGCTGGACACCTAAGGCTAGGTGTCTTCTTATGTGATGCTACCGACCTACTTTCATCGGTAAGGTAGGGGCAGAGCTGCTTTTACATTCTTCACTCATGTTGGTTGCTTGGTGGTGCTGAGATTGATATATTTGCTTCGATCTGTATTTGATACAACGGAATGGACTGCTTGCAATTTAATTTCGTGTCATAGACTAAGGAATTCTCTGTATGTGAAGGATGTCATTTGTGAATCATATTGAATATTTTCTTTGGTGGCTCCATTGAATGTAGTAGATTCAACGCCAATGCACATTTGAATACTGAAACTGCAGTACGTACGTACCTAGGGAACAGCCGGGCGACGATATATTCCAAGGTCCTAGCCGAGGGAATCACAAAATGCTCGACTCCAAGGTTTTACATTTATCAAAGTCCATAAAAGAGCTTGCAAACATGGAGCCACTAAAGAACGCTCGTGCTACAATGCTGTTTCTAACATATGTGGCTGGATATTCTGCTACTTGGTACAACCCCCCGAGTGTGGAGTTGTTGAGGGTGCCATATCACGTGACACCACCGACAACCTTCCACGCGGAAAAGTTTCTTCTCCTACCACAAAACATCCTCTACACACTCACGACCCCCTCCCCAACCCAACAATTGCAGCGCCAGCCCTTAATTAGCCGCTGCATTTGTCTACTTCTGATCCCACTACTTCTTTATCAGCTTTAATTTTTCAATTGCTCCCAATCCCTGGGTCCGGGATTGCCGGGTTTCCTCGCACGTTAAAATGGCACCCCGGATACAGAGCCGGCGTGTCTCCAATGCTCTCCTCCCCTATCTCACAGCCTCTCAATCCCCATCCATATCCTCCATCCAATCCACATGCCCTTCATCACAACTCTTATCCCGTCAGTTCTCCGCGACGGCCGCTCCACAGACCAAGCTCCGTCGGCAAATGTTCCAATGGCTCTCTACTGAGGGAGCTGCGCTGAAGCATCACATCCCTGGCGAAACAAACTACTTGTCCCGGGCAGACCGAGATGGTGACTCTAATGAGGCGCCGCGCCCGTTCCCGGGTAACCGGACTTTCATTAGTGAGCCTGTCCTCAGCGAAGAGCTGCGGAATGAGGTCTACGTGCGGGTTGTCGAGAAGAAGAGGAGTTTGCGTGCTGTTAGTGTCGAGCTTGGTATCGACATGAAGCGCATCGCGGCTGTAGTGCGGTTGGTGGAGATGGAGAGGAGACAACGAGCACAGGTAAGGATTTTCACACCTTTGAATTATGTTTCTGTTTCTTTTTCCGGATCCTCATTTGAGGTCCTTCTTCCCCCCACACCCCCGACGCATATGATGAGACAACCAAAAATCGATTAGTCTTGAAGACACAGGCTCTAGCTTGACTGGTTAAAAATTCCTTTATTCCTGATCTACTTGCTGTCAACTTTCTTTCTTCCAAACTCGTTTCTACGTGACTTGGGCAAACATGACTGACAAAATCTGTCAACTCAGGGCAAACCCCTAGCATTACCATATGCTCGTGCGATCCATGAAATGATCCCGACCACCCCGCTTGCCCAGGAAGGCGAGCGCCAAACCTACCACGAACCTATTAATGATCTTCCCGCCCACCCTTCCACTGGTGCCCAGATCTTCTACCCTGTGCCCGAGTCACGATCATTCACTCGAGTCGACGCTGGTCGCGTCTTCTCTGGTGCTCCAACAATGGAAAAGGCTGTCGCCGAAAAGATCTCCCACCCCTCCGACCTGGTCGACGACATTATCCAGAACCCCAACTCGATTGAGTGGGTTGGCAAGGGCGAGAATGCCCGACAGGTTCTTCAACCTGCGGATGTGCGTATCCCGCACCCGCAGTTGGTCAAGCTGGAGCTTGACCGCAAGGCCTTCCCCAACGAACGTCGTGCTGTGGCACAGCGTCACGCTGAGCGTCTCGAGAAGCAGGAGGCGGTCGATCAGCAACGCCGTGAGCGTGCCCAGGCTCGTCGTGAGAAGAGCATTCAGCACGTCGAGCCCGAGCGTAGCCGGTTCGAATATCGCATCCAGGATGCCAAGTTCACCAAGGAGACCGTCGGCGCAGATGGCCGTGCTCCCTGGGCTCCTGGCCGCCGGTACGGTATTCCGGCGGACGACCGCAAGCGCGGTATGGTCAAGATTCCTACTCGCGTGGAAGCTTAAGCTTCATGCAGGTGATGAAATTTCTCGTGTTTTGGCCCTGAATGGGTGCCGTCTCTCCCATGGATGATGGGGAGACGAGCAATTGTACTTGTACTTATACATCTGTATGGCGGTCTTTCTATTCCAACCCTGTAACTATACCATAACCAACCATGGACTGTTTTCATACTTGACACGAGATTTCTTATTGTTCCTGTATCTGCCGTATGCCTCGTAAACCATCATAACCAAACATCAATTCATTATGCTCATCCCCTTATGCACACCAAACACCATCCTGAAAATACCCCCGAAACGAAAAGGAAAAGGCGATAAGGACGCCGTCATCAAGTCGTGAATGAATATCAATGGATCTCCCCAACGGAGCGACACCTCCCCCGACCACTTCGCACACCGACCCATCCCTCCACGGCATCAGCGTCACTTTCTTGAGAGGAAGGGTTGCCGATGAAGAATCCTCGGATTGAGGTCAAAAGGCTGTGAGCCCAGGTTGCTTTGTTGGATGATTCGGATGCCGGTTGCATGGTTGAAGATGGAGGAGATTTGGTGGAGGCAGTCGTAGATGATGGGGACATGAGTTGGATTGAGAACGTTTCGTGTGGTGCGATTATGCACAGTTATCGTGCTCTCTCAAGTCGAAGTAAATAGATGAGAAGAAGGAGGGTTGCAGGTGGTGGAAAGAGGTTGTCTAGATATATTGCCAGGGACGAGTTTTCAAAAGATTGTTTCATCCAACTGTTAGGGATATGATAAGGCTAGAAACAACGAGCCCGAACAATCCACAATCAAGGCAGATCGCTCGATGTATATAAGACTTTAGCCAAGTCCTCAAAGCCTGGAAATCCTTGAACGTAAGCAAGCCCCCACCACTACAGACAAAGCAAATCTGCCAGAGCGTGAAGAGCAACAAAACCTAAAAAGAAACGCAGTGTAACATAATTCCCCCGTCCTGGAAGCGTCAGCCAAGCCGCTCCAGAATGCTGGTTCTTTGTTTCGATGCAGTGAAACGGCAGTACCCATGACCTTTGGAAGTGACTTGCTCACATGAATGGAGGAGACACCCCGCGGTCACGGTCTGTACGACTAAGTACCCGCCCGGTCTTGGAGATTGTCATGCCAAGTGGACTAGATGATGCTGGGCGGTGACTTGGGCTGATGGCCACTGCAGGGCTAATGTGCTATGTGGGCAGTCATATGCGGCGTGCGATTCCCGTGCCGGGTCCGCAGGCTGATCACTAGTGACGCCTGTATATAAGACTTGTTTGACGATTAAGGGTGGTGGAGGTATGTCGATTTTACTTATGAACTGGGTCTTGCTTACATGAGAGGGAGGGGGGTTCCAGCTGGTTGCTAGTACGAATAGTCTGCGGGTGAGTTGTTCTTTGTGGCCTGAATTGGGGTTGATTGGTGCAGGGAATCTGTAGACTGCAGCAGTGGAGATGCAGAGATGGTTGCATGTGACGTGGTCTAGCTTGGAGGAGTGGAAATGGTTTAGGGAGTAGCTATGATCTGTGAGAGTATTCCAGCAAGTCTCTCAGCTGGAAGTCCTAAGGAAGCATAACCGGATATGATCGCCCTTGGCTATTAAAGTGATCGGAGAAGTGAAACGTCATAAAGGTCTTGCTTTGAAGGATAATTATGTTGTATGTCTAAAAATATTCAGGTAAACCATTCAGACTTAAGAATGTTCATTTGAAATCAAAGAAGCTGTAGCGTATCTGGATGCGGACTCCTAAACTCCCACTACATACCTCATACCTGGTTCATATTTCCAATTCAGAGTATAGAATATATTGAAGTTGTAGAGATACACGGACAAGGCATGCCCACCCGTCAGAAGAAACATTTCCCTTCATACAAATGTCTCAAATCGAGATACACCGAGGGATCCGTCTAATAGGGAACTTGCTCATGGAAGTAATCCATGATCAACTTGACCTGCTCCGGCTTCGCAATAGGAACCTTACTGAAGTAATTGCCCAGCTCCATGACAAGCTGGGTACCATTCGCACTGTTGGGACTCCACCGAGGTAGCGAACCTTTGCCAGTATACGAGTCACCTTGATTCGGATCCAAGGTCTTCGCAAAGTTGGCCCAGTATGAAGACATCTTCTCCTGAATTTTGTAGTCCTTCTCGGTAAAGGGGTAGGTATCGGCATTGGCATAGAGGGCGTTGAGCGCATACATGATCTCCGACTGGTGGAAAGCTCCCATGTCTTGGCCGGGAGGTGCGTGTGTCCAGTAGTAAGTATAGAAGGAGGACGAAGCAGCCTTGTACCAGTCCGTTGCATAAGCCCACGAGCCGATGAGTGAGGTGTCGCGAGCAGCTGCGTTCCAGGCTTGGTCTGCGATGGTCTTGTTCTTGTGGTCCGGGTAGAGCTGGAAGTAGCGGCTGGACAGGTTGCCGTACTTGAGGGTGCAGTAGTACTCGTACTCGGCGATTGTGTAATCGGTCTGGGGTGAGGCACCAGATTCGTCTTTGGTGTTGCCGGTGATCACGGGGACGTCGTTGGCTGGTCCGTTGAGCAAGCTCTCGATGTACTTCTCTGGGAGGACGTAGCCGTCTAGCACGGGCTTGAAGATGAGCGGGTAGCCTGCCGATAATGCGGTCACCCACCAAATGGATTCATTGCCGACACGGTCCTGCGAGCCAACCAGGAGGTCCTCCATGGAGAGAGTGCGCAGTTCGGCGATGGTTGATACGTTGTGGTAGGTGGTATAGTTGACACCGTGCTCAATTGCAGTTGACATGTTCACGTAAGAGGTAGCCAGACCTGCCAAGAGGGTATCGTAGGGGTATCTGATACCAGACTCTGAAATTCCACCGTGAAAATATCCAGTGAAGAGAGGGCTGTTGACGGCGTGGTAGACTTGAGAAGAGCCGAAGGACTGGCCGGCGACAACGACGCGGTCTGGATCACCACCAAACTTGGCGATGTTCTTCTGCACCCACTTGAGCACTTCCAGCTGATCGAGGATACCGTAGTTGCCAGAGGTCTTGTGTCCAGTAGCCTCGTATCCTTCTTCGTTGAGTTCTGGGTGAGCAAGGTAGCCAAACGCATCGTCACGACGGTTGAAGGTGATGAGAATGACATCCTTCAGGGCCATACCACCGCCGTACCACCAACTGTTGTCACTAGTCTCGTCCGAGCCCTGATTCCACACCATGACGGGGAGCCTTGCATCCACGGTACCGGCATTGGTCCATATATTGAGGCTCAAGCAGTCCTCACTAATGTTGGACGCATCGGCGCTTGGACAGGCCGGGCCAAACGCAGTAGCCTTTAGGGTTTGATTCCATCGTTCGCGAGGCTGCGGTGCCTTCCACCGGTTTTGGTAGCCTGTATCAGCAGCGAAGGGGATGCCCAAGAAAGCTGTCACGTTGGACTCGGAGAGACCAAAGAACTTCTCTAAAGTTGATTCGTTGAAGTACTGATATCCCTGGACGAGACCTAAGGATGTCTCAATGACCTTGTCCCAAAGCTGTGCTTGGGCAACCGCGGCAGCTACAGCCAGGGACGCGAGGCCCTTGGTGACTAAATAAGCCATGCGTTGATCGAACAATAATCCAAAATGAAGAGAGATGGTTGTGAGAATGGAAAACTTTGGTATTTTATCGACTAGACCGAGGGATATTCGAATCTTCTTATATACTCAAGACACTTACCATAGCCCACGCAATAACCATGGTGATCCTCACGGAGATGGAGAATACCTCTGGCTCCACTACGTAACTTTCGTTGAAGATAGTTGGCCGAGTATCATGATTAAAGGATGGAGATGATTTGATCCCGATTCATCCGAAGCTCCAGAAACCTGCAGGCCAGTGCATGTGGAGACTCGAGGGCATGTTCAGATGACGACAATTGTTCATATGCTAGATCACTTCCCCAGTTCACAGTTCTAAAAGGTCTTCAGAATAATCAGAATTATTAACAAAATTCTATAGACTTAGAACTCAACGTCTTAAGATCAATTATTAAATACATCTGCGGAGGGAATTTGTATTGTTGAGGTTATTCGGATCATTTAGGAAGTGAATATCTTCAATATGGGGAAACATCGGACGATCCTGAAGAGACCCAGTTACCGAAGACTCCTGGAAAGCGGGAAGCCCAAGGATGATCTTGACTAATTCGTACTCAAGTCCCGAACCAGGCCGCGTAGGAGTTGAGCCTGGGGTTTCACTAAAAAAGAAGGTCATTTTGCCTGTTGTTCGGCTTGGGATACCTAATGCAGAGTCTCGGGCCGAGTTGACACCTGCAGGTATGAACGCCCAGTGGTTGGGTTGGTGAAGATTATTGAAAGCTGCAGATCTCCGAGGTTTCAAGATAGAATCTATTCTATCTCCGAGGACTGCCCTGGCACTTTGGCACAATGGCTAAGGGAGGGGCGCACCCCAAGCGGAGCGGCTCTATGCACCTAAAAGATCGGGTTTTGCTGTGAACCGAGTCGTAGCGCTATATTAGCGGGTGTTGATTATTTGCTAAAATTAAGGATAATTCTTAGCGTTAGTGAGTAGGTGACTGGAGAATACTGGAAATATAATATGGGGGAAGTGGCAGGATAATCAACGGAGAATCGAAATTAGTGACGACATTCAGCACCGGACAATTTGTTCAATTTGGTTTAACATTCTGCTATACAGTGGTCTTTAATGTTATCCCGCGGAGGAGGCACCGCCGAATTCCGAGTCAGTCGAGGAATTTTCTTGCCATAAAAGTAGATAGGAATTCCCAGTGATAGGGAGCCCACAGTCAGAGCAAATTGGACCATTGCAGGTGTTACCTACCCAGCTAGTGGAGATAACCAGTAGCTCATCGCGAACCCGCACGTGTTTTCGGTCATATTTGCGACGACCATGATTTCCGCCGATATTGGCTTGTAGTAATCCATAGCGTAGACAACCGCGATGTAGGCATTGCCGTCATGCAAAGACCACTAAATCTATATCCAAAGACAAGAATTATTGGCCAATTCCAAAACCTCTGGTAGCAAAGCCCGCCGATGACAATTTCAATGAATGTAATGATGCAGTATAGAATTAGGGCTGGCAAACGCATCTCGGCTGCCCGCTTACCACCGTTCCTTGCGGTGGCTTTCAAGGTTACCCAGTCAAAGAATGGCCCTACAGTCAGCAGACCAAGGATACCCCCGACTGCGAATGCAAAGTTGACATACCCAGCTGCCGCTGGATTGAAGTTATACGGGGAAGCTCCACGCACGGTGGATTCTGTGAGGTTCCAAAATAGTAGAAGGTACCCAGGACCAGCTACATTCAGACCAGCCCAAAAGATGATTAGAAAAGGGAAAATTCCCAAGGGAAAAATGATATGACGAATCAGAAACTCTGTCCAGTGTTCCGCGGGAGTTTGCCGTGGCCGATATTGTGTGTTCGAGGACCGGCCATGACCAACGGCTATGGCATGGCCATCGAGGCTTTCTAGTTGCTCAAGCACCTCCTTTGGGCTAGAGTTATCTCGATCTTCGGGGTTATGTGAGTGATGAGCTTCCAGAGCGACTGTTTCCTTAACGACTCGGCGGTTGAATTTGGTTTCTGAAAAGTAGACGACAAGGCTGATGAGATTGAAGGTCATGGCAAGTGAGATCCAGAAAAAGCTTCTCCAACCAAATCTGCGTAGGGATTAGTGACAGCGATTGAAGAATATTTTATCCAGGTTGATCGTGAAGCACATCGTGCCAGAGGGCTAAAAATGCTTAACATACCTCTGGGCGATAGTGCCAGCAATCACAGGGCCAAGGAATAGTCCGAGGAGGTATCTGGTGCTCGAGTCTCATTTGTTTAGCACAAAATCAGGCGCGAAGAAGCAGGCAGATCAAAGGGATCAAGGGTTTTACAAATAGACGCCATTCCAAACCGCTCTCTCATGTAAAAACAGCATATCATTATGCTCAATAGGGAGTCTTTTCGTAGGCTCCAATTACGCTGTGACTTAGGGGTCTATCATTTGAGAGACCCAATAAGGCTATCCTGGCCTCGGTATGTCAGTTTTCTGCTTCGCTCTTCATGTTACTTGGAGCCACTCACCGTTGCAAGTAGGAGAGATATCTATTAAGCAAATACGGGCGAGGCACTTGCAGTGACACAAGCCGCGTTGATTGGATTTCAGGGGTAAGTTTTCCGTTCAAACCTAATTAGGATTGATCCAGAAATAACCAGCCAGACGTGAGCCGAGGAACCTATTGAATTTACAGGCTTTCCATGCCACTTTTGCTAACGTGAGTCCAGATAGCCGTTGGACCTTTACGTACGGGTGATCGTAATGTTGTTGAATAGTGGGCTCGGATATACAAGACGTTCAAAGTTCGGTGGGCAACGGATTATTTGGAGGCGCACCTCCAGACCCACAACCCGGACGAGCCATGGAGGGGACCTAGGCTCTGTCCGAAAAGCAAGTTCGGTAAGTGGCTCTTGATCGGCATGAAGTGATTTGCATACTGACACGAGGGTGTACCTCCAGTCTGGCAGCAGCTCTCTATATTCTGGACACAAAGATATCGGAGTTAGTCTTGACGCATCCGCTTCTCCAGCACGAAGAGTCATTGCTACCTCTGACCGCGGGCCACGAGCTGTGGGGTCGCTCTGAATGCCACGCAATGGTAGACGATTTTGGGCCGCCAACAGAGTGGCTCAGGACTGAACCAAGATAACTCTAATGCCGTTGCAGCGAAATCCGGAACTTTGCCGCTCGGCACCCATGGTTTACCAGATGGATCTCAACGGTATATTACGTTGGAAGGTATCGACCCTCGTATTGCAGAGACGAGAATTTTCCACGCTGCCCGAGACTAGAATGAAACCATATAACTCAAATATCAGTTGATTCGGGTCTTCGAACAGTATCTTCACGCAAAAGAAGATACTACCGCCAACGATATATTTTTAGATGCGCTGTGGTACGCGGCCGTTATTGTACTTTTGATGGACTCTGATCGTCTAGAACTAGCTTAGCAGCGAAAGATACGAGGAACCTTTACTTTATGGTGATTATGCTCACCAATGGGCGTCTTCGTCATATGCGAGTCGCTTGATTTCTCCGAACGCTGCAAAATACCCCGTTAGGAAGGAATACGGCGATCCACGTCCCTAGGGCGCCGTCTCGGGCAGCCTCGGTGTGGTATGCGTCCTTCGAATACAGGCTGGATGTCGATCAAAGCTCTGTGGAAACACCGCCCGCTGTCAACGTCGAATTCCCGGAATCTTTTCTCAATTAAAGATTGATAGTCAGGCTCTCTTTTTCGAAGCTAATGGCTATCGAACGTCGAGACCCAAAACGTTCGAGTCGAGCACGCTCTGTGGGCTGGCTGGCCTCCACCGGGTTGGTTGGGATGTGTCAGGAAAATTTGCGGAGCATTTACGGAGTAGTTTTTTGCTAATGGAGACTCAGAGTTAACTAGTCAAGTATTTGCTTTGACAATGGTAACTATTGACTACCACCTCAGAAGGCTGGAAGGTTAAATGCAAGCCCCCTGTCCTACATGACTAGTACTGTCCACGAGAGGAAACACTTTTCCCCTGAGTAGCCCCAACGGTCCAAAGTCTGGAAATCCACCAACTAACGTTCTCGCTCGGTTGATGTCTCCATGCCCCGACGCTAGACTTGATGGGGCTAGAGCTATTCACAGCCAGGTTGGAAAAAACCTTGCGTAGGAATCGCATGGTCGCAGCAGGACTGTTTGTGTTTCGGAGAAAAACGGTCTGTCCGTGGAAAACTCTAAGACTGAGTTCGGGTCGTCGTAGATCACCACGCGATTCTATAGTATAACGGTTGGATGATACTTGACTCTAGAATCTGAACTGGCCTATGAAGCCGATGACTAAGGCTGTCTTTCTTAGTCATCGACTGTCCCGGATTGAACAATGCATTATGGAGTATATATCAATCCCATGTCTCATTTATACTACTCCACTCTGCAAGTCCCTGAGTGAGGAATTCCAGACACTCGGGTCTCAATCCCTGCGAGAAAACCGCTAACAAACAAGCCACCGGAACTGATTTTCGTTCCCTAGCCACTGGTAAAGCGGGGTTTGTGCCATTTCGGGAGAGCTTGCCGTGTATAGTGGATCTACAATGCTCTTCAAACCGCGCCAAGTGTGACGGCGCCCCCTAGGTAAATGCTCCTCCAGTCTTCCACAAGAAAAATGACCGCCTCGGCACTTGAGAGTTCCATTTCCTTGTGCGCGGCACCCGGCTTTTCGGGCTTTACGGCCTACACGACGGAGCCCGCCTGTCAAGCACGTTGAAAGGTCTCTCCACCGTTGTCAAGCGGCCCTCTAAGATTATGATTGTCCTCTTCAGAGCCTCGCTTTGGCTAGCTTCCGCACAACGCCCTTCTGTCGATCACTTCTAGTGATTCGCCACTGCCTGGATTGGACCATTTGCGTACTGGGCTAGATGCGCCCCTGAAGCCTTGAAAATCTCAATCAGCAGGTGGCACTTATAGTTTTCAGGCCGCGCTAATCAGGAATGGCTTGCAGCAGCTCAATTTATTAAACTGTTCTCTTCCCCACAAACCACGTTCCACCGACCTCAAACCTTCCTTCATCCTGTCGTACAGAACGTACGATCGCTGACAGGATGACGGACGAGGATCAAAGGGCCCTGGCGGTCCGAACGGTTGCGGCCGTTTTTATGCCAATAGCAACGATAGCTGTCATGCTGCGCTGCTATGTAAGAGGATGGATTGTGAAAGGCTTCGGTTGGGATGATGGCGCAATGGTGTTCGCGGCTGTAAGTTTATCTTCATTACCTTGGATGCGGACATGGAAAACTGATATGAACAGTTATTCTACATCATGTTCTCTGCTTGCATGATTGGTGGCACTCTATACGGCACTGGCCGGAAATTCATCCACCTTGAAGCGCACCAGCGAGTGACGGCGATGAAGGTAAGCAAGACTGACACCTAAGACTTACCCCGGGGTTCTTGCAACTCATTACTGACCGAACACTCGCGATGATAGTATTGGTGGCTCTGCGAAGTTGCTTATTGCTTTTCCTCCATCGGATGCAAAATCTCCATCAGCGTTTTCCTTATGCGAATTACCGTCAAACGATCACACATTTGGACTCTCTATACAGTCATGATCCTAACAGTCATTGCTGGACTAGTGTTCTTCTTCCTCATGCTCTTACAGTGCAAGCCGCTGTCGTACTTCTGGACTCGAACCGCCCTGGACCCTTTGATCGAAGGCAACTGCATCAGTATCAACATCATCATCATCATGACCTATATCTACAGCGCATTTGCCGCGCTTTGCGATTTCACCGTTGGAATCTTGCCGATTTTCCTCGTCTCCAAGCTGCACATGAAGCGAGAGGCGAAGATGGCTGTCATTGGCATCCTGAGCATGGCTTGCATGTAAGTATACTCTGTCCCAAGTTGACAAGTTGGCTGGAAATCTGTGCTGACCACAATTAGTGCCTCATCGGCTGTCATCATCCGTTTCCCATTTGTGAAAACATTTGGCGATGAAGACTTCCTCTGTACGTACTCTGCCTTTCTCTAACATGTCGGGATTGTCGCTCATTACACTAATTTCCGTCAGATGCGACTTACCAAATTGCCATCTGGTCTAACATCGAGGCTGGACTGGGAATCACCGCCGGTAGTCTCGCCACGCTGCGTCCCTTGCTCCGAAAATGGCTCGGCTCTCGGAACGACTCTCGATATCCTTCTGGGTTTCCCAACTCTGGGCATCTAGGTGCGAACAGTAACTCGCGCCCGATGCCACTTGGATCGATTGATGGATCGAGGCAAAAGGGCCTGAGGCCGGACAAGTTGGCTGTCATGGTGACGAATATCGAAAGTCAGAGGGATACGGAGTTGACGTGGGGAGGCTCGACCAGTCCCAGCAGCAGTGAAGAAAGACTCACTACTGAACCCCCAATGCCAGCTTCAAGGAAAATGGATATTGGCATCCATCAAACCTTCGAGGTCACACAAACTACAGATGCGTATGATGCAGAGGGCTCTCACCATCGCATGGCGAGGGAACATGTATAGTCTTTTCTATACACGATATTTTGCAACGATATTTCATGCCCATCATAATACAGAATAATTTTTAACCCTCGACTAGCAGCTTCGATCCAGCAACAATACGCTAGCTATTAAATAGGAAGTTCCAAGCCATCATACTATATGATTCTGTGCGACCATACTAAGAAAAGGGCGTGCCCACCATGAAATTCCTCTAGATATCATGCTCCTGTGCAACGGTATCATGGTGTATACTGACGCTACTTTTATCTTTCCCTAGGCTTCCCGAAGCCGACCGTTCAAGAGGAAAGAAGAAGCGGTGTCGCAGGCTGGCAGCATCTGTTCTAAAACAGGAAAGATCGTCTTCGACCCTCCCGTCAACTCGAAAACTTTGATTCATGGATTCGAACTTCAGATGGTCAAAGCTCCAAGCCATGATCGGTAGTACCCCCTTTTCACCCTTATCTGATTTCTAGGAACCAACAACCGCCTCTTGACTTGTACATCCTAATATGGTAAGCGTCTGACACACACTCGAGGAGTCTCTTGCCTGTAACAGTAGAGCCAAAGCTTCATCGATGAAGGTTCGAAGCTTTTTTCTTAAAATGGAACCCCGCTTAGGGACCCAGGGTATTGGTGGAAACTCATTTCCCTAATTTGGAGTCTTCGCTTGTTACCGAGACGGCAGTTGGAGTGTGGAGCATATTTAGTGGCATCCATCCAACATGCTGTCTACGCACTAGAAGAATTTGGGCGTTCTCGGAACTGATAAGTGGAAAGCCATCCAAGTCGCCATCAATCGATGAGCAGTAATGCCGTTATAGCGTTAAAGTCTGGAAGAATGGCCGCGTAGCCGAAAGTAAGGCAATGTGTTTAACCGCGAGGCTGTTATGACCCGCAATCTGTACGGATTTGGTACAGGGTCCTCCTTCGAGAATACTCGTATCAGTGGACAATGGAGCCATCTGAAGTCATGATCATGACTATTGCCTCTGGGCAGTGGGTTGAATAAGGCACACCTCGAACAATTAAAGGCTTACGGCGGCGTGGTCGCTGTTGAAAGGCTAGCTCGCTACCCAGGGTTTCTGTCATCGCATGACCATTGTCACGTCCTCACAGCAGGTATGAATTAGTCATGCACAATTTGAATCTATGCTGAGAAAAACTCTGTCGTCGCTCAGTCTTGTCAATTAATCTTCATATTCTGAGGGCAAGGTCAGAATATCCAAATTTGTCTAAGTGATTGTTTCGTGAACACTTGGCGGTGAAGATGGACTTCATTCAGTCTGTAGAACCATATCCGTGCTCGACTTGTTTCGATCAGATGGAGCACAAATAGCACTAAGCATTTGAGACAAATATTTGATAGACTAGTTGAACTCTGCGAACAGCATGCGGAAATTCGCAGGTAGGTTTAAGATAAGCAGCTGAGTTTCCTGATATTGATCCCATTACATACTACAGACCGAATTTCACGCAGGAAAAGTCGGTGTGGTATTATAATTGCTTTAGAATCACTCCGGGATCATTGGATATACAAAGCTCATAGTACAATTGTTGAGAAAGCTGAATGGTATAACTTCGGCACCCCCCTCTCCAATTCTCTATTACTATAGAGGATAATCAAAGTCACATTCACTTTATTTATCAGGGTATCCGGTTGAGACATGCCGCAATATTTCATCTAACCATCCAACGGACTCTTGCACACGAAAGAAGTGGTGGTGCTGTTTGCATACGCATTGATCAAAACAGTGATGGCAGAATAAGCGCCAAGACCTGCAAGAGCGAGCGCACCCAAGAAGTAGAAGATGTTGAAGATACTGAAAACCAGGTGCTTCGGCTTTTGAGACAGGAAGCCTCGGATGAGGCGTTTCATTCCGCGATCATGGCGAATGGTGTTGCCGGTGGCAGGGTCAAATCCTTCTCCATCTTGCATGGCAGCCTCTTTGACCCAGTAGTAGGTCGCAAGCATGGGAGGGAAAGTGTAGGTGAATTGCAGAATACAAAACGCGGCAACGACGGATGTAAGGCCCGAGAAGTTGGGAATACCGGCCGCGAGGACGAAGGCTATGGCCCAGTAACATGGGATGAGGGCCACCCACAGGAACTTGCCGGTTTTGTTTGTGAGAGGAGGGCAGCGGAAAAGCTCGACGAAGATGTTGTTGTAGATTACTAAATCCGATTAGCTGTTGTGTCCGTATAGCAGGGCTATCTGAAAGAGAAAAGGGACGAACCCTTGACACCAATGTTGCCATATAAACCAGCAGCAATTATACCGGTAATCATAGCGAAGACGTTGCCGGCAGTTTGGATGCTGTACTTGCTGATTCCAAGGTAGGTAGGGTTGATAGTATACTGGCCCTGGTAACCGTAGATGAAGAGGCCGTAGAGCATGTAGCAGAAGTAGATGAAAGCCTGGGCAGCCCACATGCCAGTAAGGAAGTCCTTAGGGCGCTTCATCTCGGCCATGAACTCGGGGAAAATCATCGAACCACCATAGGCAAAGACAGCTTGCATGGCACCGCTAACAGTTCCAGCAAAATTTCCAGTGCTGGGAAGACCGCCGGAGGTCATCACAGGGGGGTAGACACCGTTGACGGGGACAACAGAAGAACCATCACCGATAGTAGCGCCGGCAGATTGAGAAGCACCGGCATAGTTAGGAGGAGAGTGAGCGGCACCTCCCATGGTGATGAACATACACGTGAGATTGAGCCACACCGCGAGATTGGCCAACCAGCCGAACTTCTGCAAAGTACGAACCTGACCGAGCACGAAACCAACCAAGGCCCAGATCAAGCAGCAGATAATGAAGCAAAGCTTGAACTTAGCGGCCTGTGACAAAGCCTCGCCATTGGAAATGACAATCAAGCCGACATTTAGCAGCAGCTGGATACTCTGCAAGATGTTGAACAGATGGCGCATCCATCGACCGTACACACGGAAGCCCAGATCGCCAAAGCTACGCAGAGGGAATTGGTACGAATCCAGACCCATGAAGGTCACCCAAAGGAGGTATCCCGAGTATCCGGCCAAAGCAGCGAAAACAGTGTACAAGGCAATTCCAGGTCTAGTAGTCGAATGTTCAGCCATTGTTCTCCAGATTTTGGGAAAAAGGAACGAAGCTTACCCCCAGCCCATGGTTGCAAACGCATAGGGTAGACCGAAAGGACCCAAAATATCAGTGGTAATCAGGTAGAAGATAGCTCCACGGGTAGCAGTACGGAGCGCACGGGAAGCGTTAGTCCATTCCTCGTCGGTGATGGTCATACGGTTTGCCCTGTCGCTATAGTTGATGGTTGACGCATCCTTGCTCACATTGGATGTCATTTGTTGCACACCACCGTCGCTCTTGGAAGGGAAGATGATCGACAGGAATCCAGTCTCCCGGCCTCCAAAACTGTCCTCCTCGGCACGGGTTAGCTGAGCGTAGTGATAGTACTCCTCGAATGTAACGCTAGGGTCGTGCAGCTTTCGGTGCTGCGGACGAGTCCCACCACTCATTTCATTCGCAGCGAGGACGTCGATATTTTCGCGCTCCTTGTTATGAAGGCGAGGATCGCCTCCATCGAGGGCCAGACTACCGAGCTGGGACATGATCACAATCAACTAGGGCAGGAAAAGAGGTTGTCGGAGGCAGGGATCTAGGATGGGAGGACGGAAGGAAGAAGAAGAAGAAGAAGAAGAAGAAGAAGAAGACGTTAATGGGGAAGCACGAGATCTGGGGGGAATGTCCAATAATTATTCGGTCGCAAGTTACTCCATACAGTATCATTGACTGGTCAGATGACTCTTATCATTGGATAAATAGCTTACAGAGTGCCTGCGCCAGTGGTTCAGAAAGACCCCCCCGGATACTGACGGGGGTTCTACCCTCTCCTTTTTCGAGTCACCAACCACCAAGCTTCCATCCGAGACGGGAGCGAATCGATGACTAGCGCCACCGGAAGTAACCGAAAATGGCCAGTGATTGGGTCTGGCTCTTCAGTTGATTGGGGGAACCATATCCAATTCCGGTACTAAATTGGCAGGTCGCTCTAAAGAATCGTCCTTTTGCCTTCGGCGTAAACCGTACTGGTCGTTATTCCCCGCCTTCCCGAGCGAAACAGGGTCCCAACCCATATATCCAGCCAAACCCCACGTGTTAGGATGGTCGCCCTCTCTAAGAGACGTTCCGTGAACCTTACACCACAAGTGGGTTGTCAAACCACGGTCAGTTTATTCAAACCTTTCGCTTTTGATCTGGCTATCTATGTTCAAGCGGCCAGCGGCCATTGGCCTTCAGCTCGTTGGGGGTAGTTGACATCAGGGATGCGGAGAATGTTGCATTCAATTTCGTCTGCCACAAGCCACACTTGCTGTAGCCAATCACCGTCATCCACAAGGAGGCCAAGCGGATCCCGGACTCTCCACCAAAGCTTATCATCGCCCTAGGGTCGAGGCAAGTGGATCCCCGACGGACTTGCGAGTTCTTGCCTCTGAAGGATGTTCAAGGGTCTATAACAATCAGTTAGATGGTCAGACGCTGGCTATGTGGACGGATGAAACTAATGCAATATGTTTTCTTTAGTGCTGATACCTGTTGAGAGGAGGCAGGCACGGTTCGTTGATACTTGCTACCAAATCCCGTGTCTTGACTTTCTTTGCAATACGAGCTTGAGATTTCATCGGCCCCCCAAATATTGATTGATTCTCATGTTGCATCATTATTGCGTGACTGGAACAATAATCAAAACGATACCTCGAGTCACCGCAGCCTCTACAATAATCCCATCTTCTGCAGCTGACTATCTTCTGGTTCAAATAGACTTGATTGATATACACCCGTCACATACGCAGAGGCTGATAACCGTGGCGGAAACAAGCAATTTAAAACTCCGCATATTTGTCTTGGCCTGGCTTGTGACCCGGCAATTTTACAAGAGCATTGTTCTTGGCAAGCCGTAGCTCGCCAAGCCACTGATCGCAGTACTTGGCACGATCGCTGTATGAACTTAGATTAACATGGCAGCTTCTGAGAAATGTAGCAAAAATATATTAATTAATACGCAACATCAACATATCTAATAAGCGGGAAGTCAAATGTATCCGATGTATGCAACGCCAAGGCCTTTGCTCAAGTATTAGGCTGCCAAATGAAGTCTCAGGTCCAACTTTCAGGAGCCAATCGCTACTTGTTGCGTTATCCGGCCCTGACCGCACTGCCAATGAAACCTCTAATTAGTCTCCTGCTGAAGGCCCCCCCATTTGCCGTCCTCCGTTATTTAGTTGCCTTCTAAATGCGAATAGTTCCGTAGTCATTGCTGCGGCCGCTTGTGAATTGCTTCTTATGACACCGCGAATTTCTCAATCTCTTCCCTCTTGCGATTAAAAAACAGAACACATCGCCAAGCGTTCGAAATCTGGAAAATGGGATAGAGACCTGGGCCATTAGCCACGTATGGATATTCTCGAATTTTTAATTATCGCTTCCTCCCTAGTTCCTATCAAACGAGAGCCAAGCTTATAATCAAGCATTTGTCTACCAGTTGGATCAGCTATTGCCGGCTATTTTGTCTGCTGGTTTCATGTTCCATAAACGAACCAGCTGATATTCCAGGGTCTCATGTGCTTTCTATTATCTGACCAAAGAGATTTGTCTCGCTTATCGTTCATGTCACCCTTACATTGCATGAACTACACAAACATATTTCATTACGTAAAGTTGATTTGAATAGGATAGGCTCTGCCCTCGCATTTTGTATAGCAAATTGATTGATATCGTTCCCAATTTTGCTTAGAAAGAACCTTAGCCCATAGATACCTGTGGGTTAGAATCACTTTTAACTAATTTGTATCGATCCTCCTGGCCATCTACAGATACGGTACGTTCCGAGACGGGTCCAACTACCTACACTCTTCTCTTAAGAACTCATCCCCTCTAAAACCTAACGTGGAGCGCTACTTTGACCGGTCCCGGGCATGCTAGAACATAGCGTGCAGCATATCTGGTCTTTTTACCCTGTCCAGTGGATAGGTCCAGCCGCATGTCGTAACCTTCTATTGTTCCAGAACCTTCATGCTTAACTCCTAGTAAACGTATCATCATTCCTGTATCATGGTTAATTCCTCAGATTACTGTAATTCTAGTACAATGTCATGTCTTCTAAATGTAGGTCTGATCCATGTCAGCTAGAAACCCATTCTGTGGTCTCTTTGAATTATCCTTTCAAACGCAAGTCTCCAAGAAGGACCAGTGGAGATCGACATTGATGCTTGAATAGATCCATATATATTACACCATTCCCAGTATATAGTAATGAGATAGAAAAGGTAAATTTTTTGTACTTCCCGTCAGGCTTACACAAATCTTAATGTGGCCGTAACAGATTCTTTCCGAAGAATTCCACGAGCTTCGGACCAGACACTGTAAGGTCATCATAAAGATCGAAGTGGTTCTTTTCTTCAACGATTAACAGTTCTTTGGGTTCACGGGCTGCAGCAACAGCGTTTTGGCTGTAATGAAGAGTCTGGGCCTCGGACCCGGCAACCATTAACAATGGCCGTGGAGAGATCAGATGCTGGAAGTTGAATGAGTCATAGCTGACCATGAGATCATAACTAGCTGGTGGAACTTTCTGGTCCGAACGTGGGTGGTTTCCGTGTTGGGAGCCGTAGTATGAGGCGGCATCCTTGAAGAATGAGTCGGCGTCCTCGGGAATTTGGGAGATATCACTGCTGAACATAGGCGGCAGTTCCGCATGGGAGCCCTTTGGCCACGCTTGTACGCCACTGGCCGGCTGCCTGAAGTGCTCCAGCAATGACCTGAGGAACTTCCTTATTGTTCTCCTTGTGCAGGCCACCATTGCGGGTCATCTGGCCAACGCAAGCGGCACTGACGGTAGCAAGTGCCTTGATACGGCTGTCAGACTGCGCGCGGCATATGAGGTATAGCCACCCGAGGCGCAAATTCCAAGGACACCAATACGGCTAGGGTCAACTTTGCCGTCTAGCGTGGTCAAGTAGGTCACAGCAGCCTTATTATCTTCGGCTCGCTGATGGGGGTCTTCCAGCCCGCGGGGCTGTCCCGTGCTTTCACCCTGATACCCTGCGTCGAATGTGAGAGCATAGAACCCGGCTTTAGAAAGCAACCGAGCGTGGTCTGCAGATGTTTGCTCTTTGACGCCGGTCATAGGATGGCTGATCACGACAGCAGCACCCTTGCGGTCGGGGGCGCCAGCAAGAGGAGCATAAAGCTCGCCGCTGATCTGCAGCATGAAGGACGGGAAGGTGACTTTCACTGGGGCGGACATTGTGTGAGACAAAAGGATTGTAAAAAGTATTGAGAAATTTTGTCTTCAAAACTCGTTGGAAACAAAGATTGGGTTGGGTCAAAGGGAGTGGCCTTTATGGTTGTGAAATAAAGTTATATCCTTCCCCGAGTATCTTCGGGAGCTGCAGTGTTTATTGGGGATGACAATATATCATGTCCGGCGATAAAGTCTACTCCTTTTCAATAGACGGAATTAATGGCGTTATTCTTTTAAATCAGAATTAGTGTATTATCAATATATCTAGGTGCATTATCATGGAATGCCATCATCAAAGGCGTGAATCACGGTAAACAAACCAAGGTACTGATGGGTTTATGTAAAAAATAGTACGCGACTGACGGATGGACTAAGAAAACACTCCCACTACCTACTTGTGTGAATTATTAACAGATGTGACAAAACTAATCGAAGAGCGTAGGTGGTTAGACCAGTTTGGGACGTGGTGTCAGATATGCTCGTCATATTTGAGATTATGTACGTGGAGCTACCCGCCAGGCTCACGCTTTCACAGCGACAAACACCTCATCAATAAACTCGGCAGCCCTTTTATAAGCTTCCTCTTTTCCTTCTGCTGGCTTTGGGGGAAATCCACTCTTTAGGTCCACAAGTCCATGTCCAGCACCTTCCACGAGAATCAATTCCGTCTTGACACCAAGCTGCTTCAGTTGTTCATGGTGATGCACGCTCTCCTGATCAGGAACAACTTCATCCGCTGTGCCATGCACAAGGATCGTCGGGGGATAGCTTTCAGACACAAAGAGCTGTAGCAGAGCTGGCTTTATGTCCTCTGGAATCGCTGCAGCCCGCTCCTCATAGCGCAATTTATTGAGTTCCGCACCTAACCCCGGTTTTCCAAGACAATTGTCGAGGAAGGTACCGTCCAGTTCCCAGCGGACTGTGAGTGCGAAACGGTTGGACATCATGCCCTGTGTTGGCAAGTCCTCACTCACAACAGTTCTGTCGGCGAGCAGCTTTGGAACCTGCTCAAGATCCACAAGCTTGGCGATAGTTGTAGGTGGTCGGCCGACCGTCCAGTGATCTAGAAGCCAGTCTCCAGCAGATCCATAAGCCGTCATAAGAACAGCTGGCTTGGGATTGGCGTAGATGCAAGCTGCACGCGCCGAAAAAGCGCCAGCTGAGAAGCCTGTTACCGCTATCCGATCCGTGTCGAGTGCAATGGATTCCGGCAAGGCACTCTGGAAGTCACTCGAAGCGATGAATTTAAACAGCACCTTCGCATCCTCAATCTGATGCAAAGCAGTCGTCGGGTGGCACAGACGGTAGTCCGCACTGATGAAGATGTAGCCTTTCTCTTGGCAGTGATCTGCACTTTCGGTCAATTTAATCTGATTGATCGCAAGATTGAGGAGGAGGTTGCAGCACACATACCATGCAGCCAAATTGGGAAATTGAAGCCACCACGCCAGCCTGCAGTCATTCCACCTCCATGATAGTAGACCACAGCTGGCAATCTTCCGCTGGCACTGCGGGGCAAGTAGTAGTCGAACTTGATGTTATGGCCGTCTACGGTGGAATAGACCAAGGTTTGGCCTTGAGGCTGGGTAGTCTGCATGTTTATCGATACTAGTATGCTGTTCTTCTTTTTGTGACGAGACAGAGGAGAATGCATGCAAAGTGCAATAGGGAGGGGTTCGCTCAGAACCAGCCACTTGGTATGTCGCGACACCCCGGATGAAGTTAATGCCGGGGTGTGGAGCCGAGAATGGTTCGATGGCACTTTTGTTTGGATATAAACCGGCTTTCAAACCCTTGATATTGAATAAATATTTCGACTCTCCTTGAGTGACAAATTTGTTGGATTGGTAATCCTGGACGTGTCGAGCACCACGGGCGGGGTCAGGAACCACAAATGGTATATTTACCAGCGCCAGAATGGCATCTTATCTATGAGAGGTTTCAAGGGGTACAGCTACCCAGCATTGAAGATTCTAATGCCCTTCTATGGCTGGTGAACGAACATGATAAATTTGTGCTCAACCTTGAAAAGATGCTTAGGCTCATCTATACAGCCTCGTTGTGTCCGTCCCTCCGTCTAAGACAACAATGCAAGTGGAACAACTCCTTTGCAGCAAGGTTTCAAGAAATAGAATATCGAAGTCTTTAGACTGAAATTGCCTGTGGCTTACTCTTCACATTATCATCCCTCCTGGACCGCTTGCTCCATCAGTCTCATCGTGTTCCGATCTCGTACCTGTCTCATGTATTGGGTTTGCTTCATCGGCATACCTTGTGTCGTTTGATAATCTCGAAATCCGTTTATCGCAATGTAGTCGGGGAACTATCCGATGAAAACGGCGACTACGCAGCCAAAGATATTGCAGAAGATGTACGCTGAATAGAGGCCTTCCTGGGGACCCATTTCCATTGGATACTTATCCCCAGTCAACGATGTAAGTCACGGTAGAGCTAATCAAAGCGAAGCTGACCTTTTTCGCATTTAAGTAGGAAACGGCAAAATCCTTAGACTTGAGTCGTTGTTTTCCCGATAGTTTCAAGCTTCTTCTCTCCGACAAAGAAGACCTGCAGTCTCCTTTGAGGGCAGAATATTCAATGTGCGTTCTATCATGGCTATTGATTGGAGTGGCTGATCCCAGATTCAAGTAAATCGCTGGAAGATATGTCTTCTTTCCCTATGCCAAAGGATTTTACATCTAAAAAAAATATAGACGACGTCAAAACCCCGATATGGCCGCCAAGACAGTAGCACAAGATGCACAGAAGCCAATGGTAAGCTGCTTCTCAGACTAGCGCAGATAGATTATTACATCTGAACGGACAAGGCAAATAAGACGTATAGGCTAAGCCGGTTTGCTTGCGTGTTTCTATGGACAATAGTTGCGTATACAGCAGCAGAGAGCTCCGTAAGACATCAAATAGTCAAGGTTGACCAGATAATAGCCATTTGCGACTGGAAAACAAAGAGAGTTACTGGGGCAAATCAAAACTTCTTCTTTACAACGAGAACCACCCCGTGTGTGGCACCTTTTATCACTTCCTTGCCTTCTTCCACACCGGCCTCATGCAACAGGCGCTCGATTGCCCTCCGATAAATCTTGAGAACATCACGTTCGGTATCAATGGTTTCGGGATGAGCCTGGCGCCATCGAGTCACAGGGCTCCCTGTTGCAGTGATCTTTTCAAACAGGTCCAGGTTTACTTCGGGGTTGATGGCGTAGAAGTCGGTCTCGATGTCCCAATCTTTTCGACTGGACGTGGATTCGTCAAATTCCGTGATGGGAACCTCCAAGGTCCAAGGAAGCGGCAGATCACTATATCTATCGCGAACGAGCCAATTCCCTGGAACGAAGTATGGCACTAGATACTCCTCCTCGATCCGATCCATCTCCGCTTGGATGGCAGCTGCATTGGGGACCGAGGGGTGAATACGTGTCCGACCGCTAGTCCACAAAATCACGCTGCCGCCTGGCTTGAGTACACGAGCAGCGGTCGACCAGAAATGAGGCATGTCGAACCAATGCGCTGCATTGCCAGCGGTGATGAGATCGACACTTGCATCCTGTATGGGTGGAGAGAGGTTTGTACCCAGCTTCTCGGCCGTGGACAATTCAAAGCGGATTGGTTCAGCCGTGGACGTAGTGCCTCCTAGGGAGCGAGCAGTGCTGACCATCCCCTCGGAGGGATCCAGTCCAACAGCATGAGCAAAATGAACACCAAGCGAGCGAACCACATTTCCTGGTCCAGAACCAACATCTAGGAGGGTGTCAAGCTGGCCATTGGTAGCAATGTGTTGATCAAGAATGAATTGGTACAGACCAGGGTGGTAGTCTGGACGTGCTGCAGCGTAAGCGTTTCCTTGCTCTTGGTTATAAGAGCTGAAGGTCTTTTCCGTTGTAGTTAATGGTGGTTGAGACATGTTCAATAAGCTATTTGTAGAAAATCTACAAACTAAGAGACCGATAAGGTTGCGGAAGGAGAGTGCTGGGCTATTAAAATACGTCGGTGTTGCCTGAAATAAGCCCGAACCCCGGTAGTTCCTATGGAGGTATAGCGGCGCCTTTTCTTAGTGTCGGCGGAATCGTGATTCAGAAATCCCGAAAGGTTAGTCTGTGGTTGGAGACGTCAAACTCGCAAAGTGGGTGTGCTTTGGGTCAACAATACGATCGAGATTTAGGAAAAGTTCAGGTCCGACTCAAAACAGGCCTTATTGTTTTGGTTATGCTTGGCAAAGATGCATGTCAAATGAATCACAAAAACTATCATCTGCTCTCACAACTTCCCACCTTTCCCCAACGCATTTCCAGGTGCCCCGCTCTTTCGTCATCCACGAGCGAACGGACCTGCTGGGAGCCTCGTATTCGGTTCCCGTAGAACCAATCCCATCAAGAGGTGGTCACGTCTACAGCTCTCGCAACCTGTTGACAGGATGCGTATGCTCGATATTTCTGAGTTGTCTTGACTCTGGCCCGTTTACCATAGATCATCAACAGGGCCGGTAATATCGCAGTAACAAAGGCAATCACTCCAATGAGGATGAAAGTGTTTTGAATACCCATGCCATATATCCAGTCCGTGAACGAAAATCGGATGACCATGGCTAAGCCATTGCGAACGAATACCACGGCTATAAGCGCATCACCGAGGATCTGCAAAGGATTAACAAGTTTGTCCTCGGTAAATGTAATAGGGGATATTTCATACATCAGGATAACTATCGGTTAGATAGGTGAGAGCAACGTCGGCAGTGACGATGAAACCAAACCCGAAGATGCCGTTACCGACGGCCAGCACGGCCCAATGTAAACCCTACTCAAGATCAGTCGGCCATTTCATGAGCTGTTCAACATAGACGGTCGCGTGGATGAGCCTACCTTCGCAAGACCAATCCCACCTAGCATCAACCCAGCAGAGTTGATAGCAGCGGCGGGGAACATCATCCACAGCCGCATTTCTGGTTCGAAAATACCTTCGTTCCGTTTGGCCAGCCTAATAATGAGCCAGTCGTTCAACGGTGGTGCTGTCAGTGTGGCTAGAACAGTGCCCGTGAACCCTCCTAGGTGGAATAAGCCAATCTGAGCAGCGTTGAAATTGTATGGTTCAGCGATCAAAAAGTACGACCCGGCCGACACAGTGGCAGAGAACCATGAAAGAATAGATCCGTAGGTAAGAGCAGCAAATGCCACCGCAGGAAACGTGAACAGAACAATCAGAGGCTGATAAAAATGTTGTTTAATAGGTATATTCGTCTTCGTCACAAAAGCCAGGCGTTGGCGAATAGATTTACGGCTTCGCTGGACATCAACAGTAATGCAGGATGCGACGGACTGTGTCACTGCAGTTGTCTCGGATTTGTTGTTTTCCTTATCCTCGATGAATTGAGTTGACTTGGTAAAGGCGGAGTGCCCGACGGGCGTATGAGTGAACTTGGACTCTTCGAAGAAGCAAAGTACGAAGAGTAGGTTGACTCCGACCAGGATTGCGACAATTTTCCACATCCATCTCCAGCCCAGGGAGACAACGATGTATCCAGCAACGACAGGGCCCCCGGTGGCGCCAAGGCTTTGCATGAAGATGAAAATCCCGTTCATACGAGCGTGCTGATGAACGAAAAACAAATCGACGACGGTGATCATCACAATTGCCTCGCTGACCGAGCCCGCTATACCAGCCAGAAAACTGATAGTGATTAACTCCCCTGCATGATGGAAGTTTGCCCACCAAATGGCACAAACTAGCTGCAGAGTAGCGCTGATAAGGTATAGCGGACGTCGTCCGTATTTGTGCACACATGGAATCAATAGGAGACACCCAATCGCAAGGCCGGCATAGTTACAGCCACTCGCCTGATTGAAGGTTGCGTAGGTCAAGCCTAGCTCCTTGATGTATCCGCGATATGCGAGACTGTTGATATCGATAAGAACAAATGTGAAGAGCACGTATGTGCAGGTGAGTCCAAAGTTGACTGCTTTCCGAAGCTCGGACCAGTTCTTTTTGACTGGTCAGACTGTAGTTCCAAAATGGAAGGATGCATCGAAGAGGCTCACCAAAGGGTCATCGGGGTCATCGGTAGGGCTGGGGCTAAGAATCAATTCAGATTGAGAGTTATTTCCTTCATGGTAGTTAGTACTGGAATCCCATGAGCGAGTGAATGATGACTCACTATTTTCTAGCAAGACTGTCCCAGGGGGAAATCCATGATCGGATATATTGACAGCCATAGTGCAGTGATCAATTGAGTAACTTTTGGTTCAAGACTGTCACATAATGAGATTTGAGGACTGGATCTCGAGCCTTTTTATGATCTCCTACGAGTAGGCTATCACCGGATATCCGAAGCCATTCTCCTGGTTTATCACATCGATAGACTTTTGCGGGGTAATATTTAAAGCAAAAAAGACTGATACGAAGCTTTTCATAATCAATCTTACTTTTACAACCAATGGGTGTCCCTGATTGCACGGAGAATTCGTAATTCTACCCCATAGTGGACCTCATAATACACTCCAATACGACTATAATTACGCCCATGGGGTAGATCCTGGGGGCCACTCTTACATGTTTTTGGAACAAAAGTAGAAAATCAGCAAATCAAAGTTGACGTCTATCTCGGCTTTAGAGAGGAATACTCAAGTCTGGATCATTCTCGAAAAGAGAAAATAGATATTGTGACGTGCCTTGATCCCTAGCTTTCCACACGCAAGATAGGGAAAGGAGCAAGTTGTTGATAAAGGGGTAAAAGTTGGCACCGGAAATCTTCAGAACCAGGGACCTTATCTCTTGTCTTTTCACTTCTTCATGCACCTCTGAGCCAGCAACCAATAGCACCAATGTGATGTTAGGTGGATATTTCCCTGCCACGTCCAGGCAATGGGTCATACATTGCACGATCGAGGAAGATAACGTTTCGGCCTCGGGGTCTTGCACTCCAAATGGGAATCTCAGCCGATGAAGGATTAGAAGAGCAGTGGCTTTGTGGATAGTGGCTTGAGAGATGAGAAGGAACATTTCATCCGGAGAAAACCGCTCTAAGACAGACTCAGGGATAGACGGTGACCAGTTTTTGAGCTCCTTCGCGAGAGTATCGAAGGTTGTAGAGTGGGATAGGTCTTTCTCATCGCCCGTTCTGACCCCGGAAGCCAAAACACAGAGCCGATAAAGAAGCGGAAGAAGTGATCCGCAAAGCCCTGCATGCTGGTTCACCACGGAAGCATCTTGCTCTCGGAGTTGAACCACAGGGACACGAGCCCGGAAGAGGGATTGGGCTGTGTCGAGAAATACTAGACATACTAACTCACGAGTATCCAATCCCTGGAGTTTCCCTGCGTAATAAAATGGTCGAATCAAGGCTAAAGTGTGTCGACAAATTGTGCTAGCCGATACCCCAGATATCAGGCGATGAAAGGTTAACAAGCTAGTCCCTAAAGAGAGAATGATGCATGCGTAATCTGATTTAGTAATCTCTGCCCTTCGAAGATCCTGCAAGGCAGATGCACATTTAGATAGCTCCGCGTCATTGCACCGCGGCTTATTGGCAATGTTGCGAAGAAACACTCGAGCCACCGCAGCGTACGGACTCAGGAGAAGAGCCGGGGCTTCCTGCAGCCGGGAACGAATCATATGACCCATCTCTTGACTCAGGAAAGGTCCAAATGTAAAGAAGTTGCATATCTGGATGGATGTATACTCCGTTATTTGTGAGATCACCCCCTCTCGGTATAACGTCGATACAAGCGGTAGATCTTGCATTGTGGGAGTTTTGTTTTCATGACCCTCCTCTGTCTCAGACAGAATGGCAGAGGACTCAGATACCGATTTGGTATGGCAATCTTCCTTCTGGGCTGCATCAAAGGCTAAGAAACAGGGGCCGAGGACCCTTGGCTTGCGACCTCGTTTCCCGCGGGGACGAGAATAAGTGCATGAATGACCCAGGCGGTAACAGCGGTAGCAGCATTGCACAGTTCCTGGTAAACATCGAGCTTTGACAGAATGACACCGGTCACAGGCGGGTGCGGGCGGCATTCTCGAGAAGTATTGTGAGCAAATCGAGTGGGTTGAAGAAAGAAGAAAGTGGAGCGCCTTAGGATGGCGTGATGGGTGTAATTTAGCCAACGGTTGGCCCTCAGGGGCTAGATTGCGTCCATGCTAGCTTTCAAATACCAAGTAACTCAATTGACATACAGAGATTTCCTGTATTTGAAAAAGCATAGGAATCCCATTTCGATGCTCATACGATTTGTATTTCGCGACATGCGGAGTCGATAACGAGAATACGGACTCACGAAGCCGCGGGAAAGGGATCAGCGAATAGGAAGTCATAGCGAGACGGCGAATTTGCTAGCTTCTAAAACTAACTTTGATACTGTCTTATATCTGATGGTTCATCGCTTGAGTGACAGCCGACCATCCTTTACCCCCGCCTCTCTCCTCACTTTTTAGCCGAGGCATACTACTCTCTTAGCTTCGGGTCGCCTGACTTCAAGCTGTAACTGGACAAAACACGCCACGGGGTAGGATAATGACAAATACAAACTACCTCTTATTGGTCACCGCGGTCGCCAGGATAAGTAGACTGCAGTTCCCATAACTTATCGCGAAACCCTCGTAGACCCCTGTCTCTGCATTCGCTTTTCGGTCTTAATCTTCACTTCTCTTCACCTTACGAATTAGCCATTGTATTTCAATAATGGGTTCTGTGGATCAAAATATTCCATGGCAGGTGAGAGTGGCTACGAAGCGGCAAGCCTGTCTGGATAAAATCCCAGTAGCATGGAGAATTCCGGACAACTACCTGGACAAGTTCCAGACTCCCTTATTGGAGAAGAAGAACAATCTCATCGAAGCGCAAGCAATTCCAAAATCAGGAGTATTGACTGAAAAGGAACTGCGGATTACAGAAGATTACACCATTGCTGAGCTTCTCTCCGCATTGGCGGACGGCACGTTGACATCAGTTGAGGTGACGCTTGCTTACTCCAAGCGCGCGGCCGTGGCTCAGCAGTTGGTAAGTATTGACTTGAATATATTGCCGTTCCCCCTTTTGGCGTAACCTCGTACTCACATTGATAAAGGTGAACTGTCTCACAGAGACTATGTTTGAAGAAGCCAAGGAGCGCGCTCAACAGCTGGATACTCTTCGGGAGCAAGGTCAATTAGCCGGGCCACTCCATGGCCTTCCAGTCAGCATCAAGGATAATTTTCACAAGAAGGGGACTGAGGCGACAATTGGAATGGTATCTTTCCTCGGTGAAGTTTCAGAGGAAAACTCCCCCTTGGTTGATATTCTTCTCAAGCTCGGGGCCGTCATTTATGTCAAAACAAATGTGCCCCAGACAATGATGGTATATTGACACTATTTGCGCCTACTCTAAGCTTCGTACTAACACTCGTCCCATGATAGACGGCTGACTCCGATAACAATGTCTTTGGAAGAACTCTAAACCCCTGGAATACCTCATTGGGGCCAGGCGGTTCCAGTGGAGGCGAGGGTGCTCTAATCGCTCTCCGAGGGTCACCACTCGGCGTGGGAACTGATATTGGCGGTGGGACAACCCAACAAATGCACTCTAACTTTCTACAATGAGCTAATTACCTAAATCAAGGCTCGGTCCGAATTCCCGCTTTATGCTGCGGCACATATGGGTTCCGGCCTAGCGCGGCGAGAATACCTAACGGAGGAATGCGGGCGTGCACAACGAGTGGGATGAAGTTTATTTTATCTTGTGCAGGCCCCCTTTCCTTGGACCTGGATGGCATTGAAACATTCTTCAAGACCATTTTCGGTACTCGGCCAGCCCTTTATGACTCCACTATTCTGGACATTCCTTGGCGGCAAGTATCCGCAAAGCCAATCTTGAGAATCGGCATCGTTCCCGAGAGCCCTTCATTCCCATTGCACCCACCTGTCAGGAGAGTTTTAGCCGAGGCGGCCCGCTTACTAGAGGCTCAAGGTCATACGCTAATCCCTCTTGACGTTGAAGAATGTCAAATCTTGCGGGCAAATGAGATCGCCTGGAACATCTTCGGCCTTGACCAAGGTGCCATGGGCCACATCCAGTCATCTGGAGAACCCCCCGTCCCATCTCTAGTCCACATTGGCAAATTAGTTGAAAAGCTGAAAGGCTCGTTGAAAATGACTTTGCCGGTCTTGGATAAACTTGACCGATTGGGAAAGCTGGCTTATCTCAATACCTGTCGGGCGGAGCTGCGCGAGACATTCCGGAAAATGTGGGTGCGACATGAACTGGATATTTGCATCGCACCTCCAGCTCAAAATACAGCAGTGGCGCATGACATGTTTGCCATTGCGCCATATACTACTTTTCTGAACTGCCTTGATGTATGTTACCATTCCATTTCCTCCTCAGAGTATAGCGCTAACTCAATCAGTATCCGTCTTGCGTCATTCCATTCGGAAAAGTCGGTGGATCAGATGCTCACGAAAGTCTCGAGCTAAGGGAGGACCAGACTGCACCACCATGTGAGTGTTCCTGCTTGAAAGCTTTTCCTCTATCACTTTTGCTAATAACCATTCGAATTGGGGTAGACAACTTTGAGCAACTTGAAGGCGCACCGTGCTCCATTCAAGTGTTTACGACCACTCTACGGGATGAAGAATGCTTGCAAATGACCAAGCAAATTGACCAATGCTTGAAAGGCAAAATCTAGACTGCGAAGAGACCAAGTTTACTCCAGCAGTACCGCCTTTGGTCTGAGCTTGTTTATAGCTGGGTTGATGCCGAGCTGTCTCAAATTCCTCTGGTAGTGAGCTAGCTAGCTTGACTAGTAACTTTGATACGTCAACAATTCCTTGAGTCACATTCTGACCGAGTAGATGAGGGTCTCTTGGACAAATACGTTATCCTAACACCATGATGCTTCCCTAATTTCAGTATGTAGGTCCATAAGTAGAGAACAGGGCTTCCCGTAGGCTCGGCCAGAACTAAGCCACGTTATGAATGTGGCCAAATCTCACCCCGTATATCTTCGATGATGAATCGGCGACAATATTCCTTGAGGTATGCAGGTGTATATGTAAAATTCCCAGTGTTCCAAATGCCAACTTCCATTATTACATTGATCTCAAGCGCGCCAAATATTCTTCTTGCTCGATGATAATTTGGGAATTAAACTATTAGAAAATGGCTATTCACTGCGAGTATCTGTACAGATCTTAGAGTACCAGTCGCACACGATTCAGGCACCCTTTTTGGATGGGTGTGAGCAATATTACTGGAAAACAGTCGATATTGCAAGTCGCTGCCCGACCCGAGATATATACACTCAAATACCTACTTCTTCGCGTCTGGCCTCAGACACCTACGATGTAGCAGAATTAAATGTCTATGGACATAGAATATGAAGCTAGCTTAGAAAAATTGGGGGTTAACGCCATTTCTAGATCTCCGTGTTTGAACATCTACTACTTGCTACATGCTGCAGTTGGTCTTGTGCCGTACTGGAGACTTCTAGGTGGGGGAGTTTTCTGCCGGTTTTTTCTGCCATTTTCACCCCGCATTGAATCACGTGACGCGGCTTGCTTATTTCTCGGAGGGGGCGCGCGACTCCATGCCGTGACGCAGTGACTGACTTTTGCTTGGAACGCTTAGATTACTACATAAGCGTAGTCCGTGTTAAAAACACAGAGGCGGTGAAGACTCTAACCAATAGCTAGAATCTTGATGTACTGGGCAATGAAGACTTTTTGGACTGAGGATACACTTAGAAGCTTTGTTGTCTGGCTTTGAAATTATTTCAGATAGTATCAATGAGCGGCTTAGATCAGCTTTTATCTAATTAGATCGGAATAAATTGGCGTTAGTTATTTCTCTGCTCATGAGTCACAGATAGAGAGGACTAAAAGCGGTGTTCTATTTAGGAGGCGGCCGCAGAGGCGGTACCACTGGACCAGACTTTTTTTTTTCCCATCCAATACCTTCAACATCCTCTGACTTTGCGAATACCGCGAGTTCTCTCGATCAAACGAGACCACAATCAAAATGGCGCCCACCCTTGACGCCGAAGCTGCTCACAAAAACTTTGACGTACGTATGCTCAGTGTCCAATGGAGGGTTGGGATGGCGAGCCTTGAAACTCACTTGCCCTCACTCCCCGCAATTTGCGATCGATCACTCCTACATGAGGCGTGCGGGCGCAATTGATTCACAAGCACAAGAAGAATGAACTGGCTGACATATTAGTTTCTAGACCATTCTCGTCCTCGACTTTGGTGTATGTACACTTCGCGACCGTTTCCCCTCGCGCGACCCTCTCCAGATAACAGAGCTGCTGAGACCTCTTTACATGCCAACTGCTGACTCACGTTGTTGAAGTCTCAAACAAGCCACCTTATCCTGCGTCGTCTTCGATCCCTCGGTGTCTTTGCTGAGCTACTTCCTTGCACTACTAAGATCGCCGATCTGTCATGGAAGCCTAAGGGAATTGTGTTCTCTGGAGGTATGAAGTCTTGTCAATGCATGGTGCATACCGAGATCTGACTTAGCTACTAGGTCCTTCGTCTGTTTATGACGAGGGCTCACCCCGTAAGGTTTTCGTTTCCGGGGAGCCTTGTTACCCGTACTCACATGTGTAGATGTTGACCCCGCTGTTTTCGACCTGAATGTGCCTATTCTGTGAGTGTAATCTTTGCCCATCTCTTGAGACCCTGCGACTAACACGGCTAATACAGGGGTATTTGGTATGATTTCCTTCGATATCGAACACAGATATGACACTAATATTATGTACTCAGCTATGGTTGTCAGGAGATCGCATGGCGGATCGACTCGAAGAATGTTGCCCGCGGAGCGGCGCGAGGTTTGCAACCTTTGGAGAACTATTCGATACTCTTTCTGACCATATCTTATAGAGTATGGCCACGCCGATGTCAAGATCGCCAAGGTCAACGATCATGTCGACCGGCTATTCGCTGGATTGGGCGATGAAGTTCCCGTATTCATGTCCCACTACGACAAGCTAGTCAGCCTGCCTGCGGTGAGTGAAATGTTCGTATTTCCGGAGTACTCTAACTGACTATATTAGGGCTTCGTGGTTATTGGTGCCACCAAGAACTCGGAGTATGCCGGTATCGCCCACGCGGAGAAGCCCATCTATGGTTTGTCTTTCTCAAATTTGCCTTTGTAGTCCAGTTAGGCAGGCGGCTAATGCGTGTGACTAGGTGTCCAATTCCACCCCGAGCTCGAACACGTTCGTCTACCTCCCTTCCCGCCAAACCAATACGTTAGAACTCCTTCTGATATTTATCTCTAGACCCCCTGCGGAACCGATATTCTCCGCAACTTCAGTGTTGATATCTGCGGAGCTCAACCAAACTGGAAGATGGGCGACTTCGTCCAGCTCGAGATTGCTCGCATCC